GGAGTGGCACGATGACAATTCCCCCCCCCAAGCGCCACCCTCTGTCCCTGACCAGACAGAAACGAGCGCAGCCATTGAAGGACTGTGCCCTGGATCCCCACGTCGGCAAGGCGGTGGTCCAGGAGTTCATGATCGACCATGTCGAAGGCTGCTGACAGGTCTAGAAGAATCAGCAGCCCCGACCCGCCTCGATCCAGCTGCCTGCGGAGATCATCTGTTAGGGCGACCAGAGCCGTCTCGGTCCCATGACCAGCGCGGAAGCCGGACTGGAATGGATCCAGAGCCGATGTTTCATCCAGAAACCTACCAAGCTGTTCAGCAACCGCTCTCTCAATCACCTTACCCAGGAATGGAAGATTCGAAACCGGGTGGTAATTGGATAGATCTAAGGGATCTAATGATGTTTTCTTTAAGAGCGGGCGCACCACTGCCTCCTTCAGTTCCCCTGGGAATACAATAACCTATTAAACGTTAAACGCTTCCCTAAACAGGGCTGCTTTCAGATGTCTTCTAAAAGTTTGGCAGTTATTTATCTCTTTGGCATCTGGTGGGAGGGCCTTCCACAGGGCAGGCGCCACTACTGAGAAGGCCCTCTGCCTGGTTCCCTGTAGCTTGCTTCTCCCAATGAGGGAACCACCAGAAGGCCCTCGGCACTGGACCTCAGTGTCTGAGCAGAACGATGTGGGTGGAGAAGCTCCTTCAGGTATACTGGGCCATTTAGGGCTTTAAAGGTCAACACCAACACTTTGAATTGTGCTCGGAAATGTACTAATACATCACTCATACATCATGGTTACATCATGAAAGGGAGGTCTGGTGGCAGTAATCTGAGCATCCTGGACCCTGCCCCATGGTTCCCCTTGCCCTCCACCAAACACCCATCAAGTGTAACAAAATAGATCTTTACATTTCCCTGTTTCCCAGCCAAGTTCATCACACCCTTTTGTCTTCATCTGGGTTTGTTATTTCTGGAATGGCTACCTGTCTGGCACTCAGGTATCAGGATGCCAGGGATTATCACTCAGGCAGAGGGGCTGCTGAGTAGCTGAGCTCACCTATCTATATGAATTTCTGAAGTTTTCCCTGTGAGCCAGTACATAGAGACATTTATCACTGAATTCTTACATTTGGTATTGTGCAGCAGAGGCCCTTTGAATAGATAGGAAGAAACTGTGATGAAGTGTTTTGTGGGGACAAATCACAAAAGTCACAAAAGCGATTGTGCTGATTTTGATAGTGCATGATATTTGCTGGAGGGGCAACCCCCACCCCAACCTATACATAAATTCCTGCAACACTAGGAGCCGTCAACAGCCTTCTCCTCAGGCTGTATCAAAGCAACAGCAGCCCAGAGTCTCCTGGGGGCGGCTTAAAGACTCCCACTTGTGTTTCGGCAGAATATTTCTTTCAGGGGCTGCAGTCTCCTCCAGGATCCTGGCTATGATTCCTGCATTGCAGGGGCCTGGGCTGGGTGGCCCTGGGGGTCCTCTCCAACTCTACAATTCTATGATTCTGCCATCATCACCACCTGCATAGAGAGAGATCCCAAATTGCACGTATGTATATATTAATGTGTGTGAGAATACACACAAACGCACATGCATGGTCCGTGTGGGTGTTCCACAGAGGTGGAATTGAAATCATCAAAGGTCAGAAGGAAATGAAGTTGCTGGGGGTTTGCCAGATGACTCTCAGGGTCCTTTCCAATGATTCTACAATCTTTATTCTGTTAAAGGAGAAATCTGAGGGCTCCCTTGGACAAAAAGCAAGGACACCAACCAGGAATACCAGAGCAAAAGAGCAGCCAGTCAGCTTGGTCTTGATTGAAGACTGTTGCGACAGGACTCCCACCTGCCACCAGGTGGAACAAGATGGAAGCCCCATACAAAAGAGAACCCAAACTTTCATTAGCTGCTCATCCCCATGTTACACCCCCCAAACTACATCATGGTTACATCACGGTTACATCATGAAAGGGGAGGTCTGGTGGCAGGAATCTGAGCATCCTGGACCCTGCCCCATGGTTCCCCTTGCCCTCCAACAAACACACATCAAGTGGAACAAAAGAAATCTTTACATTTCCCTGTTTCCCAGCCAAGTTCATCACACCCTTTTGTCTTCATCTGGGTTTGTTATTTCTGGAATGGCTACCTGTCTGGCACTCAGGTATCAGGAGGCCAGGGATTATCACTCAGGCAGAGGGGCTGCTGAGTAGCTGAGTGCACAGGTCTAGACAAGTTTCTGAAGTTTTCCCAGTGAGCCAGTACATAGATAGATTTATCAGTGAATTGTTACATTTGGTATCGTGCAGCAGAGGCCCTTTGAATAGATAGGAAGAAACTGTGATGAAGTGTTTTGTGGGGACAAATCACAAAAGTCACAAAAGCGATTGTGCTGATTTTGATAGTGCATGATATCTGCTGGAGGGGCAACCCCCACCCCAACCTATACATAAATTCCTGCAACAATTCCATCCGGTATCAGCATTGGAATCAGACTGATTTTAGGCATTGTTGTTTGAAGCTGTTCTCATATAGATAAGAAGAGTTTCCATATTTGCAATTCATTTAGTTGTTATAATATATTGTAAATTGCTTTGGGTTGCCAAATGAATGAAACAAATATCTGCTCATTGTTGTTTCCAATGTGCTGTATGGTGAGATTCTGCCCCATTTCTGAACAGGTGAGCTCCTGCTCCCAGACTCTCTGGCTGCTCCCAGTGGAGTTTCTGCATGTCCAAAAATGGGGGGGGGGGGTCCCCAGGCAGCTGTTTGCTGTGGAGTTTATGCTTCTCATACAGGATGTTTCTGTGGCCCTTTTACATATTAAGTTCCCATCTGAAAGCATCCCAGGACAAAAATATCAGAACTGCAGGAAGTTTTTATCCAGACTCTTATATTTCAGCTTATATACAATTGTCCTCTCTTGCAAAGATGCAAATATACACGTTTGTTTTATTATTGAATGATATTTATAGAAAAAAGAGAGAGGAATGGTGACCACAGCAGAGTTACAAATCATGTTCTTCTGTCAGATTGTTCTGGAAGGCACAGATGGGATCCCCACTCAGTGATGGTCTCCTTGGGGTGCAAATGAATATAATGTTCAGGCTTAATATCGTGCTCCACACTCTCAGATTCGTGCTCCAATTACACACACTCTGTTGTGTTGTGTTGTGTTATGCCCCATTTAGCAGCTGGAAGCTGGCCACACCAGCAGGCCAAATCCGAGAGCTCTCCTGCGTAATGGATTCTGCCACCCTTTTGCAAAACACCTGGCCAAGCCCCGAGTTTCCTCCTGAGAGCAGAAAAGGCACTTTGGAAAGGTTATGATGCCCACCATCTTGTCAGAGGGTCCTCCTCTGTCAGAAGTTTTTAAAAGTGGCTCCTAAGACCCTTAACCCCATAATCTGAATAAAATTGGTGAAAAAGCAGAGAGTTTATTGAATACAGTATGTCCTTGCAAGAGCGGGTGTCCAAAGCAGGCACACCCAAAATTGACAAAGCATAAGCTTATATTCCCTATACCTGAAGCGCAGGTTCCTCCCTTGTCTCCCCACTGGCTGGGTACTGCAAGGTTTACAGCCCATCACAACCGCCTAATTTCCTACTAAAATCCCCGCCTTTGTCGACATCTCCCATCACTCTGATTTCGAGGACCACACCTCCTGTTTACCTTTCTCCTTATTTGGTCCATGCTTTCTATGCTTTTAGGGACGCGGGTGGCGCTGTGGGTTAAACCACCAATAAAGCGAGATGAGCGCCGCAACCCCAGAGTCGGCCACGACTGGACCTAATGGTCAGGGGTCCCTTTGCCTTTACTTCTATGCTTTTACACATTGACTCAAGAGACAAAGGCACATCCTGACTAAACAAGTTCTATACCTGCTGAAGTATACAAAAAACCGTATTCCAGCCACAAGCCGTCCCATTTACGAGCATCCTGACCGCAAGCTGGTCTAAATCTAAGTGTAAGCAGGTCTCTGCTGCTGCCTGCCGATATCTAGCTGTTGCAGTCTTTTGGATTTTTGGTGAAAAAAGCAGCATTATCATTCCTCACATCCTCTGGACATTTTAATGCCCTGATTTACACGGGAGAACAAAAGGAAGGTAAAGTTTGGCAGTTAGGCGATCTATGCCAGGTTCTATCATTTCCACATTGCCCTCTGGTGGCCGCCCTTGGGAACAACAATCCCAGGTAAGTAAAGCACAACTCTGGGAGCTGACCCAATCCGGACAGGAGGGCAGGCGGGAGGAACTGTTGCTTTTACTCTCCTACACACACCATTGCTCACCTTGGTCACACCAGTCTGCCTTGGGTCATTAACTCTGGGACATACAGCTTTTAACCCCCCTCCCTTGCCCTTCCTCTGTCTCACTTGCCCTAATACCTGATCCGGAAGATGTGGACAGTGCCGTTGCTCAGAGCCACGGCAAAGCGCCCGTCCCTAGCCACCGTGACCACCCGCGGTCGGTCGATGCTGTTCTCGGCAGTGAGGAACGCCCCCAACTCCTCCCCACTGGGGGAGAAGGCCACCACCTTGTTCAGCTCCCTCAAGACCACGTAGATGATGCCCGTGGCATCGGCACAAACAGCCCCCGGCTGGCACTCACCCAGCTGCTCGTCAGAGCACTCGGCCACCAGCTGCCCCGTCCTGGTGAACAGGATCACGCTGCGGCGGTACCAGTCCGAGCCCACAAAGCCGTCCTTGTGGTTGGCCAGGAAGACGAGGCATCTCTCCCCGCTTCCCTCGGGCACAATCTTCTCCAGCAGCCGCCCCTCCAGGTCGTACACCTCCAACTGCCCAGCCACACACACTGCCATACGGTCTCCCCCCAGCCCCACCACGGCATGGCTGGCCTGCCCCCTTCGCAGGGCCTTCTGCCACACCAGGTCACCTTCGCCGTTCAGGAGGTAGAGGCAGGAGCCGGCTGTGAAGGCCACCTTGCTGCCCACGGTGGCCACGCTGACCGGGGCCACGCCACTGGGGATGGGGACAGTGCCCTTGAACTCCCCTTGCAGGGAGAAGCGCTTCAGCTTCTGGTTTTGCTCATCGGCCACCAGAAGCTCTCCAGAGCCAAAGGGGCAGAGCCCTGTGACCTGAGGACGCTTCTTGTCGCTGGGGGTCTTGACCCAGAAGCTACACGAGAAGAGAGGCTTGGGTGTCAGAAGGGGGGCTTCCGGGACCTTGGGAGGAGGCGCAGTCTTCTGGGATCCCTCCTTGGCAGGCGGCACTTGCTGCTGTTGCTTCCTCCTCTTCTTCTTTGCCCCTTTTGTGGCCTCCTCCTTGGGGCCCTCCGGTACTCCAGTGGGGATCTCAGCGTTGACCTCCAGGCAGGGCAGGTGGGTCTTCTTCTTCGCCCCTATTGTGGCCTCCTCCTTGGGGCCCTCCGGCACTCCAGTGGGGCTCTCCTCCCGGAACTCCAGGTGGAACAGGCAAGGGCCGCTGCCCCCGATCTCAGCGTCGACCTCCAGGCAGGGCAGGCGGGTGGCCAGCGGGTCCCAGGAGAAGCCCTGCAGATGCCTGAGACGCTCACAGATGACCTGCTCCAGGGAGACGATCTCCACCTCCCTCCCCAGGCCCAGCACCTTCTGGGCAAAGGCCACGGTGCTGGAGGCCACCTGCTCTTGGAACTCCAGATCGGAGCAGAGGGCCTGGCAGGCCTTCTGCCGCTCCTTCACGTAGTCCGCCAGCTGGGCCAGGACCTCCTCCTGCTGCGCCAGCAGCCGCTGCACCGCCCGCGAGCACGCCTGCTCCACCGCATCCCGGATGCTAGCCTCGCGCACCTGCAGCTGCGCAGCCTCCCTCTCCAGGCTGGCCCTCCCCGCCCGGATGACCTGCACCGTCTCCTCCACCCCGGCCAGGAGCTCCACGATGACCGGCCGGCGGGCCTGGGCCGCCTCAGCCAGGGGCAGGCAAGGGTGCTGGAGGTGGGCCCCCAGCCGGCACTCCCGGCAGAGGACGACGGCACAAGGCGTGCAGAAGAAGCGCAGCTCCTCGCCGGTGTGCTCCTTGCACTGCAGCGCCTGGCGCTTCCGGATCTCCTCGTCGTGCTCTCCGGAGAGGTAGTCCTTCATGGCCACCACGCGGTGGAGGTGGGTGAGGCGGGAGCAGCGGTGCCCGCTGGCGCAGTCCCGGCACATGTCGTCGGCGCAGTCCAGGCAGCGGGAGACGGCCGGCCGGCCAGCCTCCTGGCCGATGAGCGGGCAGAGGCTGCAGGTGAGCTCTGCCTCCCCTGTGGGGTGGACCAGGTCCAGCAGGCCGTTGATGAAGAAGTTGGTCCGGAGAGCACCCACGCCCCCCTGTGGGAGGGCCACCCGCTCACGGCACTCGGGGCACTGAAGCTCCTTCCGGCCTCCTGCCAACTTCCGCAGGCACTCCTGGCAGTAGCTGTGCAGGCAGGGCAGGATCTTGGGGCGGCGGAGGCGCTCCAGGCAGATGGTGCAGGTCAGGAAGCCGCTGGTGAGGGCTTCGGAGAGGGACGGGGCCTTGGAAGCCATGGAGGGGTGGTCCCTGCTGCAGGGAGGTTGCCTTGAAGGGAGAGAGAGAGAGAGAGAGAGAGAGAGAGAGAGAGCACTGTGAAAAGGATGCAGGGGTTTTAGTAAACCACAAGCTCAATATGAGTCAACGCTGTGATGCAGCAGCAAAAAAAGACGAATGTGATTCTAGGCTGCATCATCAGAAGTCCAGGGCAGCACAATTTAAGGAGGATGTTGACAAGCTGGAAGGTATGCAGAGAAGGGCTGCCAAGATGATCAAAGGTCTAGAAACCAAGCCTGATGAGAAGCGATTGAGGGACCTGGGTATGTTTAGCCTGGAAAAGAGGAGACTGAGAGGAGATATGGTAGCTATCTTCAAACATCTCAAGGGCTGCCACATGGGAAATGAAGCAAGCCTGACTTCAGTTACAAGAAAGGACATTGCAGCGTAAACATCAGGCAGAACTTTCTGACAGTAAGAGCAGTTTGACAGTGGAGCGGATCACCATTCACTAAGGCACAGCAGAGTCGGTATTGTGGCTCGGAGCCAAGGACAGCCTCCCCCCTCCCTGACTTTGCCCAGTCCTCTCGGGACAAAAGTTCTGCAAACACCAGATATGGCTGGACTTTTGAATTCCCTGCAAGGGAGGGAGCGGCAGTCCAGCAACCTCTGGAGAGCCCTGCTGGGGCTCCCCCCTTTCCTCCCGCTAGGAGGCTGGGGTGAGAGGGGGCTCCCCGGATCGGGGTATTCCCAGGAGGCAGGAGAAGGAGCCCTTGCGCCTGATGTAAGGAAACCGAGGCTCTGTACAAGAAGCGCACGTCCGTAAGTGCGCTAGGTAGGAAGGCGCGCACAGGAGCGCACAGCCACAAACACGGGGAACCCCACACACGGGGTTGAAAGCGCCACTCTCCGTGGGTTGAGCCTCACAGGCGACCCCCGGTTTTTACAACGCCCATGAAGCGATGGGTGCGAGCCAGAAGTGGGGGGGAAGGCGGCTCTTTCCAACGGGAGTGGGGATTAGGGGGCAGGACTTCTGGGTCCCCAGGAGACTCCTGGCACCGGCGGGGACGCCCTTGCCCAGCTCTCATCGAGGCCCTTGCGCCCAGCATGACCTCCCCTTCCCCGGGATCCAGGGAGAGAAGGACCGCCCCCCGACCCACCCCGGCGGACCCTAACCCTCCGAAGGTCTCCGCGCCAAAGGCCGCCGCCCGAACCCCATATCTGGGGGGCGACTCCCGACTGGCTGGCAGCTTGCCCGCCCGCCCGCGAAGGAGCCCCTACCTCGGAGCGGCAGCTGGGCTGAGGGTCCTCCCCGCTTGCCCTTCCCCCGGAGGTCGCCCCGGAGACGTGGGGCGGGGAGCGTCACTGCACGAAAGCGAAAGCGAATCTGACGCCTGGCCCGGCTCCCAGGGGGCGGAGGATTCCCGCAAAGCAAGGCGCCGCGGGGCTGGGAGGTTGCGACAAGGGGGTGGCGGGGGGGGGGGGCTCGGGGCTGGTTCCGCTGGGGCGCAACGAAGGGCCGGAGAGGGGGCGTCCTGCCCGCCCGCTCCCCTCGGCTCTCCTCGCTCCCTTTGAGCCTCGCAGCCCGTCTCCTCTTGGGGCATCCAAGCTGGACCACCCCCAGAGGAGTTAGCGCAAGCGGGTCTTGGCAAAGTGTGCCCTCCTGGGGCCGCCCCGCTTCCCGCCCCCCTGTTGGAGAGCTCCCTGTTTCCTTCGTGGACGCAAGAACGGAGGACAGCAGCTGGGTCAGGCCAAAAGAGGGACCCGTCCAGATGTGATTCATGCATCGCAGGGGTTGGACTAGATGACCCCCGGGTTCCCTTTTGCCTCCCCTAAGATCCCCTGCAGGGACACGGGTGGCGCTGTGGGTTAAACCACAGAGCCTAGGATTTGCCGATCAGAAGGTCAGCAGTTCGAATCGACACGACGGGGTGAGCTCCCATTGCTCGGTCCCTGCTCCTGCCGACCTAGCAGTTTGAAAGCACCTCAAAGTGCAAGTAGATAAATAGGTACCACTCCGGCGGGAAGGTAAACGGCGTTTCCATGGCTGCTCTGGTTCACCAGAAGCGGCTTAGTCCTGCTGGCCACATGACCCGGAAGCTGTATGCTGGCTCCCTCGGCTGGTAAAGCGAGATGAGTGACGCAACCCCAGAGTCAGCCATGACTGGACCTAATGGTCAGGGGTCCCTTTACCTTTACCTTAAGGTCCCCTGCACAGCCTAGTCCTTTACTCACCAGCTCCGAAGAACATCACCCAAGAATAAAACGCAAAGTTTTATTTCTTGCAGGAGCAGGAAAGGTTACAGCAAGCGACCAAGAAAGCAGTCGGAGGCTGAACCCCGATCTTTGTTGTACACTGTTTTTATAGTCATCGTATTGTTTACACACAGTCCTACCACCAGCTTTAACCACAAAGGTAGATGTTTGCATGCCTCAGCTAACCTCGGCATTTCCTCTTTCTTCCCCTTTGTGTATGCTGTGCCCTTGCATGCTCACAAAACTTGCCTTTACCCTTTGTGGTTTGCTCTTTCTCTGTCCCCTTTTCAGCCTGCGTTTCAGCGCGATTACAGTGAGAATAACATGTGACCATGGTGTCGGCCAGCAACAAGATGGCGTTAGTCTTGCTGAAGCTCGAACGAAGGTGAGAGGTAGGTGGTCTTGCTTAGGTTACTGCAATTCTATGGTTCTTGTCCAGCACGTGACTGTGTGCCAACCAAGAGACAACCTCCGCAGGTGTGTGTCACACAAGGCCTTGGAGGCCTAATCCTGACCTGCACGCAGGGATGTTTCAGGCAACATGGCTGGGTTCTTCACTTTGGCACAGCAGCACGTTTTTCTGGTGGGCACCATTTTAGCATCATCATTTTATTTGTATGCGCCTTTCCACAGTTAAAACAATGCTCAAGGCGGCATGCCGTATGGGGAGGCAGTTACCTTTTTTAAAAAAAATGTGCACCAACAGTCTTATTTGCTCCTGCATGTATATAAATATATATGTGTTGTTGAGTCGTTTAGACGTGTCCGACTCTTTGTGACCCCCTGGACCAGAGCACGCCAGGCCCTCCTGTCTTCCACTGCCTCCCGCAGTTTGGTCAAACTCATGCTGGTAGCTTTGAGAACACTGTCCCACCATCTCGTCCTCTGTCGTCCCCTTCTCCTTGCGCCCTCCATCTTTCCCAACATCAGGGTCTTTTCCAGGGAGTCTCCTCTGCTCATGAGGTGTCCAAAGTATTGGAGCCTCAGCTTCAGGATCTGTCCTTCCAGTGAGCACTCAGGGCTGATTTCCTTAAGAATGGAGAGGTTTGATCTTCTTGCAGTCCATGGGACACTCAAGAGTCTCCTCCAGCACCACAATTCAAAGCATCCATTCTTTGGCGATCAGCCTTCTTTATGGTCCAGCTCTCACTTCCGTACATCGCTACTGGAAAAACCATAGCTTGAACTAGACGGACCTTTGTTGGCAAGGTGATGTCTCTGCTTTTTTAAATATATGTGCAAAGCTTAAATAAAAAGGCATTTTAGCAGCAATATTTTTTGGGGTGGGGGAGTGGGAATGATGACTTAAGGGGAGCGCAGAGAGAAGAAAGGCGGTGGTCCCTTTGCAGCAGTGTAACTGGGCAACTTCATCTGCCCCTGCTGCAATAAAAACTCGTCTCATGTATCGGTGTCTACAGCCCCAGTAAATGCTGCAACCTTCCAACAGTTTGGCTTCATCCCCAGTGAAGGCGCACTCCTCCATTGTCTCCCGAGACAGATGGGTGCCCAAAATCAGCTTCCCACATCTGCAAAAGCAGGCATGAAATAAAATGGGGGGGGGGAATAAACCACAGGCGTGTGATTGTGTGGAAAGTAGTGACTGGAACGATGTATAGCATAGGCATAATGATTAAACAAGACATGGTTACAAGGCAAGGTAGCCTGTTATACCAAGGGAATGTCAATACAGTGGTACCTTGGGTTACATACGCTTCAGGTTACAGACTCTGCTATCCCAGGTTAAGAAATTTGCTTCAGGATAAGAACAGAAATCGTGCAGCGGCGGAGCAGCGGCAGTGGGAGACCCCGTTAGCTAAAGTGGTGCTTCAGGTTAAGAACAGTTTCAGGTTAAGAACAGACCTCTAGAACAAATTAAGTTCTTAACCCAAGGTACCACGGTAAAAGTATCCAAATGCCCAAAGCCAGATTTGTTCATAGGTTGAAGGGGGGTGGTCCTCGACTGTGTTCCTTCTTGCTTACAAATGGAAAAAAAAAGACCAAACAGGTATTAAATCCTCCCCTTTGGAGCTTTGGCCCCTAAGGACTCTCAGCTGATTCGTTCGTTCCCCCTGTGTAGCAGTTCTATGTTCTTTGAGCTGAAATTTCCACATATCCGTAAAACAATGGCCTGCAGGGTCAATAGCGGATTAGATGGCGTGGAGCGTTTTGCAAACTGGAAAGGCTGCCTTGAGCAATATCCAGCAGCGGATATATCTTGCCTGCAGCCAGTTCCACTTGTTTAATAATTTCAGGAGGAGCAACTTCCGGGTTATCCTGCTCCAGGAGAAAGAGATGGGAGTGTCGCGGTGGCCACTTAACATGTTTGTTTTTGCAGGAGGAGGCTCCTGGCCTTCACCCTTCGGGATTGGGACCCTCCAGCCCCACTTAAAAATGCAAGGAGCACCCACAGGCCTCCCCTCCCTTGCCACACGCCCAGGCAGTGCACACAGCCAGGCCGGCAGAGCTGGAAATGCCCACACCCAAACATTCAGAGCACCAATCCTGCCTTGCAAGAGAGCTGTCACCTTTGAAGGCGGAAGTGAAACCCAGAGAAGGAACCTGCAAGTCTCAAAGCACACCAAGCATGCCACACTGGGCAAGGCTGAGGGAAAGGCATTCTAGGTATGCTCAGAGGCATTCTCTGTTGCTGCATCACCTGCCCTAAGGCTGAACTCTGGAGCTGAAGCACGGCCTGGAGGAGAGTGTATTCCTGGTGTGCTGTGTGGGCTCAGAGGTGCATCGTTCTTCACCACACGGCCGCAAGCTCCACATAGCTGAGTGCAGGTGCTGGGGCTCAGCCACAGCTTTTAACTCTTCTCCCTGTTTAAACTCTCTTATTAATTCTATTTACAGTGGTCCCTTGGTTCTCAAATGCCTTGGTACTCAAACAACTTGGAACCCAAACACTGCAAACCCGGAAGTAAGTGTTCCAATTTGTGAACTTTTTCCGGAAGCCGAACATGCTCCATTTTGAATGTTGCGCTGAGGTCTTTTCTGCTATTTATTTTGTGTTTTTGTGGCTCTTTTTTTTAATGACTATGTGGAACCCAGTTCAGATACTGATTGATTGTGTGACTGCAGTACATTGTTTATTGCTTTCATTTTATGGATAAATGGTCTCGTTAGATAGTAAAATTCATGTTAAATTTCTGTTTTAGGGCTTGTTTTTAAAAGTCTGGAATGGATTAATCCGTACTGCATTACTTTCTATGGGAAAGAGCGCCTTGATTTTGGAACACTTTAGTTTTGGAACAGACTTCCGGAATGGATTAAGTTTGAGAACCAAGGTACCACTGCACTACCTTTAGTAAGCTAATTCCCTCCTGATACAATAAACTCACTGGGTGACCTTGGGGGCTGATTGCTGCCTCTCAGCCTACCCTCACAGGGTCTTTGCGGGGGTTAATTGAGGAGAGGGGTGAGAACCATGCATGGTCTTATTAGTGTGCACTCCTGTCTCAGCAACATCCATGCTGGCTTGGACAGCAGAATGGAAGATGGCAGGATCTCCAAGGATGTGCTCCATGGTGAGCTGGGTCCCAGCACCAGGCATCACTGGAAGGCCAACTCTGCATTACAAAGCTGTCTGTAAATGTGACATGAAGACTGGCAACATCAACCCCGCCGTGTTGGAATCCCTTTCAGAAGATCTCAGTGCCTGGAGACGGGCAGCCAAGTCCATAGCAACGAATAGAGAAGAAATGACCACCGGGAGGAGCGCAGAGAGAAGAAATGGCATGGTGCATCTGCAGCAGCTCAACTGTGGCGCTCCCAAAGCAAAGGAAGGATTAGATCCTGATTAATAGAATATAAGGGATGCGGGTGGCGCTGTGAATTAAACCAGAGAGCCTAGGGCTTGCCCATCAGAAGGTCAGCGGTTCGAATCCCCGCGACGGGGTGAGCTCCCGTTGCTCGGTCGCTGCTCCTGCCCACCTAGCAGTTCAAAAGCATGTCAAAGTGCAAGTAGATAAACAGGTACTGCTCCGGTGGGAAGGTAAACGGCGTTTCCATGGCTGCTCTGGTTCGCCAGAAGTGGCTTAGTCCTGCTGGTCACATGACTCGGAAGCTGTACGCTGGCTCCCTCAGCCAATAAAGCGAGATGAGCACTGCAACCCCAGAGTCATCCGCAACTGGACCTAATGGTCAGGGGTCCCTTTACCTTTACCTTAATAGAATATACACAAAGGCTTGACCAGCAAGACTCTGGGCGGGGTACGTATAATAATAATTCCTGTCCACCCCTCGGTCCAGGTCATTTTATTCACAAAAGAGCTTTTTACACAGTGTTTGTAAGAACCAGTCAGATTTCTTCTGAGCATTTCAAAACCCCCACGTGGGACAAAGTTAAAGATTCAAACTACAAAGAACTAATTTCCTACTTGAGCATGCATATGTAATTCAGAGTAAATAAAAGGAAACTCCGGAGGTCATAAACAGCAATAAAGGAAGGAAGGGTGGGTAGTATTTACCATCTATTTGTGAATACTCTTCCTGGCCCTTAAGATCTATCTAAAGATTAACAAACTACCGTATTTTTCGCTCTATAAGACGGACCAGACCACAAGACGCACCTAGTTTTTGGAGGAGGAAAACAAGAAAAAAAATATTCTGAATCTCAGAAGCCAGAACAGCAAGAGGGATCCCTCTTGCTGTTCTGGCTTCTGGGATAGCTGCGCAGCCTGCATTCGCTCCAAAAGACGCACACACATTTCCCCTTACTTTTTAGGAGGGAAAATTGAGTCTTATAGAGCAAAAAATACGGTACATCAAAGAAGCTACCTACTATCTTTTATGGCTCTGGATGCCTGATGAAGCAACTGGCAGCTGGGCTGTGTACGTGACTTGTCAAGCAGAGAGAAATGCAGAGGCTTGTGGGATTTGATCAGAAATTATTGTCCATGAATGGAACCCAGTCAACGCCATGCTTTCATCGCGGACACAACGGCTTGATGCACGTTTTATAATTCCTCATAGTAATCCCACCTGATCCCCACACTCTGGATATTTGCACTCCTACATCAACTGGACACCTTCCTCTTCCCCAGCTGCAATAAAACATGTCTCCGGCATCAGTCTCCCTAGCCACAGATATAGGTGCTGCAACCTTCCGGCAGTTTGACTTCACCCCTTGAAGGCAGAGGAGCCGACTCCCAGGGGTGCTCTGCTCCTCACAAGACAGACAGATGCCAACCAATTATTATATGTGGGCCACCTTGAGCTCCTGGGGTAGGTAGGTAGGTAGGCTATGTATGGGGAAAGTAAAATAAATGGTAAATAAAGCCCTGTTCCCCACAGATCACTTTTCAAGGCATCGGATCATTTTTCAAGGCCACCTGGATAAAGGTAGGCTGAGAGAGAAAGACAGGAAGACATAATCACATAATCACACAAAGCCCTAACTAGGCAAGTAAGTTGCTCAATGGCATCACCTGGTGGTTCTTTGCTCTCCCTAGAAAGTCACACAATGTTTAACTGGTTTTTTTAAAAAAATTACTGTTCCCCTCCCCTTAAGTTCTTTTTTGCCAATTCTTAAAAATTGAGTTCCCATTATTTGTAACCATTTTTCACCAAATCAATACAAATGGATTGGCAGAGGGCCTTCTCGGTAGTGGCGCCCTTCCCTTCCATCAGATGTTAAGGAGATGAGCAATTATATAACATTTAGGAAACGTCTGAAGGCAGCCCTGTATAGGGAAGCTTTTTAAGGTTTAATGTTTTACTATGTTTTTATATATGCTGGAAGCCGCCCAGAGTGGTTGGGGCAACCCAGTCAGGTGGGCAGGGTACAAATTATTATTATTATTATTATTATTATTATTATTATTATTAACTGATTTAAAAGCTGACTTCCCACCCCTCAGACATTCCCTCTATTTTCCTCCCTCCTTCGCTGCTCTCAGTACAATAACTTTTCCAACTTTGGTTTCGAAATCCACTCATCCTTTCTCCCCGTACAATTACCAATTTATGCTATGACTTTTGTACATTATTATACCCCGTCCTCAAAACAGCTGAGTAAGAGTAAACCTAAGGAGCACCAGGACTGGAAGCTGAGGAAATCTTAATCTATTTCAGCATTTCAACTTTTGTATGTTTCGAAGTACACTTGTGAATCTCTGTTTTACTGCTTTCTCCTTTGTAAACTGCTTCGAGGGTTCTTGTTATTTTTTGCAATCAAGCGGTGTGTAGGTATAAATGAATAAAATAAATGGGTTGTTCCTGAGGAGATGCTTTTCCTCCTCCGAAATGAGACTCTTTCCTCAGAACGGGGACCCTTTTTCTCCTCAGAAGAGGCCGGGATATGAAGAGACGGAGCAGAGGCCAAGGAGGAGCCGGCCTCCCTCCTCCCTCCTCCCTCCGCCTGAGGCCTTTTCCCGCCTTTTTCTTCCCCTCAGAAAGTGCCAGAAGAGCGGCCCCTCCCCCTCTCTCCTCAGGCAATGGAGGCGACATCCCTTGCTCCCTCAGGAGGATTTTCTTTCCTTAATGGGGATTCCAAAGGTTCTTTCTTGTCCTCTTCCTCAGGGGCAACTTACTTACTTCATGCCATTTATATGCTCTTGCTTGTGAGGTGTGTGTGTGGCAGTTTGGGAACAAGGAGGTTAGGCCCTTGTATCCGGAGGCCTCCTAAACAGCCACAGTTTGAAATCCATTAATACATGTACTGGATTTTTCCGTGTATAAGACGCCCCCTAATTTTGGGGACCCCACATTTAGAAAATGGGCATAGGCACTATCCGTGTATAAGATGCCCCCAGATCTTTAACCTTATTTTAAACCTAGCCTTATACACAGAAAAGTACACTAATTCCCTCAGGCGCCCATGAGGAGTTTTAGGGGGTCCCCGGCCAGAGGATGCCTTGGGGTTCCCCTCCGGCCTCAAACAGAAAGATCAGGGGCTTCTTCTGGTTTTCCTGGTCTCACAAGCCTTCTCCCTCAGCTTGGAAAACATCACATTTGCCTCTCTGCTCCCTCAGTTGCCCAGTTCATCGGCCTAAGGAGCCCCTTAGAGTTTAATTTTCTGTACAATCTCATGTAACCAGAGTTGGAAGGGACCCCCCAGGGTCATCCAGCCCAACCCCCTGCAATGCAGGAATCTCAAATAAGGCAGCCATGACAGGTGGCCATCCGTATGTGTTACTGGGCTGTGGCTTGTAGGCGCGGGGAGATACGACCTCCTTTTTCCTGCCTACATCTTGGCAGTTTGCTGTTAAATAAATGTAGCTTTAAATGTACAGTATAATAAAAATTTCTTCATTATGTTCTTTGGCAGAGAGCTCCCCTGGAAAGTTTTGAAGACGACTTTAATAGGATGGAGGAGGCCTTGCCCAACTGAGAGGAGCGGCAGCCTGAGCTTTCTGGTAGTCCACTATCATTTATTTCATTTTGTAAAATCCGCACACTGCTTGATGGTAAAGCAGAACGAAACCCTCAAAGGCTGGCTTGCAAAGAGAATAAAACAATGGAGGAGGCGAGGGGAGAGCTGCTCTTGTGCTCGGATCCTGCCTGAGGGTTTCCCAACAGAGGCATCCTGTTGGCCACTGTGAGAAGAGGTTGCTGGGCCAGATGGACCCCCTTTGGTCCTTCTTGTGTTCTGATGGAACCTCCAGGTCCAGGGGCAGTCTATCTAGATTGCTAAGTTACTTGGGGTATTTGGCCACTTGGAGGGCAGGAGGCTGGGCTGGATGGGCCCCCTTTGCCCCGATCCAATAATAATAAATACAGTGGTACCTCCGGTTAAGTACTTAATTCGTTCCGGAGGTCCGTACTTAACCTGAAACTGTTCTTAACCTGAAGCACCACTTGAGCTAATGGGGCCTCCTGCTGCCGCCACTGCACGATTTCTGTTCTCATCCTGAAGCAAAGTTCTTAACCTGAAGCACTATTTCTGGGTTAGCGGAGTCTTTAACCTGAAGTGTATGTAACCTGAAGCATATGTAACCCGGGGTACCACTGTAATAAATAAATTTTATTTATACCCCACCCTCCCCAGCCAAGACCAGGCTCTGGGTGGCTAACAACCAATAATAAAACAAATTGATTGAAATACAACTTAAAAAACAAGATTAAAATACAACATTAAAACATTAAAATGCAGCCTCATCATAGGAGGAGAAAGGAAAAAAGAAAGGGGGGGAGGGAATCAAGTTGATTCCAAGCCAAAGGCCAGGCGGAACAACTCTGTCTTACAGGCCCTGCGGAAAGAAATCAGATCCTGCAGGGCCCTGGTCTCATGAGGCAGAGCGTTCCACCAGGCCGGGGCCAGTGTTGAAAAGGCCCTGGCTCTGGTTGAAGCCAATCTAACTTCCTTAGGGCCCGGGACCACTAGGGTGTTGCTATTTATGGACCTTGAGGCTCTCTGTGGGGCATTCCGGGAGAGGCGGTCCCGTAGGTACGAGGGTTCTAGGCCGTGAAGGGCTTTAAAGGTCAAAACCAGCACCTTAAATCTGACCCTGTACTTCACCGGGAGCCAGTGCAGCTGGAAAATTAGTGGGTGAATATGCTCGCATGGCAGAGACCCCGTGAGGAGCCTCGCTGCAGCATTCTGCACCCGCTGGAGTTTCTGGGGCAGCTTCAAGGGCAGCCCCGCGTAGAGCGAATTACAGTAGTCAAGCCTGGAGGTGACCGTCGCATGGATCACTGTGGCCAGGTCGGGGCGGGAAAGGTAAGGGACCAACTGCTTGATGCGGCGAAGGTGGAAAAATGTCGCCTTGGCTGTTGCTGTAACTTGCGCCTCCATGGAAAGGGAGGCATCAAGGATTACACCCAAACTCTTAACGGAAGGCAATGGCACTAATTGGGCCCCTGCAAGAGCAGGGAGTTGATCCAGCAGGCCCTTCTTATGTGGGGTGGAGGGAGACCATTGTCCAGGGGGAACAACTGCCCTCCCGCCAGCCTCTCTTCTCCAAGCCCCATTGATTGACACCACAAAAGGAGGAGGACGCTTTCCTCAGTTGCTTTATTTTCTCTCCCACCCCAACGAATCGTTCACAATGTTGACCGCTTCGTCATCCATCATCCTCCTCCTATATCATTTCTCTGGCAACTGACCGGTCGCTGTGCTTCCTTCCATATTGCACTGAAAATCTGATCAAGTAAAAGGCTGGATGGGAGGAGGGGGATGCGAGTGACCAAAGGGTTCCCCGTGGGCAGACCATGGCTGTGGGGCCAGAGCGACCCACGGGAAGGAAAAACTGAAGGCAGTTTCCTGTCGCTTGCGCCCAGGGTGCCTTGCTGTGGGTTCAGATGCATGGCATCGTGGGGAATCAGTGTTGCTACAGGTGTACCTGGGACTGACCTGGAAGGGGCAGGGGGGGAGCACAGCCAGTCTGTAGAGAGGGGCAAACAGAACCACAAAGTTGGATGGGACAACGAGGGTCATCTAGTCAAACCCTCTGCAATGCAGGAATCTTTCACCCAACAGGGGGCTCAAACCCCTGGCCCCGAGATTAAGAGTCTCACGCTCTACAGACTGAGCTGGAGATCAGATTGTGGGCTGGTGCAGAAAGGGAGAAAGCGATTTCTCCAAAAGTGCTAGCCGTGGTCCCCGACCTGCAGAGACGACGCGAGACCCCTGCAAGGCAGCCTCCTCTTGCACCAGATGGCCTTGGCATCCAGGCAGTGGTCAAAGGCTCCTCGCTGAGGGATGTGCTCCTGCAAGTTCAGCCTCGGTGGGCAACGCGAGTCCTCGGGGGCAGAAGCCCAAATACCCCCATGGGGCCCTGTTCCTCCTCCACGTCCTCCTCCCAACGTCACCAAGGGGAGGCGCTAGTGTTCAAGGGGGCGGCAGCCCCCCAGTCCTAAAGTGCAAGAGTAAGCAAGAAGAAGGCAGCACTGCAGCCCCCCTGCAAGTCACTGCAGCTCCACTGCCTCTTCCTGGATCTGGGCCCCTGGCGACACATCCTGTGCAAATCCAGCATGCAGCGTCCTTCCTGTGGCCCTGTTTCCAGGCTTCTTCATGGCCGCTTCAACTGGGGCCGAGCGATCCGTCTCTGCAGCCGCAGTACGCAGGGAGAGAAGGAGAAAGCAGAAGAGTGAGGCAGGGTCAGTGCAAACGACAAGCACTTTTTGGGAACAGCCGTGCTCTGGATCAGAGCTAAGTCCACCTGCAGCAGCATCCGGATTCCAGCCAGATGCCCAGAAGAAAAGCCCTGAGCAGCTGGCATCCAACAGTAGACTGCTTCTGACCCTGGAGGCCACATTTCACTACCCAAAGTAGTGACAGATATTTGCAGTGCCAGGAATTTGGCTAACCCACCTGTGCCTCTAAGCCAGCAGCCTCCACCACCTCTTGTGGCAGGGAGTTCCATACACTGATTTTGCCACCACTGTGAAGACAGACTTCCTGTCTTCTATTCTGAACCTCCCGCCTTTTCGGTTTGTGGAATGACCCTATATGCACTCCATTTCCCCACGCCACCTAGAAACCTATCCTGTGCCCGCCGGAACCCCCTGCCTGTTGCTTCTCCCCCTAATCTGAAAGGCACACAATCTTGTTATGTGTCCTTGCTTGGAACAGGCCTTTTCAGCCGCCAGATTGTTCTGGCTGTGCTTTTTTGCACCCCACCCTAAGCACCCTCTTTCCTTGTACCGGCAGGGAGGTGTCCACTTTGTCCAGGCGGGGCTGGAAGGAGCCCTGGTCTGCGGTGGAGCTGTCTTGCTCGCTGCTCATGCTGCTGTAATGGTCTTCTGTGCAAAGGGCGAAGGAGGGGGAGGGAGCATGTCAGGCATTTTTAAAGATTTGGTGCCCTCTTTCAAAAGGGCTTCCTCTTGCCCCTGTCCAGCCTCTCCACTTGCCCACCCAGACGTCTTCCAAGAAGGGAGGGATCCACAGAGCCAGCTAGAACCTGCTTTATTTTTACAAAATGCATTTTCAAAGCTCTGGCAAGCAAAGTGGTCTTCCCTGGTGTGATAATGCAACCCGTAATCAGGGCTGAGGCTCATCATCCCCCTCAGGTGCCTAGCGCTCCCTCCCCAGAGCACAGAGTACATGAGAACCCCCACATCTCATTTATTTATTTCTATTTCCTTCTCCTGGATCAGGGCAGGGTGGGGTGGCAGGGCATGGAAAGCCCTTCCGCCTGATTGCAGTTTGGGGACGTGGCTGTGTTTGACCTCCCCTGTTGCTCTCCCCTTCCCTTTCTTATTTCCTTATTTCTGCATGTGGGGTGGAATGTTTCTGTGCAACTTGAACCCCTCCTGCAACCCCAGACCACCTGTAATCCAATTAACATTGTGCTTCCTTCCAGGGCAAGGCAAGGCGCATCCTCTGGGATGGAGTCTGGCAGCTGCCATGGAACCCCGGGCTTAACACCACCACCACCTCCAAGACCTCCCCTTCCCGACCTAGGCCTTCTGCCACATACCACCTGCTGCAGCGCTGCTGCTTTCCATTGCTGGGGCACTCGGATCGAGGCCTTCAGGACGGGCCACCCACTCGGGCTCATTTTCGTACCACCTCTCTTCATCGGGAGGCAAATGCGTCAGCCTGGAAGTGGGAGACCAACAGAGGCCATCAGGGCAAAGATCTGTCCTTCAGCCCATTTCAAGGACAGCTTCCAGAGTCAGCGCCAGTTAAAACAGCAGAGGCTGACCGGGACGTGGAGCTGACCAAGCTGACAAGAGTTTGAGTGCCCAGCCCTCCTCCTACCTGTGTCCCTTCTCCCTCGGGCAACAGCGCCTCCAGCAGAGAAGCACGACCAAGACCAGGATGATCAGCAGCAGCACCGCCAGGCCCAGGGCCACCCCCACGGCCACCCCCACCTTGCTGATGCCCTGCTCACAGCGCCGGCCCACGAACCAGTAGGAGTCCGACTGCTCACAGCTGTGGGAGGAAAGGCGGCGTCAAAAACCGGCAAGAAGGCAGGTAATGGGGCCCAGGATGCCTGGGTTATTTACGGGGTGGGGAGCAGGGGGTGTTTCTGATGCTGCAATTCGGGGGGGGGGGGCTGAGTGGCATCCAGGGCCCCAATCCAAGGCAGGAGCAGTGGTGACTGGTGCCCACGGGGAATTGCAGCAAAAGACAACATGCACATGAATGACACTGTTTTCTTAAAAATGACATTTAAATGGTTCCTACTAGCACATCTGGTAGGAACAGCCTATGGGCATGATTTTGTCCCCCTGTGCCACAGGCCCAGATCCTTTGCCACCACCCACTTCACCCCCTGGCATGCTACTCACTAGCAACTGGGCCCCTCAGGGGTGACATAGCAGTTTCCGTTCACACAGCTGAAGGGGTCGGGGTGCCAAACGCTGCAGTTAGAGACACACTGGAGGCTGCCACTGATGTTTCGTGCCACGTAAAATTGCTGGATGTTTTTTGCCACCACGGAGGTGTTCTTGCATTCTTTTGACAGAGCTGGAAAGGGAAAGGAAGGACTCATTGGTGGCCCTGAATTCCTCCCTTCTTCTTCCTTATCTTACTTTCTTCCCCACCAACTGTGATGGCGACTGATGGCCCTAGGATTAGCCTCTGTGCATCTCATATGTGACTGCACATGCAGAATCCTGGCAACATCTGTACCATCCAGCGGTGCCACAAGGTGTACGGGGGTTCATAGCATTTGCTTGCATGTGGTGGCCATGTTTTCTTCCTCATACGGCTCCACCACCCCCATCCAGACAGCCCACTGCAACTCTTCAACATTAGGAGTGTGTTAAGCACACACTGACCCCCTCTCACACCCCAGTCCTCACCTTCAGGGCTCAGGGGCACTTCGGTCACATAACGCTCTCCAGTAAACAAAAGCGAATCTGAAGGAGAGGGGGAAAGTAATGGTGAGGCTTATGCAAGGGAGAAATCATGGGAGGGGGAGCATCCAAGGGGAAGGACCTGTTCCCCCACCCACCAGCCATGTCTCCCTGCCACCAGAGTTGAAGGAAACACACTTCCTCTGCCATCCCTCCTATGTCCAACCAGCAACCTGACACTCATCTCTGTGTGGGCAAGGGTGAAGCAGTTGGGGCTGGTTGATGTTACAGGGGCAGCTGCTGGTAACAGAGAGATGGGTCTGAACCCTCACCTCACAGCATGGATGGATAACACCAGGTTGCCTCTGATCAGGCATAAATAAATTGATCTGTTCCATATGGCAGTGAAATGGGAAGACTAGGGAGACATTGATTGGCTCCCTTTTGGAAAAGGTTCCTCTGTTCCTCACCATACAGGACAAACCCGGTAGGTGGCCTCAGATATGGCGTAGATGAAGTACATTCTATTCTTGATGCCTGCTTTTCTCTGTGTGATTTCAAAGGGGTAGCTCTGTCCCTAGTAAAACAGCGTACGGTAATTGTTTGGTTCAGGAGAGTGGGGGTGGGCTTGGACTCAGTGAAGCCACTCAACTTATGCAGAGAGCTGGTACGCCGGCCGTCTCACAGCCTGTTTTTGGGTTACTGCGTTGGGAGCCCCATCTGATACATGTTGACTCAGAGGTACATGCACTTGTGATGCTGGTGCAATTTACTCCCAACTAAGGAGGGACAGGATCACAACCCTTGGATGACTTCTGCTTCCTCATGACAGCCGATCTGAAGACATTTAATAAGAAGCCTTTCCTCCTACTCCATTAGATGGATGGGAATGTAGCGTAAAAGTTTGCAATATTCATGCCATCTTTTGGCTCCTTCAGCTGCCAGCCAGACCTTCCCACAAGAAGTGGCAGGTGCCTCCTCACCGTTGCCATTGGAAGTGGAATTTTTTTTCAGGGTCTGTTTGAGGTCCTTCACGGATTCATCGTAGGAAGCATTGAAGTCTGAGAAGTGAAGCTGCAGGAGCACCTCGTGGGCCACGATAACACTACCATTGCTGAGAAGAGGCAGCAGGAAGGAAGAGGGAGAAATCACTTAGCCACAACCCCAAAGGTGCTCTCAGCCAGCCTGATGTGAGGTCAATGATGTTAGTGGGGGCTGTCGCTTAAAGGGGTGTGGCCACTCACAGCAGGGGGGCCAGGCATGGCCCCAAGCAGCACCCTCCCTCCCATACTTGGCCCCCATCTGTATCACTTCTGCGACTCACCTCAGCCGAAACACCTTTACACCCGTGTACCCAGGAATGTCCGCATAGAAGATGTTCATCTGCAAAGAGAGAGAGGTCTCATCTCAGCTGCATAGACAGCAACAGTCGGAAGCACCAATCAACAGCAGGGTCTGCACAGAGGCAGCAGAGCAGCTGCTGTCTGCAAGCATCACCAGCCCTCTGTGTCTACCCAGACAAAGCGTGGCTTTGAGGTGTGTGTGAGCAGTCCTAGAATCATAGAATTGTAGAGTTGGAAGGGACCTGAAGGTCATTTGGTCCAATCCCTGTCATAGATGCATTTCCACAGCAGCAGAAACAAGAAGATATTCTGTGTAGGGTATGAACCATCAGATCTAAGCTACATATTGCATATACTCATCTGATAGCTACATTTCCACATCTGGATATTTAGGTGTTCCAAAGAAAGGAAATCTGACTGTTTCCAGATGTGCTAAGCGGACAAATCTCTGTTAATGAAGTTTACCACAAAGGAATGGCATGTTAATGGGACCCAGACTCAAAAGTAACAATAGGTCTGCCTGGAAGTGATCATTTTCCTGAGTGGGCATCCTCTATGAACTCCCAACCACCCCTCACCTGTTCCACAAAGATCTTCACGAATGAATTGAAGGCAGACGAGTTGTAAATCGCCATCTCTGGGCTGAACTCCCGATTCTTCACTGTTACAGAGACATTGATGGTGGCCACAACAGTCACTGTGATCAGAAAGCACAGGAGTCGTTAAACATGAAGGTACAGCTACAGTTTCAGATGTGAGGATAAGCACTTCAGGTGTCCATTGAGTCACAGTGATCATGGAAACAACATGAATCACCTATGGATCTACACCAAGTGTGCAGAGAAAGGGCATTGGTACAGGTTATGAAATACATGGGAATGTGCGTGTATCAGCTCAGTGTAGTCTACTCTTGCTGACAGGAACTCTCCAGGTCCTGAGGCAGGTGACATTCTTGTCCAGCTGCTGCTGCTATCAGAAGCTTTTTAAACTGCAGGTGTCAGGGTGATGCCACAGAAGCAACACACCATTTTGAAGCAAGCAAGTTGGCCATCTTTCCTTGAGAACCAGTTGAGGGTTCATCCACACTTCCATTTGCCTCTGCACTTTCCTTTGGAAAGCAGTTTTGTGCTGAATAGGAACAAATGGCAATTGGTTTTTCCACAAAGAGCAGGTTTCCTAGGGGAAAACAGTGTAGCAAAGGCAGAACTGCTCAGACCTAGTAAGCATGCCTAGTAAGCACAGGACAAGCAGAAAACCCCACAGACCCAGACTTCCTAGGCATGTGGACAAGCCTGAGTAGATTGTATATACACCTCCTAAAGATACAACCAGTTTTATACACGGTTGGTATGGAAGTCATCTGCATCCAGAAAAGGTAACGTTCTAAATCAAAGCATTTCCATGGGTGGCTGGAATTTTCAAATCAGGCATTTTTCACAATCACGACTACACAACAGCCCAGTTGCATGGTGAAGGGAGCACAATGCTGCCATGTCCTTTATCTGTCTCCTGCCCCCCATCATGATCTTGTCCAGAGGGGTTGCAGCACTTAGGTAGCCCATCAAGAAACCCATCCACAAGAGTATTCTTTTCTTCTCCCCAGTCCTGCAAGCTGGATGCTTCTCCCAGTTAAGTTTGCACAGGTTTGCCGCCTCAGGTAGCACTTGGGAAGTGTCTTCCCATTGACACCTCCTGTCTCTTTGGGGTGAAAAGACACCTTGTGAGGATGAACCCAGTGGCGTAGCGTGGGGGGTGCAGGGGGGGCTGGCCGCACCGGGCGCAACATCTGGGGGGGCGCGCTCGCACTCGCAGCTCTCTGCCCCTACCTGGCTCACTCTCTCTCACTGCAGTGCTGGCTGTGCGAATCCGATCTGAGCCGCTGGGTCGCCGCCCACTGTGGAGGGGGTGGGTGCCAGGTGTGCGGTGCGGAGAGAGAGCGAGGGACTATCTGGGGGAGGGACAGTGCAGCGGCAGCGCAGCGCTGAGCACGGGAGAGAACCACACCAGACCAGACCAGGCAGCAGCAAGAAGAAGCTGGCAGCAGCGGCAGGTTAGGGGGCGCAAATTACTTGCCTTGCCCCGGGTTAGGGGGCGCAAATTACTTGCCTTGCCCCGGGTGCTGACAACCCACGCTACGCCGCTGGATGAACCTGTCAGATGTCTGTGCAGTTGCAGGATAATTTGCAGTGATAATGGGAACAACATGGATTGCCTTTGGATCCACATCAAAGAGTTCAGAGAAAGGGTACTAATACAGGTGTGAAATGCACTGGAACCTGCGCACCTCAACTCAGTGTAGTCTACTCTGAGTGGCAATTACTCTCCAGGGCCTGAGGCAAACGAGGCTCTTGCTTATTGGCTGCTGCTTGTTGGCCTCTGTTTGTCTCCAGAGACAATGGCAAGTGCCTCTGGGGTGAAGTTTAACTGTGCATTAGCAGCACCAAAGCAAGCCTGGGCAGTATGTATGGAGGCTCTGGGTTGGCCAGAAGACAAGAGGCCCCGCCCCCCTCAGCCTCACTGATGTAGTCCAAAGGAAAGCGGAGCAAGACGCTTTGCAATAGCTTGGCTGCAGGAGTTGCCAGGAGGAGGCGTACGAGGCACCATCCAACCCTCTTAAGGACTCCGCTCTGGGTTTGCGTACGGTTTACTCCTTAACCTTTTCTTCTTCCAAAGATCTCCCACAAGACAGCAGCATCCAGAAAAGCCGCCATTCTATCTCTTCCCACATCCATGGGGGCTGCAAACCTTTCCCTTCTTTCTCAGTGTTGAAAGAAACTTTAAATCTTACCATGGACAGAATTCCCTTTGCAAAGTGAGAGTGCAGGCAAGGTCCTCCAGATGTTGGGCCACAACTACTCATCCTCCCCTGCCATTGGCCATGTTTGCTGGGGGAGCTGGAAGCCCAAGAGAACAACATCTGGAGGGCACCAGGCTACAGAAGGCTGTCCTGGCCCTAGGCTTCCATGGAAAAATGGTCAGCATGACAGAGAAGCAAGATCACTCCCAAGAGTGGCAGGTGGCCATTGGACTAAGGGGGATAGCCTAGTCCCCTAAATGGTCCCCTGGAGACTCCTTTGCAAAGCCCAGGAAGCTTCTGCCCGGCTTAGGGAGGGAGGTGCAAGGCTCCGATGGGTCCAAGATCTGTCCTGTCATCTTCCCAAAGCCCATCTGGCTTTTGGAAGGAGGCAAGAGGCTCCAGTGTCCTGTCAGAGCCCTGGCACCTCCTTGGCAAAGCCTGGGAAGATTCTGCCTGGCTTAGGGAGGGAGGTGTGATGTTCACGTCCGCAGTGTCAGGATGTCACATGTGTTACATCAACCCCCCACCCCCACCCCTCACAAGCTAGGGCCTCTGGCCCTAACTGTTCCCCTATGAAAAATTTCACTGCACGATACTGAGTCGTCCAACAACACAAAACCAAGTCTACAGCTTCAGAGCCATAGATACTGCCCACTCTTTTCAAAGGAAAAACCTGTGAGCAGGGAGTCTTGTACTAATAATGCTCAGACTTACCCACTTGGACTTCATTCTCTGCCTCTTCGCAACGTTGCCCAGTATAGGGAGATGGGCAGTGACAACGACCCCCGACAAGCACTCCTCCATTAAGGCACTTAAGAGGGACAGCTGTGGTGGAAGGAGCTGAGCAAGAGGAAGACAACAGAGCATAACCAAAATTTAAGTACAAGTTTACAAAGGAGCCCTCATATATGGCGATGATGTTGATGATCCAACCGTTTATATGCTGTACGGCTTAATGGTATTATTTCTAAGAAGTGTCCAGTGACAGTTCAAGAGCGATACAAATGATCAATTAGATTTCATCAGAAAATCAAAAAGTGTTGCTTAAACTGCTTGCTGAAAACAACAAAGCCTTCTTGGGTGCCTGAAGTTCACTAAAGAAGATGTGTCAGCCAAGATGGAGTTCCACAGAATTGGGCCACAATTCTGAACACACAGCTCCTGGGGGAGGGGTGAGCTGTGTGCCTGAGTCATGGGGGACCACTTAGAGCCACTCCTACAAAGACGGGAGTGATCTAACAACACATCAAGCGGTGTTGAAGAAATCCTGGACTCGCGTTAAGGCACCGAAACATATGCACAGCACATGTAAACTGTTAAGCCCTGGAATACTGTGCTGGGAGAGAAACATCATTTCCATATGAATATATAGATACCTACCAGAGGAGCTTGTAATCTGTGAATGAGTCGATGTACGCCCACGAGTAATGGTGGAAGGGGAAGATGTCTTTGGGGTGGATATTTTCGTAGCAGTATAAGCAGAAGGTGTGGTAGTTGCATTAGCAGAAGTTGCTGAGGTTGCATAAGCAGAAGGTGTTGTTTTCAAATTTGTAGAAATGGATGTTTCACTTGTTGTGCTTGGCATCTCCCTAGAACGGATAGGTAACAAATTGTATTAGACTATTTTTAAAACACACACATAACTATTCACCACAGATAGTACTTATTGGACCCGCCTACGGGGAAGAGTTGACCGCATGTCTCCTCTCCCTCCTTCACCCCCTGGCATGCTACTCACCGGCATTTGGGCCCCTCAGAGGTGATGTAGCACTTTCCATTCACACAGGGGAATGGGTGGGGGTTCCAATCACTGCAATTAGAGACACAATGAAGTGTGTTGTTGATGATCCGTGCCACATAATATGGCTGGAGGTTTTGTGCCACCACTGAGGCATTCTTGCATTCGTCCGACAGATCTAGGAATGGAAAAGGAGAGAGTAGGGTCAGCAAAGGAAGAATGCAAATGTCTCACAACACCACATGCATGGGAATAGGACATGGGTAGGCAAACTAAGGCCCAGGTGCCAGATCCGGCCCAATCACCTTCTAAATCCGGCTCGCGGACGGTCCGGGAATCAGCATTTTTTTATATGAGTAGAATGTGTGCTTTTATTTAAAATGCATCTCTGGGTTATTTTGAGGGAATAAAATTAATTCATTCATTATTTTTTTCAAAATATAGTCCAGCCCCCCACAAGGTCTGAGGGACAGTCGACCGGCCCCCTGCTGAAAAAGTTTGCTGACCCCTGGACTAGGAGAACAAAAGAGGAGCTTGGCTGCTGGATCATCATCATCAATATATATATATATATATATATATATATATATATATATATCCCACACACTAATTCCCTCCCACACGGCAGTCCTCACCTTTAGGACTCAGCGGCACTGCGGTCACACGAGATGCTCCTTCAGTAAAGCAGAGCTTATCTAAAGTAGAGAGGGAAAGCAAAGGTGAGGCTTCTGAAAGGAAGAAATCACGGGGGGGGGGGGGGGACAACCATGGGGAGGGACCTCTACTTCAACACCCCCCCCCACTTGTAATGAGTCCCTGCCACCAAGGCTGAAGGAAGCACACCTCTTCTGACAGGAAGCAACCTGATATTCATCTCCATGTGGGCATGGGAAAATCAGCTGGGGTCAGTTGATGTTACAGCACTGCTGCTGGGGTAACAGAGAAGGGTTTGCACCCTCACTCCTCAGCATGGATAGATAACACTAGGTGGCCTCAGATATAGCATTACTGAAGCTCATTCTATTCTTGATTCCTGTTTGGAGTGAAATTCATTCCATTTTGGACAATAAGCTTTCGTACAGTTTCATCTTGCTCAATCTCAAAGGGATACCTCTGTTCCTAGTGAAACAACGTAATTGTTTTGGACCAGGGGAGTTGGGGTGACCTTGGACAGTGGAGCTGCTCAGGTTCTGCAGAGAGGTGGCTCACCGGCCGCCTCACAGCCTGTCTTTGGGCTCCCAGTGTGGCTGGCAACCCCAGGCTTAACTCCTGACTACCACCTTGGTAACCCCATCCTATGCATGTTGACTCAGGAGTACATGCACTTGTGATGCTGGTGCAATTTACTCCCAAATAAGGAGGGACAGAATCACAACCATTGGATGACTTCTGCTTTCTCATGCCAGCCAGACCTTCCCATGAGAAGTGGCAGGCGCCTCCTCACCTTTGTCATTGGAAGTGCAATTCTTTTGCAAGGTCTGTGTGAGGTTCTTCATGGAAGCATTGTAAGAAGCATTGAAGTCTGAGAAGTGAAGCTGCAGGAGCACCTCGTGGTCCACGATAATACTACCATTGCTGAGAAGAGGCAGGAGGAAGGAAGAGAATAAATCACTTAGCCACAACCCCAAAGGTGCCCTCAGCCAGCCTGATGTGAGGTGAATGATGGTAGTGGGGGCTGTCGCTTAAAGGGGCGTGGCCACTCACAGCAGTGACCCAGGAGATTGCATGGCACCAAGCAGCACCCTCCCTCCCATACTTGGTCCCCAGCTGTATCTCTTCTGTGACTCACCTCAGCCGAATCACCTTTACACCCGTGTACCCAGGAATGTCCGCATAGAGGATGTCCATCTGCAAGGAGAGAGAGGTCTCATCTCAGCTGCATAGACAGCAACAGTCGGAAGCACCAACCAACAGCAGGTTCTGCACATAAACAGCAGAGCAGCTGCCCACTGCGAGTATGACCGCCACCCCGATCATATCAGACAGGGTGCCTCTTTGAGGTCCAGGTCAGCAGCCCTAGAATCATAGAACTGTAGAGTTGGAAGGGACCTGAGGGTTATTGGGTCCAATCCCTGCAATGCAGGAATTTCCACGGCAGAAGAAACAACAAAAAACTCCACATGTAAACTAGTTTGTGGATCTGAGAAATACTAAACCCCCCATCGCAGCAGATTCTGGGTCCCTCCTGTGTGCTGAGTAGGGCCTCTCTATCCTGCTGTGCTCCTTTACCTCCTCCACCCTTCCAACACACCTTTGGGGTATCTCCTGTGCTGGGCATGGCTAGTCGGTGGCCCTCCCCCAGCTGTTCTTGGACTCCAGTTCCCAGCAGGCAGCCTGGCCAAAGGGATGGGATGATTATAAAGGCTGGAAGATGACCTTTGCCACTTTAACATTGGTCTTTCAAAAGTGACAATTAGGAAGACGGTTCCTGATGTGTGTATTAGGGTTTGAACCATCAGTTCTGAGCTACAAATTACAGAAACAGCTTTCTATACTCATCTGATGGCTCCATTTCTGAAGCTGGATATCCAGGTATTCCAAATGAGGGAAACCTGACTGTGTTTCCAGACTTGCTGTGAATGAACTTCACCACTGAGGAATGGAGTATGAATGGGGCCTGGACTCAGAAGTCGCCATAGGGTTCGGGTTTGGGTGTGGGTATTTTGGGGGGTGTCATCTCTCTGTGCACTCCCAGCCACCCCTCACCTGTTCCTCAAAGATCTTCACAAATGTCTTGAAGACAGAAGAGCTGGAATTCGCCATCTCTGGGCTGAACTTCCGATTCTTCACTGTTACAGAGACATTGATTGTGGCCACAACAGTCACTGTGATCAGAAAGCACAGGAGTCATTAAACATGAAGGTACAGCCACAGTTTCAGATGTGAGGATAAGCACTTCAGGTGTCCATTGAGTCACAGAAGAATTGCAGTGATCATGGAAACAACATGAATCACTTCTGAACGCACACCAAGTGTGCAGAGAAAGGGCACTGGTACAGGGTGTGAAATACACTGGAATGTGCGCGTATCAGCTCAGTGTAGTCTACTCTTGCTGACACGAACTCTCCAGGCCCTGAGGCAGGTGACATTCTTGAGGCCAGAGTGGTCCCCCACATTGGTGCCCTTCGGGTGTCATTGGGCTGCAATTACAAATCCTCCCTGGCCATTGGCCATGCTCACTGAGTCTGATGGGAGGACAGCCATGTCTGGAGAGCACAATATTATGGAAGGCTGGCTTGGGCACTCGTGTCTCAAGACTTCAATAGAGAAACACTCATGTCATCAAAGAAGCAAGATCACTCCCAACAATGCAAAACACAAAGTTTGAAGCCGCAGGACCACAAATATTGCCCACCTAGAAAATTACTACACATACCCGGACATTCCTGATCTTTTGTTTTCTTTTTTTTTTAAAATGATATTTATTAAGGTTTCCAATAAAAAGAACACATCAATAAAAAAGAAAAAAGAAAAAAGAAAAATACACAATTCAAAAATACACAATACATAATCCAAAAAAAAGCAAAAGACAAAAAAGAAAACAGTTAAAAATAATACCACCTTTTCATCACCATTTTTAAATTTACTTATTTTCTGGACCTCCTCATACCTCCCTCTTTTGTATTCCAGTTCAATTTATTTGTCCAGCAGTTTCTTTCCCTCTTTTTTAATCCCAATCCTTAATCTTAATATAATATAACCTTAAATTTTTACCTCTTAAAAGTCAAATTTCCATTTCCTTTAACTTTTTTTTTAATCCTAATCCTTAATCTTGATCTATATATAACTTTAAAGCCTGTATAGCTAGAAGCCACTTATTTTCAATCCAGCATCACTCTAACATTCTTTAATTTTGCAATGTTTCTGCAGATAGTCTTTGAATTTCTTCCAATCTTCCTCCACCGACTCTTCTCCCTGGTCACGGATTCTACCAGTCATTTCCGCCAGTTCCATATAATCCATCAGTTTCATCTGCCATTCCTCCAGTGTGGGGAGCTCTTGTGTCTTCCAATACTTTGTGATGAGTATTCTTGCTGCTGTTGTTGCATACATAAAGAAAGATCTATCCTTTTTTAACAGCATTTGGCCTACTATGCCCAGGAGAAAGGCCTCTGGTTTCTTCAAGAAGGTCTATTTAAATTCCTTTTTAATTCATTATATATCATTTCCAAGAAAGGCTTAATCTTTGGGCACGTCCACCAAAGGTGAAAAATGTACCTTCAGTTTCTTTACATTTCCAACATTTATTATCGGGCAAATGATAGATTTTTGCAAGCTTGACTGGGGTTATGTACCACCTGTATATCATTTTCATAATATTCTCTCTTAGGGCATTACATGCCGTAAATTTCATACCTGTGGTCCATAACTGTTCCCAGTCCGAGAACATAATGTTGTGTCCAACGTCTTGTGCCCATTTAATCATAGCTGATTTTACCGTTTCATCCTGAGTGTTCCATTTCAGCAGCAAGTTATACATTCTTGACAAATTCTTAGTTTTGGGTTCTAACAGTTCAGTTTCTAATTTTGATTTTTCCACCTGGAAGCCAATTTTCTTGTCCAATTTAAATGCCTCCATTATCTGAAAATAATGAAGCCAGTCTCGCACTTTGTTTTTTAGTTTTTCAAAGCTCTGCAATTTCAGTCTATCTCCATCTTGTTCCAAAATTTCCCAATATTTCGGCCATTTGACCTCCATATTGAGCTTTTTCAAGGCTTTCGCTTCCATTGGTGACAGCCACCTTGGAGTTTTATTTTCTAATAAATCCTTATATCTTATCCAAACATTAAACAGCGCTTTCCTGACAATGTGGTTTTTAAATGCTTTATGTGCTTTGACCTTATCATACCACAGATATGCATGCCATCCAAATACATTATTAAAACCTTCTAGGTCCAAAATGTCAGTGTTTTCAAGAAGCAGCCATTCTTTCAACCAGCAAAAAGCTGCTGATTCATAATAAAGTTTGAGGTCTGGCAGGGCAAATCCACCTCTTTCCTTTGCGTCCATTAATATTTTAAATTTTATTCTGGGCTTCTTGCCCTGCCAGACAAATCTAGAAATATCTTTCTGCCACCTCTTGAAACAATCCATTTTGTCCACAATTTGCAAAGTTTGAAACAAAAACAACATTCTAGGCAATACATTCATTTTTATCGCAGCAATACAGCCCAGCAGTGAAAGCTTCAAATTTGACCAAATTTCTAAATCTTTGTTCACTTCAGCCCAACATTTTTCATAATTATCTTTAAATAAATTCCCATTTTTTGCTGTCATGTTGATCCCCAGGTATTTCACTTTCTTAACCACTGTTAAACCTGTCATATTCTGAAACCTCTCTTTCTCCATTGGTGTTAGATTTTTCTCTAAAACCTTAGTTTTTACCTTGTTCAATTTAAATCCTGCAACTTGACCAAATTCTTGAATCAATTCTAAAACTCTTTTAGTACTAGATTCTGGCTCCTGTAACGTCAATACTAAATCATCTGCAAATGCTCTCAATTTGTACTGTTTAGCTCCGACCTGTATACCTTTGACCAACTGGTCCCTTCTAATCATGTTCAGCAAAACCTCCAGGACCGAAATAAAAGAAGTGGGAAATTGGGCAACCTTGTCGTGTCCCTTTTTCAATTTTAAGTTCTTCCGTCACCACAATATTTACAATTAATTTAGCCTTTTGTTCTGAATAAATTGCACTTATACCATTCTCAAAGCCTTGGCCTACCCCATACCCTGTAGATTCTTCTTCATAAAGTTCCAGGAAATGTTGTCAAAGGCTTTTCCGCGTCCACAAATATCAAAACTGCTTTAGTGTTTATGTTCACTTCTAGTTTTTCCAGAATATCAATTATATTCCTCAAATTGTCAGACAGATGTCTTCCTGGGAGAAAGCCCGCTTGGTTTTTATGAATCTCTTCCATCAACACTTGTTTAAATCTCTTGGCCAAAATGGCAGCAAATATTTTGTAATCCACATTAAGTAATGATATAGGGCGGTAGTTCTTAAGCTGTGTCTTTTCAGTCTCTGTTTTCGGTACAAGTGTAATATATGCTTCTTTCCACGACTCTGGTGCTCTTTTCCCCTCCATTATTTCATTGCAGACCTCTTTCAAAGGTTGTATTAACCATTCTTTCAAGGATCTATAGTATCTAGAAGTCAAACCATCTGGTCCTGGAGATTTACCCAATTGCATATTTTGAATGGCACCTTCTATTTCTTGTTCAGTTATTTTGTAATTCAAAATTAGTTTATTTTCTTGATATTTTTTGTAATCCATTTGTTTTCAAAAATTGATCTAAGTCTGTTTCTTTCAATGGCCCTTGGGTATATAATCGTTTAAAGTACCTCTGGAAACAATTTCTAATCTCTGCGGGGTTCTGTATATTTCTTCCTTCCACTTCTAAGTTCGTGACCGTATTTAGTTTTTGTCTCTTTTTCATTTGCCATGCCAACAATTTACCACATTTGTTAGCTGACTCAAATGTCTTTCGTCTCATTTGTTTAATTTTCCATTCTATTTCCTGATTCATCATTTTCATATATTGTACTTGATATAACTTTAACTCTCTCAAAATCTCTTGAGATTTGGGGTTTACTCTCAGTCTTTTTTCACTCTCCTTTATTTTGTCCAATATCTTATCCTTCTTCTCATTTTGAATTCTTTTCTTTACTGCGTTCTGTTGTATTAGGAACCCTCTCATAACCGCTTTACTTGCGTCCCAGATTACTCTTTTCTCCACATTGGTGCTCAAATTTATCTCAAAATAGTCTCTCAAGGTTTTTTGGGCCTTCTTAAGTACTTCTTCATCTCTAAATAAGGTGTCATTCATCTTCCATCTAAAGGAGCCAGTTGGTGTTAATCTCATTTCCATCTTGACAGCATTGTGGTCGGAGCAAGTTTTCGGGCAGATTTCCACCTTTCTTGTCTTTGGTGCCATTCCTCTAGTTATCCAAATTTGGTCAATTCTTGTCCATGTCATTTTGGCTTCAGAAAAGAAGGTTCCCTCTTTAGCCATGGGGTTTCTTATTCTCCAAATATCAACTAAGTCCAAGTTGTCTGTCATGTCAAAAAAGGTTTTCGGTAGTCTACCATCCTTAGTGACTACCTGTCTTTGTGCCTTGTCCATATATGTAGATACCACTCCATTCATGTCTCCCATCAAAATCATGTTGTAATCCAAATAGTCCATCAGGGTCTCGTGCAACTTCTTAAAAAATTCAGATTTCCCATCATTTGGTGCATAGATTCCTACTATCAAAAATTTTTCTCCTTGCGTTTGAATTTCAATTGCCACAAATCTTCCTTGGTCATCTTTAAAAACAAATTTCGGTGATAGTCTGTCCTTTGCATAAATCACAACCCCTCTTTTTTTTAACTTTGTCCGATGAAATAAACTCCTGACCAAGTCTTTTATTTATCAACAGTTTCCTGTGTAATCTTGTTATATGTGTTTCTTGTAGACAGATCAAGTCCAATTGTTCCTTTTTAATAAGTGAAACACTGATTTCCTTTTCTGAGGGAATTCTAAAGGGAAGTTCTCTTTCTGCAGTTCTCTTGCTGCACATAACTGTGGCATTATGGGAAATCTTGCTATTAGAACTATTGCTTCTTTTCTCTTGCATTCTGGGAAGTCTCGCTTCTGCTTCTGCACATACTGTTCCAAACACACCAAGCCTAACACACCAAGACATTCTCTCATTCTTCAGTTCATTCCAAGTTCATGAACAAAACAATATGGTCTGTTCTTAATGCATAGCTGACCACATCTACGGAACTTGATTATTATATTCTTTCATGTTATGATCAATCATTAGTAATTGTTTTAGTCATGTTATATTAATCTTTAGTTATAATTTAATTAGGAGGATTCATGCCTGTCTAGTTCTAGCTCCATTTCTCAGCCTTTGATCTATCAGTGATAAATAGTTATATGTAATTCCCGCCTTATACCTATGTTAACCAATCAGCAACAAGATGCTTTGTGTTTGTATCAACCAATCAGCCACAAGCACACCTGTGGCAATGTTTGTAATATTCAGTAAAAGAGAGTTCCCGGGGCTCGCCCCGGCAGACACCTCTCATATGACACCTACCACTCGTCTGTCGTGATTTCAACCCAACATCTGGTGACCCCCGACGTGCCAGATCCCTTACGCAGCCAGCCCTCATACTTCACTCGACTGGAAAAGTCTCAGCGTGCTACTTCGTGAGTATGGGAGGGAATTGACTAAATTCCAAAAAGAGCATGCTAAAGAATTGCTTTATTTAGTTAGACAGCGAGCGGTGGGTGTTAATATTTCCTTAAAAGAAATTGAACAATTGCTATGTGAGATTAATTGCCAATGTCCCTTCTATCCTGAGGCTGGTTCCTTGGAGGTAGAGACTTGGCAAAAGATTGGAAAGACCCTTTTTACAGAACCAAGGGCTCCGATTCATTGTCTGCTCACTTGGCAGAAATGTGCAGACGCCGTTGCTAAATTAGGGCCCCAATTGGGACCCCAGGCGTCTCCCCTTCTGGCCACTGCAGACAATCCCCCCACCTTACCCAAAGCTTTTGCCTCCTTCTCCTTTGCAGCCCAGCCAATCCCTCCCTGCGTCTCAACCTCCTCAGCCTGCATCCTCCCCCCCCATCCCTCCTCCGCCTGCCACAGCCCCTGTTTGCTCTATAGGAGCTGTGCGCGCTGCGCTTTCTTTGGCCAGGCAGAAAGGGCTCCTGTCCTTAGAGGAGGAGTCTGAGTGGCCAGGTGAAATGCCGTCTGCTTTCCCTATCACCTATTCAAACCCTGGAACTGCTCAACAGCAGGTTTTTTATGAGTCACTTCCTTATTCTGTAATGAGAGAATTAAGGAAAGCCATTACTGATTCTGGTCTAAAATCCTCCTATGTAACAGGAATGCTAGAAGGCATAGCAACTGGTTACATAATGCTACCTCAAGACTGGAAAGACCTGATGCGCATGCTTTTATCCCCAGCTCAGTATGTGGTGTTTGAGAGTGAATTTAAACATAGCGCATCAGCCCTGTCTGATCCGCAGCATACTGCCAATCAACTTTATGGCGCTGGTCAGTATGCTGATATAACAGCCCAGGCGACGCTGACACCTGTACATTTTAGTCGCACCGCGACCTGTGTACAACGCGCCTTTCGGAAAGTCCCTGTTTCAGGGCAACCGCTGAGCTCCTTTGTTAATATTAAGCAACAGCATTCGGAGCCATACCATCAGTTTATAGATAGATTGAAAGAATCAGTCACTAGGCAGATTGATAACACTACAGCTCAAAATGAATTGATGAGAAAATTGGCCTTTGAAAACGCAAACACCGATTGCAAGAAAGCATTGCAGTCAATCATACATCGCCCTAAATATGACCTGGCCGATATGATTCAAGCTTGTGCGGATGTCGGTAGCCAGAGCCATGCGATGTCTTTGCTTGCTGGCGCAATCCAAGCTACTAATAGACCTACAGGTGATTGCTTTAATTGTAAGCGCCCAGGCCATTTTGCCAAGCAATGCAGAGCCCCTGGCGGGGGGGCAAACAAGGATGGTGCTGCCTCTAAGGCTAAACCTTCTAAAAAATGCCCGAAATGTGGAAAAGGCTATCATTGGGCTAATCAATGCAGGAGTCCGGGAAACTCCATTGCGGCCCCACTCTCGGGCCAGGGCAATTAGAGAGTTTTCCACCTTTAGTTTCCGCTGCTGCAAACTTTTCTAAAAAAACACCCTCTGAATTTGCCATTGATTTGATCAATCAAGAGACCAAAGACTCTGTTTTACCTGGTGAAATTGTGCTTATGCCCACTCAATTGGCAGGCCCACTGCCTCCTAAAGTCGCAGGTTTAATTTTACCCAAATTTTCTGCGGCAAAAGAAGGAATCCAGGTTATTCCAGGAGTTCTGGATCCTGACTATGTAGGCACAATAATGGTTCAACTCTGGAGCCATATGCCCATGCAATTAAAAAAGGGTGAGTCCTGGGCGCATTTGGTGGTGCTCCCTTCTCATCCTACTGCTTCTATTATGGATACTAATTTGCACGAGCTCTCTTCTTTCCCTCCACAGCTGTTAGCTGTAGTCCAGAGGATTGGTGAAAAGAAACTTCTTCGTAAGTATAAAATCAATGGTATTGTGCTGGAAGGCTTGATTGACACAGGCGCAGACGTTTCTGTAATTTCTAGTAGTTGCTGGGACCCCACGTGGCCCCTTGAGTCTGCCTCTGCAGTCTGGGGTGTGGGTGGCCCCCAAACCTCTTCCAAAAGCGTACAGTGGCTGCCTGTTTCTCTGCCTGATAGCTCTGAAACCATTGCATACATCCAGCCCTATGTGCTGAAAATCCACCTCAATCTGTGGGGAAGAGATTTACTACAACAATTACAAGCTACCATTCAATTTAATGAGTAGCTTGTACTTCCCCTCAGCTGGAAATCTACCAGTCCTGTATGGGTGGAACAATGGCCCATAACGGGAGAAAAGCTACTTGCTTTAAAACAATTAGTGAATGAACAATTATCGGCAGAGCATATTGAGCCTTCAGTTAGCCCCTATAATACACCCATCTTCGTCAGAAAAAGAAGAGTGGCAAATGGAGATTTCTCCAGGATTTAAGGAAAATAAACCAAATCCTTGAACCCATGGGGCCTTTGCAGTGTGGTCTGCCTAATCCAAATATGATTCCACATTCTTATCAATTGGCTATAATAGACCTGCAAGATTGTTTCTTCTCCATTCCCCTACAGGAGAAGGATCGTAAATTTTTTGCTTTTACTGTTCCTGTGTTAAATAACAGTCAGCCCATGGAACGGTACCAATGGAAAGTCCTACCACAAGGGATGTTGAATTCCCCTACCATGTGCCAATACATCAGCCATGGCACACCTTGCTGCTTAAGCCGTTTGTCCATCATTTTACCCAAGAAGCATCATTTATCCCGCTCTCGATATCGCCGCAATATTGAATTGACTAATGATTGTGATGCTTTTGTCTCTTTTCCCAGTAGGTCTGAATATATCTTTTTAGTTGTTTCTCTCTTAGGAGTCCCTGGATTGGCTGTACGGAATCGTATGAACATTAATTCTTTAGCTTGTTATGCAGCAAAAACTCTGAATTTTACTTCACAAGCTCTTCACCTTTTGAATAAAGAACAGAGTGAACTACAAAATGGACTTTTACAAAATCGTGCTATCGATTATTTGCTGATGCTTCATCATTATGGCTGTGAACAAGTGAATGACATGTGTTGTTTCAATATTACAGTGGTGCCCCGCAAGACGAATGCCTCGCAAGACGGAAAACCCGCTAGACGAAAGGGTTTTCCGTTTTGGAGGTGCTTCGCAAAACGAATTTCCTATGTGCTTGCTTCGCAAGACGAAAATGTCTTGCGAGTTCCTGCGGGGGTTTTTTTCCTTCCCCCCCCCCTTTTTCCCAAGCCGCTAAACCGCTTATTAGCTGATGGCTAAGCCGCTTAACAGCTGATGCTAAGCCGATTATCAGCTGATCGTTAAGCCGCTTATCAGCTTATCGTTAAGCCGCTTATCAGCTGATCGTTAAGCCGCTTATCAGCTGATCCACTAAGCCCGCTAAGCCTGCGGGGTTTTTTTCCTTCCCCCCCCTTTTTCCCAAGCCGCTAAACCGCTTATCAGTTGATGGCTAAGCCGCTTAACAGCTGATGCTAAGCCGCTTATCAGCTTATCGTTAAGCCGCTTATCAGCTGATCGTTAAGCTGCTTATCAGCTTATCGTTAAGCCGCTTATCAGCTGATCCACTAAGTCCGCTAAGCCGCTAATACTGTAGCACTAATCCGCTAATGGGCTTGCTTCGCAAGACGAAAAAACCCGCAAGACGAAGAGACTCGCGGAACGGATTCTTTTCGTCTTGCGAGGCACCACTGTACTGACAATTCTAGAGCCATTCAAAGCCAAATCTCTCATTTGCAAAATCTTGCACATCACATTAAACAGGACGTTGGTTTTTCTGGCCTCTGGGATTCTTTCACCCAGTGGCTTACCGCTTGGCTGCCTAACCTTACTTGGCTTCGTGGTCTTTTTCAATATGCTATTGTCATAATTTGTATACTTATTTTGCTATGCTGCTTCAATGCGTTCCTAGCCTCATAAGTCTTCTCTCTCGGCTTCTCTCTCCCCCTCAGCCACCAAGTAAACTCCTTGCTGCCTACTTTGCGAAATGGCAACACCAACAGTAAACTTTAGGGGAGATGTTGGCAGACTTATTTTGGGCATGCGCTGGCAAACCACGTATCCTGAAGTATTTTTGTCCCATCGACCCTGGCGAACTTATTTTGGGCATGCGCTGGCACACCACGTATCCCGAATTATTTTGCCTTATTGACCCAGAACGCCTCGCAAACAAGAAAAGAAAGGGGAGATAAAGGAAGTTCTCTTTCTGCAGTTCTCTTACTGCACATAACTGTGGCATTGTGGAAATCTTGCTATTAGAACTATTGCTTCTTTTCTCTTGCATTCTGGGAAGTCTCGCTTCTGCTTCTGCACATACTGTTCCAAACACACCAAGCCTAACACACCAAGACATTCTCTCATTCTTCAGTTCATTCCAAGTTCATGAACAAAACAATATGGGCTGTTCTTAATGCATAGCTGACCACATTTACGGAACTTGATTATTATATTCTTTCATGTTATGATCAATCATTAGTAATTGTTTTAGTCATGTTATATTAATCTTTAGTTATAATTTAATTAGGAGGATTCATGCCTGTCTAGTTCTAGCTCCATTTCTCAGCCTTTGATCTATCAGTGATAAGTAGTTATATGTAATTCCCGCCTTGTACCTATGTTAACCAATCAGCAACAAGATGCTTTGTGTTTGTATCAACCAATCAGCCACAAGCACACCTGTGGCAATGTTTGTAATATTCAATAAAGAGAGTTCCCGGGGCTCGCCCCGGCAGACGCCTCTCATATGACACCTACCACTCGTCTGTCGTGATTTCAACCCAACAGAATTCAGACCATGACAGTTTCAGGTTAATAGTTGCAGGGCCATGATGTGATTATTTTGGTTCTCCTCCAACGGCACCTAGTGCCTGTTCCTGTTTCATCGGTGGTATCACGTTTTTCAGGCGGTCTTTTAGTTCCAGAGGTAGTCCTGGTATGTCTAAAGCTTCTCTTGCAATTGTTCTTAGCTCTCCTGTGACTTTCTTTTGTAGGTCTTCTCCGTGGTCTCTCCAGAATTTGTCTTTGTCGTCTTCCGATCTTATTTTCCTCTTCTTTCCTTTGTAACTAAAGGATAGGCCTTGAGTAATTCCCACCTGAAGTTAATTCTATTACTTTTCAACAAAGTAACCAGGTCTTTATAGTTAGATCTGAGATCCAGAAGGTGTTTCGGAATGTCCTTAAATATCTCCACTCTTGTCTGATGTATTTCCAGTGTCTTCTGGAAATGCAAACCCAAGATCTTGTCCCTCTCTTCTTTTGTTCGGAGAGTAATCAAACAGTCTCTCACCTTCTTTCCTCCTCCTTTTCCAAGTCTAAAAGCATTCACTATTTTGAAACTGTCTTTTACCAATTCTGGATTCCAAAAATCTGAGAATTCCTGCGTAAGAAAATCAATTAAATTGTCCTTCTCCACTTCAGGTACTGCTCTGACCCTTAAATTCACTTGTTTCTCTTTCAACTCAATCATAGACAGGGTTAACTTATGGTCTTCAAGTTGTTTATGTAACGGTGGTATCTTCTCTTGAACCTCTTGAACCTCTGCAACAGACGCTGTAGCAATTTCTTTGGCCTCTTCGGCAATCTGACGTGTTGAGGCCGATTCCTCTAATAATTTCTGAATAGTCTCTGTATTAGTATTTACTTTCTGGCCCAAATTATTTAAACTTACTGTATTTTGATTAATACTTGTTGTATTTTGATTAATACTTGTTGTATTTTGATCAATCTTGTCTGATGCCTCTGCTACTTGTTTGCGTATTTTGTCCAAAGATTCATTAATTTTAGCCAAAACCTGAGCAAAGGCGTCATCGCTTGCCATACCTTTAGTTTTGGGTTGTGCCGATGGGGCTGCTGTTGGAACTCCAGAGGGGCCAGGGGTCGAAGCTCTTCTTTGTAGTCCACCGTCTGTTCGCAATACTTTGCCCGACCTTGTTGCTTGTAGCGACTCTAATTTCTCTTTCCCATCTGCCATCCCCCTCTAGATAAAACTCAAGGTCAGTCACACAGTTGAATTCAGAATTGTTTTGAAGTGGAAAGTTCCAAGAAGACAGTGTGGGAAAATCCTCAGGCCAACTGCAATTGTAACTAGTTGTAACAAGTTCCAAATTCCACTAGGGGACACTGTAACAGTCATAAAGTTCTTAAATGCTTTACTTCTTCTTTAAGTCCCACCAATTCATCAGAAAGATAACAATCTATCTTAAACAGTTACTTTAAGACCAGGAGATACCTATCCACAATATCGTATCCAAATTGTATTTCAAGTGCAAGACTAGCTGTCAAAATATGTTCAAAGACAGTACCTTTTCTCCAGCTTTTTATTGTCTCTGGGAACCCATTCCCATGGGATTGAGCGGTGGTTTTTATCTTCTTTTTCTCACTTCTTCTTAACAAAATAACATTCAAAGCTTCCCCCCCTCTTCCTTCAAGTTGAGGAGGAAAAGTCCTAGTTAGATGATTGGATTGAAATCCTTTTATGCGTCTTTTCAAAGCTTCCGCTTTCAAGTTCAATGCTTTGTTTTATCTACAGAAGCGGGAGGCAGACTTCCTTTTTATACCTCTCTGCTTCGGCCAAATTCCTTTCAAATTTGTACAGTTCCTTAATTGCGTAAAAATCCTACTCACGGATCGTTGTTTTCAAAGCCAAATTTCCAAGAAAGAAAGGCAGCGCTCTCCGGTCACAGCTGCGCGGCTTCACTCCACAGAAGAAGCAGACGACTCACAGCACAGCGCTACTTCCCCCGTTCCGTTCCGGAACCCGTTGCCGGGCTCCTTCACGGATTGGGGGGGCGCAAAACGTGCCCGCCGAGTCCCAGGTTCACAGGCTTCACCCGCCTGTGATTTCAAGGGTCCCCCGCTACGCCGAAGCGGGATCCGACCCTGTTTTCCGTGGAGCAGTTCCCTCTGATTAGAGGGAATCCGCCATTAACCGATGGCGCCACCTCCGGAAGTCCCTGAGCTTTTGTTTTCAAAGGAAGAGCCAGAGGGCAGGAGACTTGAACTAATAATGCTCAGACTTACCCACTTGGATTTCATTCTTTGCCTCTTCACAACTCTGCCCAGTATAGGGAGATGGGCAGTGACAAAAACCCTCAACAAGCACTCCACCATTAAGGCACCCGAGAGGGACAACTGTGGTGAAAGAAGCTGAGGAAGAGGAAAAGAACAGAACAGAACATTAACAATATTTAAGAACAAATCGATAAAAGAGCCCTCATATCAGGATCCAACAATATATATGCTGTAAAGCGATGATTTCTAAGAAGTGTCCAGTGAGGGTTCAAGAGAAATACAAATGATAGAATCAATTATAATTCATAAGAAAACCAAAAGTGTTGCCTAAACTGCTTGCTGAAAACAACAAAGCCTCTATGGGTGCCTGAAGTTCAGTCAGGAAGAGGTCTCAGCCAAAGGGAGTTCCACAGAATTGGGCCACAATTCTGAACACACAACTCATTGGGGGTGACCTGTGTCCCTGAGTCATGGGGAACCAGTTAGAGCCACTCCCACAACGACGGGAGTAATCTAACAGGGATATAACGCATCAAACAGTATTGAAGAAATCCTAGACTCAAGTTGTTAAAGTCCTTGTAAATTAATACAATAACGTTGTAGTTGGTCCAGTATGGGCAGCATATGTAAACTGTTAAACACTGGAATACTGTACTGTGAGATAAACATCATTTCCATATGATTACACAGATACTTACCAGATGAAGTTGTAAGCTGTGAATTAGTCGATGTGGGTCCATGAGTAGTGGTGGAAGGTGAAGATGCCTCGGAGGTCGATATTTTCATAGTAGTATAAGCAAAAGGCGTTAATGTAGTGGGCAACAGTGTTGGGGTCATTTCTGATATGCTAGTAGTAGAGTGTGTGGTTATGGACTCAGCGATGGATGCAGATGATAATGTTGTATTGGAAGTGCTTTGAGCTACAGTAGTGGTGAAAGTCTCTCCACTTGTTTCAAGGGATGTCGATGAATGAGATGTTCCACTAGTGGCAATTTCAGTGCTAGCAGATCCATGATAGGCTGTGGAAGTTGTAAGCAGTGGTGAGCTCCGTTCTGTTGTACGGGTGGTGTTGGTGCTAGCAGATAGGATGGCTGTAGTTGTCTCAGAAGGCTCAGAACTGGAAGTAAAAGGGGTGGTGGATGAAGTAGGTGTTGTGGTCTCACTAGTTGTGGCTGGAGTTTCTGAAGTCACCTCAATGGAGGTGACGGACGATGTAGACTGAGAAGACAGCTGTTTTGTGGATGGTTGCTCAGTAGTGGAAGAACTAGACATCATTGTGTACTCAGATGAGGTCCCTTCTAAGGTAGTCTGCTTCATGTGCTCAGTGGGTGTGTTTGTGCTTGAAGATACGCTGGGTGCAGTTGTCTCTGAAGGCTCAGGACTGGATGTAAAAGAGGTTGTGGATGGAGTAGGTGTTGTAGTTTCACTTGTTGTAGTAGTAGTTGCAGTAGTCAACTCACTGGAGGAGGCAGAGAATGTTAACTGGGAAGACATCTCTGTTGTGGATGGATGTTCAGTAGTGGAAGAACTAGACATCACTGTGTACTCAGATGAGGCCCCTTGTGATGAGCTCTGTTCTGGTGTATGGGTGGTGTTGGTGCTAGCAGACAGGATGGCTGCAGTTGTCTCAGAAGGTCCAGAAGGAGAAGTAAAAGGAGTCATGGAAGGTGTAGATGTTGTACTCTCACTAGTAGTGCTTGTAGTTTTAGAGGTCAACTCACTGGAGGAGGTAGTGAATGTGGACTGAGAAGACAGCTGTTTTGTGGATGGTTGCTCAGTGGTGGAAGAACTAGACATCACTGTGTACTCAGATGAGGTTCCTTGGGGTGTAGTCTGCTCCATGTGCTCAGTGGGTGTGTTTGTGCTTGAAGACAGGGTAGGTGCAGTTGTCTCAGAAGGCTCAAGACTGGAGGTGAAAGGGGTCTTGGAGGAGAAGATGTTGTGGTCTCACTAGTTGTGGTTGGAGTTTCAGAGGTCACCTCAATGGAGGAGGTAGAGAATGTTGACTGAGAAAACAGCTGTGTCGTGAGTGGTTCCTCAGTGGTGGATGAACTAGACTTCACTGTGTACTCAGATGAGATTCCCTGTGGTGTAGTCTGCTTCAAGTGCTCAGTGGGTGTGTTTGAGCTTGATGATAGACTGGGTGCAGTTGTCTCAGAAGTCTCAGAACTGGAAGTAAAAGGAGTCATGGAAGGAGTAGGCATTGTACTCTCACTAGCAGGGCTTGTAGTTTCAGAGTTCAACTCACTGGAGGAGACAGACAATGTTGACTGAGAAGACAGCTGTTTTGTGGATGGTTGCTCAGTGGTGGAAGAACTAGACATCACCGTGTACTCAGATGAGGTTCCTTGTGGTGTAGTCTGCATCATGTACTCAGTGGGTGTGTTTGCGCTTGATGATAGGAAGGGTGCAGTTGTCTCAGAAGGCTCAGGATTGTATGTAGAAGGGGTATTAGATGGAATAGGTGTTGTAGTCTCACTAGCTGTAGCTGTAGTTTCAGTACTATGCTCACTGGAGTAGGTAGTGAATGTGGACTGAGAAGAAAGCTGTTTTGTGGATGGTTGCTCAGTGTTGGAAAAACTAGACATCACCGTGTACTCAGATGAGGTTACTTGTGGTGTAGTCTGCTCCACATGGTCAGTCGGTGTGTTTGTGCTTGAATACAGGGTAGGTGCAGTTGTACGGGTGGTGTTGGTGCTAGCAGTTAGGATGGCTGCAGTTGTCTGAGAAGGTTCAGAACGAGAAGTAAAAGGAGTCATGGAAGGAGTAGGTGTTGTACTCTCACTAATAGTGCTTGTAGTTTCATAGGTCACCTCAGTGGAGGAGGCAGAGAATGTTATCTGAGAAGACATCTCTATTGTGGTTGGTTGTTCAGTAGTGGAAGAACTAGACATCACTGTGTACTCAGATGAGGTCTCTTCTGAGGTAGTCTGCTCCATGTGCTCAGTCGGTGTGTTTGTTATTGTGGACAGGCTGGGTGCAGTTGTCTCAGTAGGCTCTGGACTGGGTGTAGAAGGGGTGTTGGATGGAGCAGGTGCTGTAGTCTCACGAGTTATGGTTGGAGTTTCAGAAGTCACCTCACTTGAGTTGACTGACATTGTTGACTGAGAAGACATCTCTGTTGTGGATGGTGGTCCACTGGTGGAAGAAGTAGACATCACTGTGTACTCAGATGAGGTCCCTTCTGAGGTAGTGTGCTTCAAGTGCTCAGTGGGTGTGTTTGTGCTTGAGTATAGGCTGGGTGCAGTTATCTCTGAATGCTCAGGACTGGATATAGAAGAGGTCTTTGATGGAGTAGGTGTTGTAGTCTCACGAGTTGCGGTTGGAGTTTCAGAAGTCACCTCACTGGAGGAGGCAGAGAATGTTATCTGAGAAGACAACTCTAGCGTGGATGGTTGTTCAGTGGTGGAAGAACTAGACATCACTGTGTACTCAGATGAGTTCCCTTGCGGTGTAGTCTGTTTCACATGCTCAGTTTGTGTGTTTGTGCTTGAAGATAGGCTGGATGCAGTTGTCTCAGAAGGTTCAGGACTGGGTGTGTAACCTGAATAAGAGGAAGAAAACTGAATATTAACAACATTTAAGAACATGCCAAGAAAGGAAATTTCATCAGAAAATCAAAAAGTGTTACCTAAATTGCTTGCTGAAAACAACAAAGCCTCTATGAGTGCCTTACGTTCAGTCAAGAAGAGGTCTCAGCCAAAAGGGAGTTCCACAGAATTGGGCCACAATTCTGAACACACAGCTCATGGGAGGTGACCTGTGTCCCTGAGTCATGGGGAACCAGTTAGAGCCACTCCCACAAAGACGGAAGTGATCTAACAGGGATATAACGCATCAAACAGTATTGAAGATATCCTAGACTCAAGTTGTTAAAGGCCTTGTAAAGCAATACAATAACGTTGTAGTTGGCCCAGTATGGGCAGCATGTGTAAACTGTTAAGCACTGGAATACTGTACTGTGAGATAAACATCATTTCCATATGATTACACAGATACTTACCAGATGAAGTTGTAAGCTGTGAATTAGTCGATGTGGGTCCATGAGTAGTGGTAGAAGGTGAAGATGCCTCCGAGGTCGATATTTTCATAGTAGTATAAGCAAAAGGCGTTAATGTAGTGGGCAACAGTGTTGGGGTCATTTCTGATATGCTAGTAGTAGAGTGTGTGGTTATGGACTCAGCGATGGATGCAGATGATAATGTTGTATTGGAAGTGCTTTGAGCTACAGTAGTGGTGAAAGTCTCTCCACTTGTTTCAAGGGATGTCGATGAATGAGATGTTCCACTAGTGGCAATTTCAGTGCTAGCAGATCCATGATAGGCTGTGGAAGTTGTAAGCAGTGGGGAGCTCCGTTCTGTTGTACGGGTGGTGTTGGTGCTAGCAGATAGGATGGCTGTAGTTGTCTCAGAAGGCTCAGAACTGGAAGTAAAAGGGGTGGTGGATGAAGTAGGTGTTGTGGTCTCACTAGTTGTGGCTGGAGTTTCTGAAGTCACCTCCATTGAGGTGACTGACAATGTAGACTGAGAAGACAGCTGTTTTGTGGATGGTTGCTCAGTAGTGGAAGAACTAGACATCATTGTGTACTCAGATGAGGTCCCTTCTAAGGTAGTCTGCTTCATGTGCTCAGTGGGTGTGTTTGTGCTTGAAGATACGCTGGGTGCAGTTGTCTCTGAAGGCTCAGGACTGGATGTAAAAGAGGTTGTGGATGGAGTAGGTGTTGTAGTTTCACTTGTTGTGGTAGTAGTTGCAGTAGTCAACTCACTGGAGGAGGCAGAGAATGTTAACTGGGAAGACATCTCTGTTGTGGATGGATGTTCAGTAGTGGAAGAACTAGACATCACTGTGTACTCAGATGAGGCCCCTTGTGATGAGCTCTGTTCTGGTGTATGGGTGGTGTTGGTGCTAGCAGACAGGATGACTGCAGTTGTCTCAGAAGGTCCAGAAGGAGAAGTAAAAGGAGTCATGGAAGGAGTAGATGTTGTACTCTCACTAGTAGTGCTTGTAGTTTTAGAGGTCAACTCACTGGAGGAGGTAGTGAATGTGGACTGAGAAGACAGCTGTTTTGTGGATGGTTGCTCAGTGGTGGAAGAACTAGACATCACTGTGTACTCAGATGAGGTTCCTTGGGGTGTAGTCTGCTCCATGTGCTCAGTGGGTGTGTTTGTGCTTGAAGACAGGGTAGGTGCAGTTGTCTCAGAAGGCTCAAGACTGGAGGTGAAAGGGGTCTTGGAGGGAGAAGATGTTGTGGTCTCACTAGTTGTGGTTGGAGTTTCAGAGGTCACCTCAATGGAGGAGGTAGAGAATGTTGACTGAGAAAACAGCTGTGTCGTGAGTGGTTCCTCAGTGGTGGATGAACTAGACATCACTGTGTACTCAGATGAGGTTCCTTGGGGTGTAGTCTGCTCCATGTGCTCAGTGGGTGTGTTTGTGCTTGAAGATAGACTGGGTGCAGTTGTCTCAGAAGTCTCAGAACTGGAAGTAAAAGGAGTCATGGAAGGAGTAGGCATTGTACTCTCACTAGCTAGGGCTTGTAGTTTCAGAGTTCAACTCACTGGAGGAGACAGACAATGTTGACTGAGAAGACAGCTGTTTTGTGGATGGTTGCTCAGTGGTGGAAGAACTAGACATCACTGTGTACTCAGATGAGGTTCCTTGGGGTGTAGTCTGCTCCATGTGCTCAGTGGGTGTGTTTGTGCTTGAAGACAGGGTAGGTGCAGTTGTCTCAGAAGGCTCAAGACTGGAGGTGAAAGGGGTCTTGGAGGAGAAGATGTTGTGGTCTCACTAGTTGTGGTTGGAGTTTCAGAGGTCACCTCAATGGAGGAGGTAGAGAATGTTGACTGAGAAGACAGCTGTGTCGTGAGTGGTTCCTCAGTAGTGGAAAAACTAGTCATCAGTGTGTACTCAGATGAGGTCCCTTCTGAGGTAGTCTGCTTCAAGTGCTCAGTGGGTGTGTTTGAGCTTGATGATAGGTTAGGTGCAGTTGTCTCAGAAGGCTCAAGACTGGAGGTGAAAGGGGTCTTGGAGGGAGAAGATGTTGTGGTCTCACTAGTTGTGGTTGGAGTTTCAGAGGTCACCTCACAAGAGGGGACTGACAATGTTATCTGAGACGACACCTCTGTTATGGATGGTTGTTCAGTGATGGAAGAACTAGACATCACTGTGTACTCAGATGAGGTTCCTTGTGGTGTAGTCTGCCTCAAGTGCTCAGTGGGTGTGTTTGTGCTTGAAGACAGGGTACGTGCAGTTGTGTCAGAAGGCTCAGAACTAGAAGTTAAAGGGGTCATGGAAGGAGTAGGCATTGTACTCTCACTAGTAGTGCTTGTAGTTTCAGAGGTCAGCTCACTGGAGGAGGTAGTGAATGTGGACTGAGAAGAAAGCTGTTTTGTGTATGGTTGCTCAGCAGTGGAAGAACTAGACATCACTGTGTACTCAGATGAGGTCCCTTCTGAGGTAGTCTGCTTCATGTGCTCAGTGGGTGTGTTTGCTCTTGATGATAGGAAGTGTGCAGTTGTCTCAGAAGGCTCAGAACTGGATGTAAAAGGGGTATTGGATGGAGTATGTGTTGTAGTCTCACTAGGTGTAAGTGGATTTTCAGAAGTATGCTCACTGGAGGAAACTGACAATGTTGACTGAGAAGAAAGATGTTTTGTGGATGGTTGCTCAGTGGTGGAAGAACTAGACATCACTGTATACTCAGATGAGGTCCCTTCTGAGGTAGTCTGCTCCACGTGCTCAGTGGGTGTGTTTTTGCTTGAAGATAGGAAGGGTGCAGTTGTCTCAGAAGGCTCAGGACTGGATGTAAAGGGGTCATGGATGGAGTATGTGTTGTAGTCTCACTAGTTGTTGTTGGAGTTTCAGTACTATGCTCACTGGAAGAACTAGACATCACTGTGTACTCAGATGAGGTTCCTTGGGGTGTAGTCTGCTCCATGTGCTCAGTGGGTCTGTTTGTGCTTGAAGACAGGGTAGGTGCAGTTGTCTCAGAAGGCTCAAGACTGGAGGTGAAAGGGGTCTTGGAGGGAGAAGATGTTGTGGTCTCACTAGTTGTGGTTGGAGTTTCAGAGGTCACCTCAATGGAGGAGGTAGAGAATGTTGACTGAGAAGACAGCTGTTTTGTGGATGGTTGTTCAGTGGAGGAAGAACTAGACATCACTGTGTACTCAGATGAGGTCCCTTCTGAGGTAGTCTGCTTCATGTGCTCAGTGGGTGTGTTTGCGCTTGATGATAGGCTGGGTGCAGTTGTCTCAGAAGGCTCAGGACTGGAGGTGAAAGGGGTCTTGGAGGGAGTAGATGTAGTCTCACTAGTTGTGGTTGTATTTTCAGAAGTCACCTCACTGGAGGAGACAGACAATGTTGACTGAGAAGACAGCTGTTTTGTGGATGGTTGCTCACTGGTGGAAGAACTAGACATCACTGTGTATTCAGATGAGGTCCCTTGTGGTGTACTCTGCTTCATGTGCTCAGTGGGTGTGTTTGGGCTTGAAGATAGGCTGGGTGCAGTTGTCTCAGAAGGCTCAGGACTGGATATAGAAGTGGTTCTGGATGGAGTAGGTGTTGTAGTCCCACTAGTTGTGCTTGGAGTTTCAGAAGTGGTGGATATTTTCGTAGTAGTGTAAGCAGAAGGTGTTGTTTTCAAATTTGTAGAAATTGATGTTTCACTTGTTGTGCTTGGCGTCTCCCTAGAACGGATAGGTAACAAATTGTATTTGGCCATTTTAAAAAAACACACGTAACTATTCACCGCTGGTACCCACCTGCAATGAAAAGTTGACCCCACATCTCCTCTCCCTCCTTCAACCCCTGGCATGCTACTCACTGGCATTTGGGCCCCTCAGAGGTGATGTAGCACTTTCCATTCACACAGTGGAATGGGTGGGGGTTCCAATCACTGCAATTAGAGACACAATGAAGTGTGTTGTTGATGATCCGTGCCACATAATATGGCTGGAGGTTTTGTGCCACCACTGAGGCATTCTTGCATTCGTCCGACAGATCTAGGAATGGAAAAGGAGAGAGTAGGGTCAGCAAAGGAAGAATGCAAATGTCTCACAACACCACATGCATGGGAATAGGACATGGGTAGGCAAACTAAGGCCCAGGTGCCAGATCCGGCCCAATCAGCTTCTAAATCCGGCTCGCGGACGGTCCGGGAATCAGCATTTTTTTACATGAGTAGAATGTGTGCTTTTATTTAAAATGCATCTCTGGGTTATTTTGAGGGAATAAAATTCATTCATAATTTTTTTCAAAATATAGTCCGGCCCCCCACAAGATCTGAGGGACAGTCGACCGACCCCCTGCTGAAAAAGTTTGCTGACCCCTGGACTAGGAGAACAAAAGAGGAGCTTGGCTGCTGGATCATCATCATCATTTTATATATATATATATTTATCCCACACACTAATCCCCTCTCACACGCCAGTCCTCACCTTTAGGACTCAGGGGCACTGCGGTCACACGAGATGCTCCTTCAGTAAAGCAGAGCTTATCTAAAGTAGAGAGGGAAAGCAAAGGTGAGGCTTCTGAAAGGAAGAAATCACGGGGGGGGGGGGACATCCATGGGGAGGGACCTCTTCTTCAACTCCCGCCCCCACTTGTCATGAGTCCCTGCCACCAAGGCTGAAGGAAGCACACCTCTTCTGGCAAGAAGCAACCTGATATTCATCTCCATATTGGCATAGGAAACTCAGCTGGGGTCAGTTGATGTTGCAGGAGAGCTACTGGGGTATCAGAGAAGGGTTTGCACCCTCACTCCTCAGCATGGATAGATAAAACTAGGTGGCCTTAGATACAGCCTAAATGAGGCGCCTTCTATTTTTGATTCCTGTTTTTCTCTGGAGTGAAATTGGCATGCTGGGAAGACCTTGATTTCATTCCATTTTGGACAATAAGCTTTCGTACAGTTTCGTCTTGCTCAATCTCAAAGGGATACCTCTGTTCCTAGTGAAACAACATAATTGTTTTGGACCAGGGGAGTTGGGGTGACCTTGGACAGTGGAGCTGCTCAGGTTCTGCAGAGAGGTGGCTCACCGGCCGCCTCACAGCCTGTCTTTGGGCTCCCAGTGTGGCTGGCAACCCCAGGCTTAACTCCTGACTACCACCTTGGTAACCCCATCCTATGCATGTTGACTCAGGAGTACATGCACTTGTGATGCTGGTGCAATTTACTCCCAAATAAGGAGGGACAGAATCACAACCATTGGATGACTTCTGCTTTCTCATGCCAGCCAGACCTTCCCACGAGAAGTGGCAGGCGCCTCCTCACCTTTGTCATTGGAAGTGCAATTCTTTTGCAAGGTCTGTGTGAGGTTCTTCATGGAAGCATTGTAAGAAGCATTGAAGTCTGAGAAGTGAAGCTGCAGGAGCACCTCGTGGTCCACGATAACACTACCATTGCTGAGAAGAGGCAGCAGGAAGGAAGAGAGAGAAATCACTTAGCCACAACCCCAAAGGTGCCCTCAGCCAGCCTGATGTGAGGTGAATGATGGTAGTGGGGGCTGTCGCTTACAGGGGAGTGGCCACTCACAGCAGTGACCCAGGAGATTGCATGGCACCAAGCAGCACCCTCCCTCCCATACTTGGTCCCCAGCTGTATCTCTTCTGTGACTCACCTCAGCCGAATCACCTTTACACCCGTGTACCCAGGAATGTCCGCATAGAGGATGTCCATCTGCAAGGAGAGAGAGGTCTCATCTCAGCTGCATAGACAGCAACAGTCGGAAGCACCAACCAACAGCAGGTTCTGCACATAAACAGCAGAGCAGCTGCCCACTGCGAGTCTGACCGCCACCCCGATCATATCAGACAGGGTGCCTCTTTGAGGTCCAGGTCAGCAGCCCTAGAATCATAGAACTGTAGAGTTGGAAGGGACCTGAGGGTTATTGGGTCCAATCCCTGCAATGCAGGAATTTCCACGGCAGAAGAAACAACAAAAAACTCCACATGTAAACTAGTTTGTTGATCTGAGAAATACTAAACCTTCCATCCCAGCAGATTCTGGGTCCCTCCTGTGTGCTGAGTAGGGCCTCTCTATCCTGCTGTGCTCCTTTACCTCCTCCACCCTTCCAACACACCTTTGGGGTATCTCCTGTGCTGGGCATGGCTAGTTGGTGGCCCTCCCCCAGCTGTTCTTGGACTCCAGTTCCCAGCAGGCAGCCTGGCCAAAGGAATGGGATGATTATAAAGGCTGGAAGATGACCTTTGCCACTTTAACATTGGTCTTTCAAAAGTGACAATTAGGAAGACGGTTCCTGATGTGTGTATTAGGGTTTGAACCATCAGTTCTGAGCTACAAATTACAGAAACAGCTTTCTATACTCATCTGATGGCTCCATTTCTGAAGCTGGATATCCAGGTATTTCAAATGAGGGAAACCTGACTGTGTTTCCAGACTTGCTGTGAATGAACTTCACCAATGAGGAATGGAGTATGAATGGCGCCTGGACTCAGAAGTCGCCATAGGGTTCAGGTTTGGGTGTGGGTATTTTGGGGGGTGTCATCTCTCTGTGCACTCCCAGCCACCCCTCACCTGTTCCTCAAAGATCTTCACAAATGTCTTGAAGACAGAAGAGCTGGAATTCGCCATCTCTGGGCTGAACTTCCGATTCTTCACTGTTACAGAGACATTGATTGTGGCCACAACAGTCACTGTGATCAGAAAGCACAGGAGTCATTAAACATGAAGGTACAGCCACAGTTTCAGATGTGAGGATAAGCACTTCAGGTGTCCATTGAGTCACAGGAGAATTTCAGAGATCATGGTAACAACATGAATCACTTCTGGATCCACACCAAGTGTGCAGAGAAAGGGCGCTTGTACAGGGTGTGAAATACACTGGAATGTGTGCGTATCAGCTCAGTGTAGTCTACTCTTGCTGACACGAACTCTCCAGGTCCTGAGGCAGGTGGCATTCTGGTCCAGCTGCTGCTGCTCCTGCTGGTATCAGAAGCTTTTTAAACTACAGGTGTCAGGGTGATGCCACAGAACTAACACACCACTTTGAATCAAGCAAGTTGGCCATCTTTCCTTGCAAACCAGTTGAGGGCTCATCCACACTTCCATTTGCCTCTGCCTCTGGGGAAAGTGTTTTATGCTGAATAGGAAGAAATGGCAATTGGTTTTTCCACAAATTGATGTTTGTTCTGATGTAGTGCTAAAGAGCAGGTTTCCCAGGGGAAAACAGTGTAGCAAAGGCAGAACTGCTCAGACCTAGTAAGCATGCCTTGTAAGCACAGGACAAGCGGAAAACCCCACAGACCCAGACTTCCTAGGCATGTGCACAAGCCTGAGTAGATTGTATATACACCTCCTAAAGATACAACCAGTATTATACACGGTTGGTATTGAAGTCATCTGCATCCAGAAAAGGTAACATTCTATATCAAACCATGTCCATGGGTGGCTGGAATTTTTCACTTCTTTCTCAGTATTCAGAGACACTTTCAGTCTCTTCATGGGCCAACTACCCTTCACAAGAGTGACAGTGCAAGCAAGTTGAGGTCAGAGGGGTCCCCCAACTTGGTGCCCTTCAGGTCTTGATGGGCCACAACTTCAAATCCTCCCTGGCCATTGGCCATGCTAACTGAGGCAGATGGGAGGACAGCCATGTCTGGAGAGCAGAATGTTAGGGAAGGCTGGCTTGGGCACTCGTGTCTCAAGACTTCAACGGAGAAACACGCAGGTCATCAAAGAAGCAAGATTACTCCCAGCAATGTGAAACACACACTTTGAATCAGCAGGACCACAAATATTGCCCACCTAGAAAATTGCTACACATATCCAGACATTTTTGAGCTTTTGTTTTCAAAGGTAGAACCAGAGGGCAGGAGCCTTGTACTAATAATGCTCAGACTAATAATGCTCAGACTTACCCACTTGGATTTCATTCTTTGCCTCTTCACATTGCTGCCCAGTATAGGGAGACGGGCAGTGACAAAAACCCTCGCCAAGCACGCCACCATTAAAGCACCCGAGAGGGACAACTGTGGTGGAAGAGGCTGAGCAAGAGGACAAGAACAGAACAGAATATTAACAATATTTAAGAACAAGCCAACAAAAGAGCCCTCATATCAGGATCCAACAATATATATGCTGTACCGCTTAAAGCGATGATTTCTAAGAAGTGTCCAGTGAGGGTTCAAGAGAAATACAAATGATAGAATCAATTAGATTTCATCAGAAAACCAAAAAGTGTTGCCTAAATTAATTGCTGAAAACAACAAAGCTTTCGCAGGTGCCTGAACCTCAGTAAAGAAGAGGTCTTAGCCAAAAGGGAGTTCCACAGAATTGGGCCACAGTTCTGAACACACAGCTCATTGGGGGGTGACCTGTATCCCGGAGTCATGGGGAACCAGTTAGAGCCACTCCCACAACGACGGGAGTGATCTAACAGGCATATAACGCATCAAACAGTATTGAAGAAATCCTAGACTCAAGTTGTTAAAAGCCTTGTAAATTAATACAATAACTTTGTAGTTGGCCCAGTATGGGCAGCATATGTAAACTGTTAAACACTGGAATACTGTACTGTGAGATAAACATCATTTCCATATGAATACACAGATACCTACCAGACAAACCTGTAAGCTGTGAATTAGTCGATGTGTGTACACGAGTAGTGGTGGAAGGGGAAGATGCCTTGCTGGTGGAAAATGACAGTGTTGACTGAGAAGACAGGTGCTTTGTGGATGGTTCTTCAGTTGTGGAAGAACTAGACACCTGGTGGGGGGGGGGGGGGGGGGGGGGGGGGGGGGGGGGGGGGGGGGGGGGGGGGGGGGGGGGGGGGGGGGGGGGGGGGGGGGGTGGGGGTGGGGGGGGGGGGTGTACTCAGATGAGGTCCCATGTGGTGTAGTCGGCTTCAGGTGCTCAGTGGGTGTGTTTGTTCTTGTGGATAGGCTGGGTGCAGTTGTCTCAGTAGGCTCAGGACTGGGTGTAGAAGGGGTCTTGGATGGGGTAGGTGTTGTAGTCTCACTAGTTGTTACTGGAGTTTCAGAAGTTATCTCACTGGAGGTTGCAGGGAGTGTTTTCTGAGAAGACACCTCTGTTTTGGATGGTTGTTCAGTGGTGGAAGAACTAGACTTCCCTGTGTACTCAGATGAGGTCCCGTGTGGTGTAGTCTGCTTCAGGTGTTCAGCGGGTGTGTTTGTTCTTGTGGATAGGCTGGGTGCAGTTGTCTCAGTAGGCTCAGGACTGGGTGTAGAAGGGGTCTTGGAGGGAGTAGGTGTTGTAATCTCACTTGTTGTAACTGTAGTTTCAGTACTATGCTCACTGGAAGAGGTAGTAAATGTGGACTGAGAAGACACCTCTGTTGTGGATGGTTGTTCAGTGGTGGAAAAACTAGACTTCACTGTGTACTCAGATGAGGTCCCGTGTGGTGTAGTCTGCTCCACGTGCTCAGTGGGTGTGTTTATGCTTGTGGATAGGCTGGGTGCTGTTGTCTCAGTAGGCTCAGGACTGGGTGCAGAAGGGGTCTTGGATGGGGTTGGTGTTGTAGTCTCACTAGTTGTTACTGGAGTTTCAGTACTATTCTCCCTGGAGGAGGTAGTGAATGTGGACTGAGAAGACACCTCTGTTTTGGATGGCTGTTCAGTGGTGGAAGAACTAGACTTCACTGTGTACTCAGATGAGGTCCCGTGTGGTGTAGTCTGCTCCACGTGCTCAGTGGGTGTGTTTATGCTTGTGGATAGGCTGGGTGCTGTTGTCTCAGTAGGCTCAGGACTGGGTGTAGAAGGGGTCTTGGATGGGGTTGGTGTTGTAGTCTCACTAGTTGTTACTGGAGTTTCAGTACTATTCTCCCTGGAGGAGGTAGTGAATGTGGACTGAGAAGACACCTCTGTTGTGGATGCTTGTTCAGTGGTGGAAGAACTAGACTTCACTGTGTACTCAGATGAGGTCCCGTGTGGTGTAGCCTGCTCCACGTGCTCAGTGGGTGTGTTTATGCTTGTGGATAGGCTGGGTGCTGTTGTCTCAGTAGGCTCAGGACTGGGTGTAGAAGGGGTCTTGGATGGGGTTGGTGTTGTAGTCTCACTAGTTGTTACTGGAGTTTCAGTACTACTCTCCCTGGAGGAGGTAGTGAATGTGGATTGAGAAGACACCTCTGTTGTGGATGCTTGTTCAGTGGTGGAAGAACTAGACTTCACTGTGTACTCAGATGAGGTCCCGTGTGGTGTAGTCTGCTCCACGTGCTCAGTGGGTGTGTTTATGCTTGTGGATAGGCTGGGTGCAGTTGTCTCAGTAGGCTCAGGACTGGGTGTAGAAGGGGTCTGCGAGGGAGTAGGTGTTGTAATCTCTCTTGTTGTAACTGCAGTTTCAGTACTATGCTCCCTGGAGGAGGTAGTGAATGTGGACGGAGAAGACACCTCTGTTGTGGATGGTTGTTCAGTGGTGGAAGAACTAGACTTCCCTGTGTACTCAGATGAGGTCCCGTGTGGTGTAGTCGGCTTCAGGTGTTCAGCGGGTGTGTTTGTTCTTGTGGATTGGCTGGGTGCAGTTGTCTCAGTAGGCTCAGGACTGGGTGTAGAAGGGGTCTGCGAGGGAGTAGGTGTTGTAATCTCTCTTGTTGTAACTGTAGTTTCAGTACTATGCTCACTGGAGGAGGTAGTGAATGTGGACGGAGAAGACACCTCTGTTGTGGATGGTTGTTCAGTGGTGGAAGAACTAGACTTCACTGTGTACTCAGATGAGGTCCCGTGTGGTGTAGTCTGCTTCAGGTGTTCAGCGGGTGTGTTTGTTCCTGTGGATTGGCTGGGTGCAGTTGTCTCAGTAGGCTCAGGACTGGGTGTAGAAGCGGTCTTGGAGGGAGTAGGTGTTGTAATCTCACTTGTTGTAACTGTACTTTCAATACTATGCTCCCTGGAGGAGGTAGTGAATGTGGACTGAGAAGATAGTTGTTTCGTGGATGGTTGTTCAGTGGTGGAAGAACTAGACTTCACTGTGTACTCAGATGAGGTCCCGTGTGGTGTAGTCTGCTCCACGTGCTCAGTGGGTGTGTTTATGCTTGTGGATAGGCTGGGTGCAGTTGTCTCAGTAGGCTCAGGACTGGGTGTAGAAGGGGTCTTGGATGGGGTTGGTGTTGTAATCTCACTTGTTGTAACTTTAGTTTCAGTACTATGCTCCCTTGAGGAGGTAGTGAATGTGGACTGAGAAGACACCTCTGTTGTGGATGGTTGTTCAGTGGTGGAAGAACTAGACTTCACTGTGTACTCAAATGAGGTCCCGTGTGGTGTAGTCTGCTCCACGTGCTCAGTGGGTGTGTTTATGCTTGTGGATAGGCTGGGTGCAGTTGTCTCAGTAGGCTCAGGACTGGGTGTAGAAGGGGTCTTGGATGGGGTAGGTGTTGTAGTCTCACTAGTTGTTACTGGAGTTTCAGAAGTCATCTCACTGGAGGTTGCAGGGAGTGTTTTCTGAGAAGACACCTCTGTTTTGGATGGCTGTTCAGTGGTGGAAGAACTAGACGTCACTGTGTACTCAGATGAGGTCCCGTGTGGTGTAGTCGGCTTCAGGTGTTCAGCGGGTGTGTTTGTTCTTGTGGATTGGCTGGGTACAGTTGTCTCAGTAGGCTCAGGACTGGGTGTAGAAGCGGTCTTGGAGGGGTAGGTATTGTAATCTCACTTGTTGTAACTGTAGTTTCAATACTATGCTCCCTGGAGGAGGTAGTGAATGTGGACTGAGAAAAAGTTGTTTCGTGGATGGTTGTTCAGTGGTGGAAGAACTAGACTTCACTGTGTACTCAGATGAGGTCCCGTGTGGTGTAGTCTGCTCCACGTGCTCAGTGGGTGTGTTTATGCTTGTGGATAGGCTGGGTGCAGTTGTCTCAGTAGGCTCAGGACTGGGTGTAGAAGGGGTCTTGGATGGGGTTGGTGTTGTAATCTCACTTGTTGTAACTTTAGTTTCAGTACTATGCTCCCTTGAGGAGGTAGTGAATGTGGACTGAGAAGACACCTCTGTTGTGGATGGTTGTTCAGTGGTGGAAGAACTAGACTTCACTGTGTACTCAGATGAGGTCCCGTGTGGTGTAGTCTGCTCCACGTGCTCAGTGGGTGTGTTTATGCTTGTGGATAGGCTGGGTGCAGTTGTCTCAGTAGGCTCAGGACTGGGTGTAGAAGGGGTCTTGGATGGGGTAGGTGTTGTAGTCTCACTAGTTGTTACTGGAGTTTCAGAAGTCATCTCACTGGAGGTTGCAGGGAGTGTTTTCTGAGAAGACACCTCTGTTTTGGATGGCTGTTCAGTGGTGGAAGAACTAGACGTCACTGTGTACTCAGATGAGGTCCCGTGTGGTGTAGTCGGCTTCAGGTGTTCAGCGGGTGTGTTTGTTCTTGTGGATTGGCTGGGTGCAGTTGTCTCAGTAGGCTCAGGACTGGGTGTAGAAGGGGTCTGCGAGGGAGTAGGTGTTGTAATCTCTCTTGTTGTAACTGTAGTTTCAGTACTATGCTCCCTGGAGGAGGTAGTGAATGTGGACGGAGAAGACACCTCTGTTGTGGATGGTTGTTCAGTGGTGGAAGAACTAGACTTCACTGTGTACTCAGATGAGGTCCCGTGTGGTGTAGTCTGCTTCAGGTGTTCAGCGGGTGTGTTTTTTCCTGTGGATAGGCTGGGTGCAGTTGTCTCAGTAGGCTCAGGACTGGGTGTAGAAGCGGTCTTGGAGGGAGTAGGTGTTGTAATCTCACTTGTTGTAACTGTACTTTCAATACTATGCTCCCTGGAGGAGGTAGTGAATGTGGACTGAGAATATACCTGTTTTGTGGATGGTTGTTCAGTGGTGGAAGAACTAGACTTCACTGTGTACTCAGATGAGGTCCCGTGTGGTGTAGTCTGCTCCACGTGCTCAGTGGGTGTGTTTATGCTTGTGGATAGGCTGGGTGCAGTTGTCTCAGTAGGCTCAGGACTGGGTGTAGAAGGGGTCTTGGATGGGGTTGGTGTTGTAGTCTCACTAGTTGTTACTGGAACTTTCAGTACTATGCTCCCTGGAGGAGGTAGTGAATGTGGACTGAGAAGATACCTCTGTTGTGGATGGTTGTTCAGTGGTGGAAGAACTAGACTTCACTGTGTACTCAGATGAGGTCCCGTGTGGTGTAGTCTGCTCCACGTGCTCAGTGGGTGTGTTTATGCTTGTGGATAGGCTGGGTGCAGTTGTCTCAGTAGGCTCAGGACTGGGTGTAGAAGGGGTCTTGGATGGGGTTGGTGTTGTAATCTCACTTGTTGTAACTTTAGTTTCAGTACTATGCTCCCTGGAGGAGGTAGTGAATGTGGACTGAGAAGACACCTCTCTTGTGGATGGTTGTTCAGTGGTGGAAGAACTAGACTTCACTGTGTACTCAGATGAGGTCCCGTGTGGTGTAGTCTGCTCCACGTGCTCAGTGGGTGTGTTTATGCTTGTGGATAGGCTGGGTGCAGTTGTCTCAGTAGGCTCAGGACTGGGTGTAGAAGGGGTCTTGGATGGGGTAGGTGTTGTAGTCTCACTAGTTGTTACTGGAGTTTCAGAAGTCATCTCACTGGAGGTTGCAGGGAGTGTTTTCTGAGAAGACACCTCTGTTTTGGATGGCTGTTCAGTGGTGGAAGAACTAGACGTCACTGTGTACTCAGATGAGGTCCCGTGTGGTGTAGTCGGCTTCAGGTGTTCAGCGGGTGTGTTTGTTCTTGTGGATTGGCTGGGTACAGTTGTCTCAGTAGGCTCAGGACTGGGTGTAGAAGCGGTCTTGGAGGGAGTAGGTATTGTAATCTCACTTGTTGTAACTGTAGTTTCAATACTATGCTCCCTGGAGGAGGTAGTGAATGTGGACTGAGAAAAAGTTGTTTCGTGGATGGTTGTTCAGTGGTGGAAGAACTAGACTTCACTGTGTATTCAGATGAGGTCCCGTGTGGTGTAGTCTGCTCCACGTGCTCAGTGGGTGTGTTTATGCTTGTGGATAGGCTGGGTGCAGTTGTCTCAGTAGGCTCAGGACTGGGTGTAGAAGGGGTCTTGGATGGGGTTGGTGTTGTAGTCTCACTAGTTGTTACTGGAACTTTAGTACTATGCTCCCTGGAGGAGGTAGTGAATGTGGACTGAGAAGATACCTCTGTTGTGGATGGTTGTTCAGTGGTGGGAGAACTAGACTTCCCTGTGTACTCAGATGAGGTCCCGTGTGGTGTAGTCTGCTCCACGTGCTCAGTGGGTGTGTTTATGCTTGTGGATAGGCTGGGTGCAGTTGTCTCAGTAGGCTCAGGACTGGGTGTAGAAGGGGTCTTGGATGGGGTAGGTGTTGTAGTCTCACTAGTTGTTACTGGAGTTTCAGAAGTCATCTCACTGGAGGTTGCAGGGAGTGTTTTCTGAGAAGACACCTCTGTTTTGGATGGCTGTTCAGTGGTGGAAGAACTAGACGTCACTGTGTACTCAGATGAGGTCCCGTGTGGTGTAGTCGGCTTCAGGTGTTCAGCGGGTGTGTTTGTTCTTGTGGATTGGCTGGGTACAGTTGTCTCAGTAGGCTCAGGACTGGGTGTAGAAGCGGTCTTGGAGGGGTAGGTATTGTAATCTCACTTGTTGTAACTGTAGTTTCAATACTATGCTCCCTGGAGGAGGTAGTGAATGTGGACTGAGAAAAAAGTTGTTTCGTGGATGGTTGTTCAGTGGTGGAAGAACTAGACTTCACTGTGTACTCAGATGAGGTCCCGTGTGGTGTAGTCTGCTCCACGTGCTCAGTGGGTGTGTTTATGCTTGTGGATAGGCTGGGTGCAGTTGTCTCAGTAGGCTCAGGACTGGGTGTAGAAGGGGTCTTGGATGGGGTTGGTGTTGTAGTCTCACTAGTTGTTACTGGAACTTTAGTACTATGCTCCCTGGAGGAGGTAGTGAATGTGGACTGAGAAGATACCTCTGTTGTGGATGGTTGTTCAGTGGTGGGAGAACTAGACTTCCCTGTGTACTCAGATGAGGTCCCGTGTGGTGTAGTCTGCTCCACGTGCTCAGTGGGTGTGTTTATGCTTGTGGATAGGCTGGGTGCAGTTGTCTCAGTAGGCTCAGGACTGGGTGTAGAAGGGGTCTTGGATGGGGTAGGTGTTGTAGTCTCACTAGTTGTTACTGGAGTTTCAGAAGTCATCTCACTGGAGGTTGCAGGGAGTGTTTTCTGAGAAGACACCTCTGTTTTGGATGGCTGTTCAGTGGTGGAAGAACTAGACGTCACTGTGTACTCAGATGAGGTCCCGTGTGGTGTAGTCGGCTTCAGGTGTTCAGCGGGTGTGTTTGTTCTTGTGGATTGGCTGGGTGCAGTTGTCTCAGTAGGCTCAGGACTGGGTGTAGAAGCGGTCTTGGAGGGAGTAGGTATTGTAATCTCACTTGTTGTAACTGTAGTTTCAATACTATGCTCCCTGGAGGAGGTAGTGAATGTGGACTGAGAAAGAGGTTGTGTCGTGGATGGTTGTTCAGTGGTGGAAGAACTAGACTTCACTGTGTACTCAGATGAGGTCCCGTGTGGTGTAGTCTGCTCCACGTGCTCAGTGGGTGTGTTTATGCTTGTGGATAGGCTGGGTGCAGTTGTCTCAGTAGGCTCAGGACTGGGTGTAGAAGGGGTCTTGGATGGGGTTGGTGTTGTAGTCTCACTAGTTGTTACTGGAACTTTAGTACTATGCTCCCTGGAGGAGGTAGTGAATGTGGACTGAGAAGATACCTCTGTTGTGGATGGTTGTTCAGTGGTGGGAGAACTAGACTTCCCTGTGTACTCAGATGAGGTCCCGTGTGGTGTAGTCTGCTCCACGTGCTCAGTGGGTGTGTTTATGCTTGTGGATAGGCTGGGTGCAGTTGTCTCAGTAGGCTCAGGACTGGGTGTAGAAGGGGTCTTGGATGGGGTAGGTGTTGTAGTCTCACTAGTTGTTACTGGAGTTTCAGAAGTCATCTCACTGGAGGTTGCAGGGAGTGTTATCTGAGAAGACACCTCTGTTGTGGATGATTGTTCAGTGGTGGAAGAACTAGACTTCACTGTGTACTCAGATGAGGTCCCGTGTGGTGTAGTCTGCTTCAGGTATCCAGCGGGTGTGTTTGTTCCTGTGGATGGGCTGGGTGCAGTTGTCTCGGTAGGCTCAGGACTGGGTGTAGAAGGGGTCTTGGATGGGGTTGGTGTTGTAATCTCACTTGTTGTAACTTTAGTTTCAGTACTATGCTCCCTTGAGGAGGTAGTGAATGTGGACTGAGAAGACACCTCTGTTGTGGATGGTTGTTCAGTGGTGGAAGAACTAGACTTCACTGTGTACTCAGATGAGGTCCCGTGTGGTGTAGTCTGCTCCACGTGCTCAGTGGGTGTGTTTATGCTTGTGGATAGGCTGGGTGCAGTTGTCTCAGTAGGCTCAGGACTGGGTGTAGAAGGGGTCTTGGATGGGGTAGGTGTTGTAGTCTCACTAGTTGTTACTGGAGTTTCAGAAGTCATCTCACTGGAGGTTGCAGGGAGTGTTTTCTGAGAAGACACCTCTGTTTTGGATGGCTGTTCAGTGGTGGAAGAACTAGACGTCACTGTGTACTCAGATGAGGTCCCGTGTGGTGTAGTCGGCTTCAGGTGTTCAGCGGGTGTGTTTGTTCTTGTGGATTGGCTGGGTGCAGTTGTCTCAGTAGGCTCAGGACTGGGTGTAGAAGGGGTCTGGGAGGGTGTAGGTGTTGTAATCTCTCTTGTTGTAACTGTAGTTTCAGTACTATGCTCCCTGGAGGAGGTAGTGAATGTGGACGGAGAAGACACCTCTGTTGTGGATGGTTGTTCAGTGGTGGAAGAACTAGACTTCACTGTGTACTCAGATGAGGTCCCGTGTGGTGTAGTCTGCTTCAGGTGTTCAGCGGGTGTGTTTTTCCTGTGGATAGGCTGGGTGCAGTTGTCTCAGTAGGCTCAGGACTGGGTGTAGAAGCGGTCTTGGAGGGAGTAGGTGTTGTAATCTCACTTGTTGTAACTGTACTTTCAATACTATGCTCCCTGGAGGAGGTAGTGAATGTGGACTGAGAAAAAAGTTGTTTCGTGGATGGTTGTTCAGTGGTGGAAGAACTAGACTTCACTGTGTACTCAGATGAGGTCCCGTGTGGTGTAGTCTGCTCCACGTGCTCAGTGGGTGTGTTTATGCTTGTGGATAGGCTGGGTGCAGTTGTCTCAGTAGGCTCAGGACTGGGTGTAGAAGGGGTCTTGGATGGGGTTGGTGTTGTAGTCTCACTAGTTGTTACTGGAACTTTCAGTACTATTCTCCCTGGAGGAGGTAGTGAATGTGGACTGAGAAGACACCTCTGTTGTGGATGGTTGTTCAGTGGTGGAAGAACTAGACTTCCCTGTGTACTCAGATGAGGTCCCGTGTGGTGTAGTCTGCTCCACGTGCTCAGTGGGTGTGTTTATGCTTGTGGATAGGCTGGGTGCAGTTGTCTCAGTAGGCTCAGGACTGGGTGTAGAAGGGGTCTTGGATGGGGTTGGTGTTGTAATCTCACTTGTTGTAACTTTAGTTTCAGTACTATGCTCCCTTGAGGAGGTAGTGAATGTGGACTGAGAAGACACCTCTCTTGTGGATGGTTGTTCAGTGGTGGAAGAACTAGACTTCACTGTGTACTCAGATGAGGTCCCGTGTGGTGTAGTCTGCTCCACGTGCTCAGTGGGTGTGTTTATGCTTGTGGATAGGCTGGGTGCAGTTGTCTCAGTAGGCTCAGGACTGGGTGTAGAAGGGGTCTTGGATGGGGTAGGTGTTGTAGTCTCACTAGTTGTTACTGGAGTTTCAGAAGTCATCTCACTGGAGGTTGCAGGGAGTGTTTTCTGAGAAGACACCTCTGTTTTGGATGGCTGTTCAGTGGTGGAAGAACTAGACGTCACTGTGTACTCAGATGAGGTCCCGTGTGGTGTAGTCGGCTTCAGGTGTTCAGCGGGTGTGTTTGTTCTTGTGGATTGGCTGGGTACAGTTGTCTCAGTAGGCTCAGGACTGGGTGTAGAAGCGGTCTTGGAGGGAGTAGGTGTTGTAGTCTCACTTGTTGTAACTGTAGTTTCAATACTATGCTCCCTGGAGGAGGTAGTGAATGTGGACTGAGAACAAAGTTGTTTCGTGGATGGTTGTTCAGTGGTGGAAGAACTAGACTTCACTGTGTACTCAGATGAGGTCCCGTGTGGTGTAGTCTGCTCCACGTGCTCAGTGGGTGTGTTTATGCTTGTGGATAGGCTGGGTGCAGTTGTCTCAGTAGGCTCAGGACTGGGTGTAGAAGGGGTCTTGGATGGGGTTGGTGTTGTAGTCTCACTAGTTGTTACTGTACCTTCATTACTATGCTCCCTGGAGGAGGTAGTGAATGTGGACTGAGAAGATACCTCTGTTGTGGATGGTTGTTCAGTGGTGGGAGAACTAGACTTCACTGTGTACTCAGATGAGGTCCCGTGTGGTGTAGTCTGCTCCACGTGCTCAGTGGGTGTGTTTATGCTTGTGGATAGGCTGGGTGCAGTTGTCTCAGTAGGCTCAGGACTGGGTGTAGAAGGGGTCTTGGATGGGGTAGGTGTTGTAATCTCACTAGTTGTTACTGGAGTTTCAGAAGTCATCTCACTGGAGGTTGCAGGGAGTGTTATCTGAGAAGACACCTCTGTTGTGGATGATTGTTCAGTGGTGGAAGAACTAGACTTCACTGTGTACTCAGATGAGGTCCCGTGTGGTGTAGTCTGCTTCAGGTATCCAGCGGGTGTGTTTGTTCCTGTGGATGGGCTGGGTGCAGTTGTCTCGGTAGGCTCAGGACTGGGTGTAGAAGGGGTCTTGGATGGGGTTGGTGTTGTAATCTCACTTGTTGTAACTTTAGTTTCAGTACTATGCTCCCTTGAGGAGGTAGTGAATGTGGACTGAGAAGACACCTCTGTTGTGGATGGTTGTTCAGTGGTGGAAGAACTAGACTTCACTGTGTACTCAGATGAGGTCCCGTGTGGTGTAGTCTGCTCCACGTGCTCAGTGGGTGTGTTTATGCTTGTGGATAGGCTGGGTGCAGTTGTCTCAGTAGGCTCAGGACTGGGTGTAGAAGGGGTCTTGGATGGGGTAGGTGTTGTAGTCTCACTAGTTGTTACTGGAGTTTCAGAAGTCATCTCACTGGAGGTTGCAGGGAGTGTTTTCTGAGAAGACACCTCTGTTTTGGATGGCTGTTCAGTGGTGGAAGAACTAGACGTCACTGTGTACTCAGATGAGGTCCCGTGTGGTGTAGTCGGCTTCAGGTGTTCAGCGGGTGTGTTTGTTCTTGTGGATTGGCTGGGTACAGTTGTCTCAGTAGGCTCAGGACTGGGTGTAGAAGCGGTCTTGGAGGGAGTAGGTATTGTAATCTCACTTGTTGTAACTGTAGTTTCAATACTATGCTCCCTGGAGGAGGTAGTGAATGTGGACTGAGAAAAAAGTTGTTTCGTGGATGGTTGTTCAGTGGTGGAAGAACTAGACTTCACTGTGTATTCAGATGAGGTCCCGTGTGGTGTAGTCTGCTCCACGTGCTCAGTGGGTGTGTTTATGCTTGTGGATAGGCTGGGTGCAGTTGTCTCAGTAGGCTCAGGACTGGGTGTAGAAGGGGTCTTGGATGGGGTTGGTGTTGTAGTCTCACTAGTTGTTACTGGAACTTTAGTACTATGCTCCCTGGAGGAGGTAGTGAATGTGGACTGAGAAGATACCTCTGTTGTGGATGGTTGTTCAGTGGTGGGAGAACTAGACTTCCCTGTGTACTCAGATGAGGTCCCGTGTGGTGTAGTCTGCTCCACGTGCTCAGTGGGTGTGTTTATGCTTGTGGATAGGCTGGGTGCAGTTGTCTCAGTAGGCTCAGGACTGGGTGTAGAAGGGGTCTTGGATGGGGTAGGTGTTGTAGTCTCACTAGTTGTTACTGGAGTTTCAGAAGTCATCTCACTGGAGGTTGCAGGGAGTGTTTTCTGAGAAGACACCTCTGTTTTGGATGGCTGTTCAGTGGTGGAAGAACTAGACGTCACTGTGTACTCAGATGAGGTCCCGTGTGGTGTAGTCGGCTTCAGGTGTTCAGCGGGTGTGTTTGTTCTTGTGGATTGGCTGGGTACAGTTGTCTCAGTAGGCTCAGGACTGGGTGTAGAAGCGGTCTTGGAGGGAGTAGGTATTGTAATCTCACTTGTTGTAACTGTAGTTTCAATACTATGCTCCCTGGAGGAGGTAGTGAATGTGGACTGAGAAAAAAGTTGTTTCGTGGATGGTTGTTCAGTGGTGGAAGAACTAGACTTCACTGTGTACTCAGATGAGGTCCCGTGTGGTGTAGTCTGCTCCACGTGCTCAGTGGGTGTGTTTATGCTTGTGGATAGGCTGGGTGCAGTTGTCTCAGTAGGCTCAGGACTGGGTGTAGAAGGGGTCTTGGATGGGGTTGGTGTTGTAGTCTCACTAGTTGTTACTGGAGTTTCAGTACTATGCTCCCTGGAGGAGGTAGTGAATGTGGACTGAGAAGATACCTCTGTTGTGGATGGTTGTTCAGTGGTGGGAGAACTAGACTTCCCTGTGTACTCAGATGAGGTCCCGTGTGGTGTAGTCTGCTCCACGTGCTCAGTGGGTGTGTTTATGCTTGTGGATAGGCTGGGTGCAGTTGTCTCAGTAGGCTCAGGACTGGGTGTAGAAGGGGTCTTGGATGGGGTAGGTGTTGTAGTCTCACTAGTTGTTACTGGAGTTTCAGAAGTCATCTCACTGGAGGTTGCAGGGAGTGTTTTCTGAGAAGACACCTCTGTTTTGGATGGCTGTTCAGTGGTGGAAGAACTAGACGTCACTGTGTACTCAGATGAGGTCCCGTGTGGTGTAGTCGGCTTCAGGTGTTCAGCGGGTGTGTTTGTTCTTGTGGATTGGCTGGGTACAGTTGTCTCAGTAGGCTCAGGACTGGGTGTAGAAGCGGTCTTGGAGGGAGTAGGTATTGTAATCTCACTTGTTGTAACTGTAGTTTCAATACTATGCTCCCTGGAGGAGGTAGTGAATGTGGACTGAGAATACAGTTGTTTTGTGGATGGTTGTTCAGTGGTGGAAGAACTAGACTTCACTGTGTACTCAGATGAGGTCCCGTGTGGTGTAGTCTGCTCCACGTGCTCAGTGGGTGTGTTTATGCTTGTGGATAGGCTGGGTGCAGTTGTCTCAGTAGGCTCAGGACTGGGTGTAGAAGGGGTCTTGGATGGGGTTGGTGTTGTAGTCTCACTAGTTGTTACTGGAACTTTCAATACTATGCTCCCTGGAGGAGGTAGTGAATGTGGACTGAGAAGATACCTCTGTTGTGGATGGTTGTTCAGTGGTGGGAGAACTAGACTTCCCTGTGTACTCAGATGAGGTCCCGTGTGGTGTAGTCTGCTCCACGTGCTCAGTGGGTGTGTTTATGCTTGTGGATAGGCTGGGTGCAGTTGTCTCAGTAGGCTCAGGACTGGGTGTAGAAGGGGTCTTGGATGGGGTAGGTGTTGTAGTCTCACTAGTTGTTACTGGAGTTTCAGAAGTCATCTCACTGGAGGTTGCAGGGAGTGTTATCTGAGAAGACACCTCTGTTGTGGATGATTGTTCAGTGGTGGAAGAACTAGACTTCACTGTGTACTCAGATGAGGTCCCGTGTGGTGTAGTCTGCTTCAGGTATCCAGCGGGTGTGTTTGTTCCTGTGGATGGGCTGGGTGCAGTTGTCTCGGTAGGCTCAGGACTGGGTGTAGAAGGGGTCTTGGATGGGGTTGGTGTTGTAATCTCACTTGTTGTAACTTTAGTTTCAGTACTATGCTCCCTTGAGGAGGTAGTGAATGTGGACTGAGAAGACACCTCTGTTGTGGATGGTTGTTCAGTGGTGGAAGAACTAGACTTCACTGTGTACTCAGATGAGGTCCCGTGTGGTGTAGTCTGCTCCACGTGCTCAGTGGGTGTGTTTATGCTTGTGGATAGGCTGGGTGCAGTTGTCTCAGTAGGCTCAGGACTGGGTGTAGAAGGGGTCTTGGATGGGGTAGGTGTTGTAGTCTCACTAGTTGTTACTGGAGTTTCAGAAGTCATCTCACTGGAGGTTGCAGGGAGTGTTTTCTGAGAAGACACCTCTGTTTTGGATGGCTGTTCAGTGGTGGAAGAACTAGACGTCACTGTGTACTCAGATGAGGTCCCGTGTGGTGTAGTCGGCTTCAGGTGTTCAGCGGGTGTGTTTGTTCTTGTGGATTGGCTGGGTGCAGTTGTCTCAGTAGGCTCAGGACTGGGTGTAGAAGGGGTCTGCGAGGGAGTAGGTGTTGTAATCTCTCTTGTTGTAACTGTAGTTTCAGTACTATGCTCCCTGGAGGAGGTAGTGAATGTGGACTGAGAAGACACCTCTGTTGTGGATGGTTGTTCAGTGGTGGAAGAACTAGACTTCACTGTGTACTCAGATGAGGTCCCGTGTGGTGTAGTCTGCTACAGGTGATCAGAGGGTGTGTTTGTGCTTGTGGATAGGCTGGGTGCAGTTGTCTCAGTAGGCTCAGGACTGGGTGTAGAAGCGGTCTTGGAGGGAGTAGGTGTTGTAATCTCACTTGTTGTAACTGTACTTTCAATACTATGCTCCCTGGAGGAGGTAGTGAATGTGGACTGAGAAGATACCTCTGTTGTGGATGGTTGTTCAGTGGTGGAAGAACTAGACTTCACTGTGTACTCAGATGAGGTCCCGTGTGGTGTAGTCTGCTCCACGTGCTCAGTGGGTGTGTTTATGCTTGTGGATAGGCTGGGTGCAGTTGTCTCAGTAGGCTCAGGACTGGGTGTAGAAGGGGTCTTGGATGGGGTTGGTGTTGTAGTCTCACTAGTTGTTACTGGAACTTTAGTACTATGCTCCCTGGAGGAGGTAGTGAATGTGGACTGAGAAGATACCTCTGTTGTGGATGGTTGTTCAGTGGTGGAAGAACTAGACTTCCCTGTGTACTCAGATGAGGTCCCGTGTGGTGTAGTCTGCTCCACGTGCTCAGTGGGTGTGTTTATGCTTGTGGATAGGCTGGGTGCAGTTGTCTCAGTAGGCTCAGGACTGGGTGTAGAAGGGGTCTTGGATGGGGTTGGTGTTGTAATCTCACTTGTTGTAACTTTAGTTTCAGTACTATGCTCCCTTGAGGAGGTAGTGAATGTGGACTGAGAAGACACCTCTCTTGTGGATGGTTGTTCAGTGGTGGAAGAACTAGACTTCACTGTGTACTCAGATGAGGTCCCGTGTGGTGTAGTCTGCTCCACGTGCTCAGTGGGTGTGTTTATGCTTGTGGATAGGCTGGGTGCAGTTGTCTCAGTAGGCTCAGGACTGGGTGTAGAAGGGGTCTTGGATGGGGTAGGTGTTGTAGTCTCACTAGTTGTTACTGGAGTTTCAGAAGTCATCTCACTGGAGGTTGCAGGGAGTGTTTTCTGAGAAGACACCTCTGTTTTGGATGGCTGTTCAGTGGTGGAAGAACTAGACGTCACTGTGTACTCAGATGAGGTCCCGTGTGGTGTAGTCGGCTTCAGGTGTTCAGCGGGTGTGTTTGTTCTTGTGGATTGGCTGGGTACAGTTGTCTCAGTAGGCTCAGGACTGGGTGTAGAAGCGGTCTTGGAGGGAGTAGGTATTGTAATCTCACTTGTTGTAACTGTAGTTTCAATACTATGCTCCCTGGAGGAGGTAGTGAATGTGGACTGAGAAACACGTTGTTTCGTGGATGGTTGTTCAGTGGTGGAAGAACTAGACTTCACTGTGTACTCAGATGAGGTCCCGTGTGGTGTAGTCTGCTCCACGTGCTCAGTGGGTGTGTTTATGCTTGTGGATAGGCTGGGTGCAGTTGTCTCAGTAGGCTCAGGACTGGGTGTAGAAGGGGTCTTGGATGGGGTTGGTGTTGTAGTCTCACTAGTTGTTACTGGAACTTTAGTACTATGCTCCCTGGAGGAGGTAGTGAATGTGGACTGAGAAGATACCTCTGTTGTGGATGGTTGTTCAGTGGTGGGAGAACTAGACTTCCCTGTGTACTCAGATGAGGTCCCGTGTGGTGTAGTCTGCTCCACGTGCTCAGTGGGTGTGTTTATGCTTGTGGATAGGCTGGGTGCAGTTGTCTCAGTAGGCTCAGGACTGGGTGTAGAAGGGGTCTTGGATGGGGTAGGTGTTGTAGTCTCACTAGTTGTTACTGGAGTTTCAGAAGTCATCTCACTGGAGGTTGCAGGGAGTGTTATCTGAGAAGACACCTCTGTTGTGGATGATTGTTCAGTGGTGGAAGAACTAGACTTCACTGTGTACTCAGATGAGGTCCCGTGTGGTGTAGTCTGCTTCAGGTATCCAGCGGGTGTGTTTGTTCCTGTGGATGGGCTGGGTGCAGTTGTCTCGGTAGGCTCAGGACTGGGTGTAGAAGGGGTCTTGGATGGGGTTGGTGTTGTAATCTCACTTGTTGTAACTTTAGTTTCAGTACTATGCTCCCTTGAGGAGGTAGTGAATGTGGACTGAGAAGACACCTCTGTTGTGGATGGTTGTTCAGTGGTGGAAGAACTAGACTTCACTGTGTACTCAGATGAGGTCCCGTGTGGTGTAGTCTGCTCCACGTGCTCAGTGGGTGTGTTTATGCTTGTGGATAGGCTGGGTGCAGTTGTCTCAGTAGGCTCAGGACTGGGTGTAGAAGGGGTCTTGGATGGGGTAGGTGTTGTAGTCTCACTAGTTGTTACTGGAGTTTCAGAAGTCATCTCACTGGAGGTTGCAGGGAGTGTTTTCTGAGAAGACACCTCTGTTTTGGATGGCTGTTCAGTGGTGGAAGAACTAGACGTCACTGTGTACTCAGATGAGGTCCCGTGTGGTGTAGTCGGCTTCAGGTGTTCAGCGGGTGTGTTTGTTCTTGTGGATTGGCTGGGTGCAGTTGTCTCAGTAGGCTCAGGACTGGGTGTAGAAGCGGTCTTGGAGGGAGTAGGTATTGTAATCTCACTTGTTGTAACTGTAGTTTCAATACTATGCTCCCTGGAGGAGGTAGTGAATGTGGACTGAGAAAAAAGTTGTTTCGTGGATGGTTGTTCAGTGGTGGAAGAACTAGACTTCACTGTGTACTCAGATGAGGTCCCGTGTGGTGTAGTCTGCTTCAGGTGTTCAGCGGGTGTGTTTTTTCCTGTGGATAGGCTGGGTGCAGTTGTCTCAGTAGGCTCAGGACTGGGTGTAGAAGGGGTCTTGGATGGGGTAGGTGTTGTAATCTCACTTGTTGTAACTTCAGTTTCAGTACTATGCTCCCTGGAGGAGGTAGTAAATGTGGACTGAGAAGACACCTCTGTTGTGGATGGTTGTTCAGTGGTGGAAGAACTAGACTTCACTGTGTACTCAGATGAGGTCCCGTGTGGTGTAGTCTGCTTCAGGTATCCAGCGGGTGTGTTTGTTCCTGTGGATAGGCTGGGTGCAGTTGTCTCAGTAGGCCCAGGACTGGGTGTAGAAGGGGTCTTGGATGGGGTAGGTGTTGTAGTCTCTCTTGTTGTAACTGCAGTTTCAGTACTATGCTCACTGAAGGAGGTAATGAACGTGGACTGAGAAGACACCTTTGTTGTGGATGGTTGTTCAGTGGTGGAAGAACTAGACTTCACTGTGTACTCAGATGAGGTCCCATGTGGTGTAGTCTCCTTCAGGTGTTCAGCGGGTGTGTTTGTTCCTGTGGATAGGCTGGGTGCAGTTGTCTCAGTAGGCTCAGGACTGGGTGTAGAAGGGGTCTTGGATGGGGTTGGTGTTGTAGTCTCACTAGTTGTTACTGGAGTTTCAGTACTATGCTCACTGGAGGAGGTAGTGAATGTGGACTGAGAAGACACCTCTGTTGTGGATGGTTGTTCAGTGGTGGAAGAACTAGACTTCACTGTGTACTCAGATGAGGTCCCGTGTGGTGTAGTCTGCTCCACGTGCTCAGCGGGTGTGTTTGTTCCTGTGGATAGGCTGGGTGCAGTTGTCTCAGTAGGCTCAGGACTGGGTGTAGAAGGGGTCTTGGATGGGGTTGGTGTTGTAGTCTCACTAGTTGTTACTGGAGTTTCAGTATTATGCTCACTGGAGGAGGTAGGGAATGTGGACTGAGAAGACACCTCTGTTGTGGATGGTTGTTCAGTGGTGGAAGAACTAGACTTCCCTGTGTACTCAGATGAGGTCCCGTGTGGTGTAGTCGGCTTCAGGTGTTCAGCAGGTGTGTTTGTTCTTGTGGATTGGCTGGGTGCAGTTGTCTCAGTAGGCTCAGGACTGGGTGTAGAAGGGGTCTTGGATGGGGTAGGTGTTGTAGTCTCACTAGTTGTAACTGTAGTTTCAGTACTATGCTCACTGGAGGAGTTAATGAACGTGGACTGAGAAGACACCTCTGTTGTGGATGGTTGTTCAGTGGTGGAAGAACTAGACTTCACTGTGTACTCAGATGAGGTCCCGTGTGGTGTAGTCTGCTCCACGTGCTCAGTGGGTGTGTTTATGCTTGTGGATAGGCTGGGTGCAGTTGTCTCAGTAGGCTCAGGACTGGGTGTAGAAGGGGTCTTGGATGGGGTAGGTGTTGTAGTCTCACTAGTTGTTACTGGAGTTTCAGTATTATGCTCACTGGAGGAGGTAGGGAATGTGGACTGAGAAGACACCTCTGTTGTGGATGGTTGTTCAGTGGTGGAAGAACTAGACTTCCCTGTGTACTCAGATGAGGTCCCATGTGGTGTAGTCTGCTCCACGTGCTCAGTGGGTGTGTTTATGCTTGTGGATAGGCTGGGTGCAGTTGTCTCAGTAGGCTCAGGACTGGGTGTAGAAGCGGTCTTGGAGGGAGTAGGTATTGTAATCTCACTTGTTGTAACTGTAGTTTCAATACTATGCTCCCTGGAGGAGGTAGTGAATGTGGACTGAGTAAAAAGTTGTTTCGTGGATGGTTGTTCAGTGGTGGAAGAACTAGACTTCACTGTGTACTCAGATGAGGTCCCGTGTGGTGTAGTCTGCTCCACGTGCTCAGTGGGTGTGTTTATGCTTGTGGATAGGCTGGGTGCAGTTGTCTCAGTAGGCTCAGGACTGGGTGTAGAAGGGGTCTTGGATGGGGTTGGTGTTGTAGTCTCACTAGTTGTTACTGGAACTTTAGTACTATGCTCCCTGGAGGAGGTAGTGAATGTGGACTGAGAAGATACCTCTGTTGTGGATGGTTGTTCAGTGGTGGAAGAACTAGACTTCCCTGTGTACTCAGATGAGGTCCCGTGTGGTGTAGTCTGCTTCAGGTGTTCAGCGGGTGTGTTTTTTCCTGTGGATAGGCTGGGTGCAGTTGTCTCAGTAGGCTCAGGACTGGGTGTAGAAGGGGTCTTGGATGGGGTAGGTGTTGTAGTCTCACTAGTTGTTACTGGAGTTTCAGAAGTTATCTCACTGGAGGTTGCAGGGAGTGTTTTCTGAGAAGACACCTCTGTTTTGGATGGCTGTTCAGTGGTGGAAGAACTAGACTTCACTGTGTACTCAGATGAGGTCCCGTGTGGTGTAGTCTGCTTCAGGTGTTCAGCGGGTGTGTTTGTTCTTGTGGATAGGCTGGGTGCAGTTGTCTCAGTAGGCTCAGGACTGGGTGTAGAAGGGGTCTTGGAGGGAGTAGGTGTTGTAATCTCACTTGTTGTAACTGTAGTTTCAGTACTATGCTCCCTGGAGGAGGTAGTGAATGTGGACTGAGAAGACACCTCTGTTGTGGATGGTTGTTCAGTGGTGGAAGAACTAGACTTCACTGTGTACTCAGATGAGGTCCCGTGTGGTGTAGTCTGCTCCACGTGCTCAGTGGGTGTGTTTATGCTTGTGGATAGGCTGGGTGCAGTTGTCTCAGTAGGCTCAGGACTGGGTGTAGAAGGGGTCTTGGATGGGGTTGGTGTTGTAGTCTCACTAGTTGTTACTGGAGTTTCAGTACTATTCTCCCTGGAGGAGGTAGTGAATGTGGACTGAGAAGACACCTCTGTTTTGGATGGCTGTTCAGTGGTGGAAGAACTAGACTTCACTGTGTACTCAGATGAGGTCCCGTGTGGTGTAGTCTGCTTCAGGTGTTCAGCGGGTGTGTTTTTTCCTGTGGATAGGCTGGGTGCAGTTGTCTCAGTAGGCTCAGGACTGGGTGTAGAAGGGGTCTTGGATGGGGTTGGTGTTGTAATCTCACTAGTTGTAACTTTAGTTTCAGTACTATGCTCCCTGGAGGAGGTAGTGAATGTGGACTGAGAAGACACCTCTGTTGTGGATGGTTGTTCAGTGGTGGAAGAACTAGACTTCACTGTGTACTCAGATGAGGTCCCGTGTGGTGTAGTCTGCTTCAGGTGTTCAGCAGGTGTGTTTGTTCTTGTGGATTGGCTGGGTGCAGTTGTCTCAGTAGGCCCAGGACTGGGTGTAGAAGGGGTCTTGGAGGGAGTAGGTGTTGTAATCTCACTTGTTGTAACTGTAGTTTCAGTACTATGCTCACTGGAGGAGGTAGTGAATGTGGACTGAGAAGACACCTCTGTTGTGGATGGTTGTTCAGTGGTGGAAGAACTAGACTTCACTGTGTACTCAGATGAGGTCCCGTGTGGTGTAGTCTGCTCCACGTGCTCAGTGGGTGTGTTTATGCTTGTGGATAGGCTGGGTGCAGTTGTCTCAGTAGGCTCAGGACTGGGTGTAGAAGGGGTCTTGGATGGGGTAGGTGTTGTAGTCTCACTAGTTGTTACTGGAGTTTCAGAAGTCATCTCACTGGAGGTTGCAGGGAGTGTTTTCTGAGAAGACACCTCTGTTGTGGATGATTGTTCAGTGGTGGAAGAACTAGACTTCACTGTGTACTCAGATGAGGTCCCGTGTGGTGTAGTCTGCTTCAGGTATCCAGCGGGTGTGTTTGTTCCTGTGGATGGGCTGGGTGCAGTTGTCTCAGTAGGCTCAGGACTGGGTGTAGAAGGGGTCTTGGATGGGGTTGGTGTTGTAGTCTCACTAGTTGTTACTGGAGTTTCAGTACTATTCTCCCTGGAGGAGGTAGTGAATGTGGACTGAGAAGACACCTCTGTTGTGGATGGTTGTTCAGTGGTGGAAGAACTAGACTTCACTGTGTACTCAGATGAGGTCCCGTGTGGTGTAGTCTGCTCCACGTGCTCAGTGGGTGTGTTTATGCTTGTGGATAGGCTGGGTGCAGTTGTCTCAGTAGGCTCAGGACTGGGTGTAGAAGGGGTCTTGGATGGGGTAGGGGTTGTAATCTCACTTGTTGTAACTTTAGTTTCAGTACTATGCTCCCTGGAGGAGGTAGTGAATGTGGACTGAGAAAAAAGTTGTTTCGTGGATGGTTGTTCAGTGGTGGAAGAACTAGACTTCACTGTGTACTCAGATGAGGTCCCGTGTGGTGTAGTCTGCTCCACGTGCTCAGTGGGTGTGTTTATGCTTGTGGATAGGCTGGGTGCAGTTGTCTCAGTAGGCTCAGGACTGGGTGTAGAAGGGGTCTTGGATGGGGTTGGTGTTGTAGTCTCACTAGTTGTTACTGGAACTTTAGTACTATGCTCCCTGGAGGAGGTAGTGAATGTGGACTGAGAAGATACCTCTGTTGTGGATGGTTGTTCAGTGGTGGAAGAACTAGACTTCACTGTGTACTCAGATGAGGTCCCGTGTGGTGTAGTCTGCTTCAGGTGTTCAGCGGGTGTGTTTTTTCCTGTGGATAGGCTGGGTGCAGTTGTCTCAGTAGGCTCAGGACTGGGTGTAGAAGGGGTCTTGGATGGGGTAGGTGTTGTAGTCTCACTAGTTGTTACTGGAGTTTCAGAAGTTATCTCACTGGAGGTTGCAGGGAGTGTTTTCTGAGAAGACACCTCTGTTTTGGATGGCTGTTCAGTGGTGGAAGAACTAGACTTCACTGTGTACTCAGATGAGGTCCCGTGTGGTGTAGTCTGCTTCAGGTGTTCAGCGGGTGTGTTTTTTCCTGTGGATAGGCTGGGTGCAGTTGTCTCAGTAGGCTCAGGACTGGGTGTAGAAGGGGTCTTGGATGGGGTTGGTGTTGTAATCTCACTAGTTGTAACTTTAGTTTCAGTACTATGCTCCCTGGAGGAGGTAGTAAATGTGGACTGAGAAGACACCTCTGTTGTGGATGGTTGTTCAGTGGTGGAAGAACTAGACTTCCCTGTGTACTCAGATGAGGTCCCGTGTGGTGTAGTCGGCTTCAGGTGTTCAGCAGGTGTGTTTGTTCTTGTGGATTGGCTGGGTGCAGTTGTCTCAGTAGGCCCAGGACTGGGTGTAGAAGGGGTCTGGGAGGGAGTAGGTGTTGTAATCTCTCTTGTTGTAACTGTAGTTTCAGTACTATGCTCACTGGAGGAGGTAATGAACGTGGACTGAGAAGACACCTCTGTTGTGGATGGTTGTTCAGTGGTGGAAGAACTAGACTTCACTGTGTACTCAGATGAGGTCCCGTGTGGTGTAGTCTGCTCCACGTGCTCAGTGGGTGTGTTTATGCTTGTGGATAGGCTGGGTGCAGTTGTCTCAGTAGGCTCAGGACTGGGTGTAGAAGGGGTCTTGGAGGGAGTAGGTGTTGTAGTCTCACTAGTTGTTACTGGAGTTTCAGTAATATGCTCACTGGAGGAGGTAGGGAATGTGGACTGAGAAGACACCTCTGTTGTGGATGGTTGTTCAGTGGTGGAAGAACTAGACTTCACTGTGTACTCAGATGAGGTCCCGTGTGGTGTAGTCTGCTTCAGGTGTTCAGCGGGTGTGTTTGTTCCTGTGGATAGGCTGGGTGCAGTTGTCTCAGTAGGCTCAGGACTGGGTGTAGAAGGGGTCTTGGATGGGGTTGGTGTTGTAGTCTCACTAGTTGTTACTGGAGTTTCAGAAGTCATCTCACTGGAGGTTGCAGGGAGTGTTTTCTGAGAAGACACCTCTGTTGTGGATGGTTGTTCAGTGGTGGAAGAACTAGACTTCACTGTGTACTCAGATGAGGTCCCGTGTGGTGTAGTCTGCTTCAGGTATCCAGCGGGTGTGTTTGTTCCTGTGGATGGGCTGGGTGCAGTTGTCTCAGTAGGCTCAGGACTGGGTGTAGAAGGGGTCTTGGATGGGGTTGGGGTTGTAATCTCACCTGTTGTAACTGTAGTTTCAGTACTATGCTCCCTGGAGGAGGTAGTGAATGTGGAGTGAGAAGACACCTCTGTTGTGGATGGTTGTTCAGTGGTGGAAGAACTAGACTTCACTGTGTACTCAGATGAGGTCCCGTGTGGTGTAGTCTGCTTCAGGTGTTCAGCGGGTGTGTTTTTTCCTGTGGATAGGCTGGGTGCAGTTGTCTCAGTAGGCTCAGGACTGGGTGTAGAAGGGGTCTTGGATGGGGTTGGTGTTGTAATCTCACTTGTTGTAACTTTAGTTTCAGTACTATGCTCCCTGGAGGAGGTAGTAAATGTGGACTGAGAAGACACCTCTGTTGTGGATGGTTGTTCAGTGGTGGAAGAACTAGACTTCACTGTGTACTCAGATGAGGTCCCATGTGGTGTAGTCGGCTTCAGGTATCCAGCGGGTGTGTTTGTTCCTGTGGATAGACTGGGTGCAGTTGTCTCAGTAGGCCCACGACTGGGTGTAGAAGGGGTCTGGGAGGGAGTAGGTGTTGTAATCTCTCTTGTTGTAACTGTAGTTTCAGTACTATGCTCACTGGAGGAGGTAATGAACGTGGACTGAGAAGACACCTTTGTTGTGGATGGTTGTTCAGTGGTGGAAGAACTAGACTTCACTGTGTACTCAGATGAGGTCCCTCGTAGTGTAGTCTGCTCCACGTGCTCAGTGGGTGTGTTTATGCTTGTGGATAGGCTGGGTGCAGTTGTCTCAGTAGGCTCAGGACTGGGTGTAGAAGCGGTCTTGAAGGGAGTAGGTGTTGTAATCTCACTTGTTGTTACTGGAGTTTCAGTACTATGCTCACTGGAGGAGGTAGTGAATGTGGACTGAGAAGACACCTCTGTTGTGGATGGTTGTTCAGTGGTGGAAGAATTAGACACCACTGTGTAGTCAGGTGAAGTCCCGTGTGGTGTAGTCTGCTTCAGGTGTTCAGCGGGTGTGTTTGTTCCTGTGGATAGGCTGGGTGCAGTTGTCTCAGTAGGCTCAGGACTGGGTGTAGAAGGGGTCTTGGATGGGGTTGGTGTTGTAGTCTCACTAGTTGTTAATGGAGTTTCAGAAGTCATCTCACTGGAGGTTGCAGGGAGTGTTTTCTGAGAAGACACCTCTGCTTTGGATGGTTGTTCAGTGGTGGAAGAACTAGACTTCACTGTGTACTCAGATGAGGTCCCTTGTGGTGTAGTCTGCTTCAGGTGTTCAGCGGGTGTGTTTGTTCTTGTGGATAGGCTGGGTGCAGTTGTCTCAGTAGGCTCAGGACTGGGTGTAGAAGGGGTCTTGGATGGGGTTGGTGTTGTAGTCTCACTAGTTGTTACTGGAGTTTCAGTATTATGCTCACTGGAGGAGGTAGGGAATGTGGACTGAGAAGACACCTCTGTTGTGGATGGTTGTTCAGTGGTGGAAGAACTAGACTTCACTGTGTACTCAGATGAGGTCCCGTGTGGTGTAGTCTGCTTCAGGTGTTCAGCGGGTGTGTTTGTTCCTGTGGATAGGCTGGGTGCAGTTGTCTCAGTAGGCTCAGGACTGGGTGTAGAAGGGGTCTTGGATGGGGTTGGTGTTGTAATCTCACTTGTTGTAACTTTAGTTTCAGTACTATGCTCCCTGGAGGAGGTAGTGAATGTGGACTGAGAAGACACCTCTGTTGTGGATGGTTGTTCAGTGGTGGAAGAACTAGACTTCACTGTGTACTCAGATGAGGTCCCGTGTGGTGTAGTCGGCTTCAGGTGTTCAGCAGGTGTGTTTGTTCTTGTGGATTGGCTGGGTGCAGTTGTCTCAGTAGGCCCAGGACTGGGTGTAGAAGGGGTCTGGGAGGGAGTAGGTGTTGTAATCTCTCTTGTTGTAACTGTAGTTTCAGTACTATGCTCACTGGAGGAGTTAATGAACGTGGACTGAGAAGACACCTCTGTTGTGGATGGTTGTTCAGTGGTGGAAGAACTAGACTTCACTGTGTACTCAGATGAGGTCCCGTGTGGTGTAGTCTGCTCCACGTGCTCAGTGGGTGTGTTTATGCTTGTGGATAGGCTGGGTGCAGTTGTCTCAGTAGGCTCAGGACTGGGTGTAGAAGGGGTCTTGGAGGGAGTAGGTGTTGTAGTCTCACTAGTTGTTACTGGAGTTTCAGTATTATGCTCACTGGAGGAGGTAGGGAATGTGGACTGAGAAGACACCTCTGTTGTGGATGGTTGTTCAGTGGTGGAAGAACTAGACTTCACTGTGTACTCAGATGAGGTCCCGTGTGGTGTAGTCGGCTTCAGGTGTTCAGCGGGTGTGTTTGTTCTTGTGGATAGGCTGGGTGCAGTTGTCTCAGTAGGCTCAGGACTGGGTGTAGAAGGGGTCTGGGAGGGAGTAGGTGTTGTAATCTCTCTTGTTGTAACTGTAGTTTCAGTACTATGCTCACTGGAGGAGGTAATGAACGTGGACTGAGAAGACACCTTTGTTGTGGATGGTTGTTCAGTGGTGGAAGAACTAGACTTCACTGTGTACTCAGATGAGGTCCCATGTGGTGTAGTCTGCTCCACGTGCTCAGTGGGTGTGTTTATGCTTGTGGATAGGCTGGGTGCAGTTGTCTCAGTAGGCTCAGGACTGGGTGTAGAAGCGGTCTTGGAGGGAGTAGGTCTTGTATTCTCACTTGTTGTAACTGGAGTTTCAGTACTATGCTCCCTGGAGGAGGTAGTGAATGTGGACTGAGAAGACACCTCTGTTGTGGATGGTTGTTCAGTGGTGGAAGAACTAGACTTCACTGTGTACTCAGATGAGGTCCCGTGTGGTGTAGTCTGCTTCAGGTGTTCAGCGGGTGTGTTTGTTCCTGTGGATAGGCTGGGTGCAGTTGTCTCAGTAGGCTCAGGACTGGGTGTAGAAGGGGTCTTGGATGGGGTAGGTGTTGTAATCTCACTTGTTGTAACTTTAGTTTCAGTACTATGCTCCCTGGAGGAGGTAGTAAATGTGGACTGAGAAGACACCTCTGTTGTGGATGGTTGTTCAGTGTTGGAAGAACTAGACTTCACTGTGTACTCAGATGAGGTCCCGTGTGGTGTAGTCGGCTTCAGGTGTTCAGCAGGTGTGTTTGTTCTTGTGGATTGGCTGGGTGCGGTTGTCTCAGTAGGCCCAGGACTGGGTGTAGAAGGGGTCTTGGATGGGGTAGGTGTTGTAATCTCACTTGTTGTAACTGTAGTTTCAGTACTATGCTCACTGGAGGAGGTAGTGAATGTGGACTGAGAAGACACCTCTGTTGTGGATGGTTGTTCAGTGGTGGAAGAACTAGACTTCACTGTGTACTCAGATGAGGTCCCGTGTGGTGTAGTCTGCTCCACGTGCTCAGTGGGTGTGTTTATGCTTGTGGATAGGCTGGGTGCAGTTGTCTCAGTAGGCTCAGGACTGGGTGTAGAAGGGGTCTTGGATGGGGTAGGTGTTGTAGTCTCACTAGTTGTTACTGGAGTTTCAGTATTATGCTCACTGGAGGAGGTAGGGAATGTGGACTGAGAAGACACCTCTGTTGTGGATGGTTGTTCAGTGGTGGAAGAACTAGACTTCCCTGTGTACTCAGATGAGGTCCCATGTGGTGTAGTCGGCTTCAGGTGTTCAGCAGGTGTGTTTGTTCTTGTGGATAGGCTGGGTGCAGTTGTCTCAGTAGGCTCAGGACTGGGTGTAGAAGGGGTCTGGGAGGGAGTAGGTGTTGTAATCTCTCTTGTTGTAACTGTAGTTTCAGTACTATGCTCACTGGAGGAGGTAATGAACGTGGACTGAGAAGACACCTCTGTTGTGGATGGTTGTTCAGTGCTGGAAGAACTAGACTTCACTGTGTACTCAGATGAGGTCCCATGTGGTGTAGTCTGCTCCACGTGCTCAGTGGGTGTGTTTATGCTTGTGGATAGGCTGGGTGCAGTTGTCTCAGTAGGCTCAGGACTGGGTGTAGAAGCGGTCTTGGAGGGAGTAGGTGTTGTAATCTCACTTGTTGTAACTGTAGTTTCAGTACTATGCTCCCTGGAGGAGGTAGTGAATGTGGACTGAGAAGACACCTCTGTTGTGGATGGTTGTTCAGTGGTGGAAGAACTAGACTTCACTGTGTACTCAGATGAGGTCCCGTGTGGTGTAGTCGGCTTCAGGTGTTCAGCGGGTGTGTTTGTTCCTGCGGATAGGCTGGGTGCAGTTGTCTCAGTAGGCTCAGGACTGGGTGTAGAAGGGGTCTTGGATGAGGTTGGTGTTGTAGTCTCACTAGTTGTTACTGGAGTTTCAGAAGTCATCTCACTGGAGGTTGCAGGGAGTGTTTTCTGAGAAGACACCTCTGTTGTGGATGATTGTTCAGTGGTGGAAGAACTAGACTTCACTGTGTACTCAGATGAGGTCCCGTGTGGTGTAGTCTGCTTCAGGTATCCAGCGGGTGTGTTTGTTCCTGCGGATAGGCTGGGTGCAGTTGTCTCAGTAGGCTCAGGACTGGGTTTAGAAGGGGTCTTGGAGGGAGTAGGTGTTGTAATCTCACTTGTTGTAACTGTAGTTTCAGTACTATGCTCACTGGAGGAGGTAGTGAATGTGGACTGAAAAGACACCTCTGTTGTGGATGGTTGTTCAGCGGTGGAAGAACTAGACATCACTGTGTACTCAGATGAGGTTCCTTCTGAGGTAGTCTGCTTCATGTGCTCAGTGGGTGTGTTTGCTCTTGATGATAGGAAGGGTGCAATTGTCTCAGAAGGCTCAGAACTGGGTGTAGAAGGGGTCTTGGAGGGAGTAGGTGTTGTAGTCTCACTTGTTGTAACTGTAGTTTCAGAAGTCACCTCACTGGAGGAAACTGACAATGTTGACTGAGAAGAAAGCTGTTTTGTGGATGATTGCTCAGTGGTGGAAGAACTAGACTTCACTGTGTACTCAGATGAGGTCCCTTGTGGTGTAGTCTGCTCCACGTGCTCAGTGGGTGTGTTTATGCTTGTGGATAGGCTCGTTGCAGTTGTCTCTGAAGGCTCAGGACTGGATGTAGAAGGGTTCTTGGAGGGATTAGGTGTTGTAGTCTCACTAGTTGTGGTTGGAGATTCAGAAGTCACCTCACTGGAGGAGGCAGAGAATGTTGACTGAGAAGACACCTCTGTTGTGGATGGTTGTGTAGTGGTGGAAGAATTAGACGTCCCTGTGTACTCAGATGAGGTCCCGTGTGGTGTAGTCTGCTTCAGGTATTCAGCGGGTGTGTTTGTTCTTGTGGATAGGCTGGGTGCAGTTGTCTCAGTAGGCTCAGGACTGGGTGTAGAAGCGGTCTTGGATGGGGTTGGGGTTGTAATCTCACTTGTTGTAACTGTAGTTTCAGTACTATGCTCCCTGGAGGAGGTAGTGAATGTGGACTGAGAAGACACCTCTGTTGTGGATGGTTGTTCAATGGTGGAAGAACTAGACTTCACTGCTGGCTCAATTGAAGTCTCAATTGGTTTAGTATGCGAGAAATGGTCAGTGTGTATGTTGTTACTTGAGGATAGGGTGAGTGTAGTTGTTAGAGAAGGCTGATGAATAGATGTAAAAGGAGTCGTAGGTGAAGAACCCGTTGTCGTATTATTTGTTGTTTTTGGAATTTCTGTCTTCAAGTCACTGGAGGAGATTGACATGCTTGACTGTGAAAACTCCTTTGTGGATGGTTGCTCAATGGTGGAAGAACTAGGCATCAATGGAGACTCAGTTGAAGTATCTTTTGGTGTAGCATGCGAGAAATGGTCAGTGGGTGTGTTGGTAATTGAGGATAGGGTCGGTGTAGTTGTGTCAGAAGGCTGATTACTGGATGTAAAAGAAGTCGCAGATGGAGAGCTAGTTGTCGTATCACTTGTTATGGTTGGAGTCAAGTCACTGGAGACTGAAAACACTGTCTCTGTGGATGTAAAATAGTTCCATCAATTACTTCTCTTTGTGGATTAATTAATAAATGAATTGCCTAAATCAGTATATCCAACGTGCAGGCCTCAACTCACTCCCCAGTAGGAGATAGCCCCCAGCATAGTTTAAAACATAGAATCATGCAGCGGAATATAGGCTTCTATACCACTTCAGTATCTCATTTAGTTTGCTTATAGCACTGCGCCATTTCTACCCCTTTTGTAATAAACAGACCACAGTAAGTTTAAAACAGCTTTCCTAGAAATACTTCAAAGGTCATCTTCACGCCTTCAGCCAAGGAGGAACAAGTAAACACAGGTAGAACATCTTGAGTTACACTATGTAGAAAAATGTTTATAAGGACGCAGTGTGAGCATGGAGCACCAGGTCAGACCTCCATTTGTTCCTGAGCTCACATAGTAGACCGAGTGAAGAAAGAAGTTTCATATCCTCCTTTTCCGGAGGTAATGGGACATGACCCAAACAAGTCTAAGGATACAATTCCGTGGTCGTATTAAATATTAGGTAGCCCAGACCTGCTTGTTATATTTAACTGCAATTTCCCACAGTCTCAACAGTTGTGTTTGGAATCTCTGTAGTTAGCTTACTGGAAGTGACAGACAATGTTGACTGAGAAGACATCTCATTTGTGGATGGCTGCTCATTGGTGGAAGAACTGGATGTCTCTGTGGGCTCATTTGAGGTCTCTTCTTGTGTACTATTCCTCGAGGGAGGGAGGCTGAGGTAGGAGCTAGCAACCAGCAGCAGTCAAAGTTAGCCCAGTGCAGATCCTAGGAGCTTGTGACCAGAGCTTGCAACCAGACCTCGCAAACAGGGGTGTTTGCAAGGGCATTTAGCAGGGGAGGTTAAGGGGGAGGCCCAGAGTTCTGCCTCTTGATGTACGCAGGACCAGAGACATGGAGGGCAAGGGAGCTGCTGAAGTGACCTGTTACACCTGTGCCATGTTTGTCATTCTGCCAGAGAACAAGAAACAGTACACTTGTAGCAAGTGCAAGCTGGTTGTCTGGCTGGAAGAGAAGTTGCAGCAACTTGAGGCCCGCCCAGCCACACCTCAAGCAACAGGACAACATGCAGAGTTACTTGATAGATCTGAGTTGACTGAGATTGAGCACCAAGAGAGATGCAGTGTCCCCAAGTGGGAAAAGATTGTCCATTGCGGACTTCCGGGTCAGCGCCATCGGTGAATGGCGGAGTTCCTCCGACCGGAGGAACGGTCTCTGTGGAAACTGGGTCTTCCCGCCGCGGCGAAGGCGGGGGCCCTTTAGAAATCCCAGGCGGGAGAAGCCTGGGAACGTGGGGTTCGGCAGAGCACCAAAAGCGCCTCCCCTACTCACGAGGAAACCCATTTTCGGGGCTCCGGAGTGAAGCGGGTGGAGTAGCGCGGTGCTGCGAACTGATTGCTATTTCCATGGAGGGAAGCCGCGCAGCCATCGCCGGAGAGCGCTGACTTTTTCCTGATGACATTTGGACTCTAAATCAAGTACCCGTGAGTAAAAACGGAGAATTGGACTAAGAAATTTTTTAATTTATGAAATTAGGCACGAAGCGGGAAGGTGTAAACAGGAAGTCCGCCTCCCATCCTTGTATACAGCTTGAACCTAATAGCCTGAAAAGTTCTTTTAAAGTTGGAAATTTCATGCACCCATAACCAACAAAACCCCCTTGGAAGCAGGAGAAGGGGGGGGGATTTGACAGCTTAATCCTGCAGGAAGTGAGAAAAGGAATCTAAATTTAACACCCCAGAGGACAGGATCACACTTCAAAACGACCTTGACAGATTAGAGAACTGGGCCAAAACAAACAAGATGAATTTTAACAGGGAGAAATGTAAAGTATTGCACTTGGGCAAAAAAATGAGAGGCACAAATACAAGATGGGGACACCTGGCTTGAGAGCAGTACATGTGAAAAGGATCTAGGAGTCTTGGTTGACCACAAACTTGACATGAGCCAACAGTGTGACGCGGCAGCTAAAAAGCCAATGCAATTCTGGGCTGCATCAATAGGAGTATAGCATCTAGATCAAGGGAAGTAATAGTGCCACTGTATTCTGCTCTGGTCAGACCTCACCTGGAGTACTGTGTCCAGTTCTGGGCACCACAGTTCAAGAAGGACACTGACAAACTGGAACGTGTCCAGAGGAGGGCAACCAAAATGGTCAAAGGCCTGGAAACGATGCCTTATGAGGAACGGCTAAGGGAGCTGGGCATGTTTAGCCTGGAGAAGAGGAGGTTAAGGGGTGATATGATAGCCATGTTCAAATATATCAAAGGATGTCACATAGAGGAGGGAGAAAGGTTGTTTTCTGCTGCTCCAGAGAAGCGGACACGGAGCAATGGATCCAAACTACAAGAAAGAAGATTCCACCTAAACATTAGGAAGAACTTCCTGACAGTAAGAGCTGTTTGACAGTGGAATTTGCTGCCAAGGAGTGTGGTGGAGTCTCCTTCTTTGGAGGTCTTTAAGCAGAGGCTTGACAACCACATGTCAGGAGTGCTCTGATGGTGTTTCCTGCTTGGCAGGGGGTTGGACTCGATGGCCCTTGTGGTCTCTTCCAACTCTATGATTCTATGATTCTATGATTCTATGATTCTATGATTCCACCGTCCCAAACCTGGGGACGGGGTGTTGGGATAGAAACTGCTTGAGATGTCCATTGATTGAAAGTGGAGTACTTTTGACAAATAGTTAAAAAAAAAGAAGAAACAAATTAACTTCAACGCTACCTTCTGCATTTTTGCTCTTTAAAGAAACAAAGTATTTGAAATTGAAAGGACCTGAAATTGAAAGTAACTTTCTTTGTTGGATACTTTCTTCAAAAAAAAAAACCCAATGGATACAAACAGAAATTGTGTCCCCTAGAGGGAGCCTGTCAGTTTGCGGTCGCAGTTTGCATATGTGAGATTTGGATCGTGGGAACAGCCGTTTGACCTTGTTCTGGAATAGAAATGTATTGGCAGGAAGGTTTGGTGTCTGCCCTTGGTAGGACTAATGTTTTGCTGGAGCAGCTGCACGAGAAAATGAGTCTGATGAATGAAAAACTGGATTTTATGAGTGCTGTGACCAGCCAACATGATATAACAGGGAATAAGGATGAACCTGGCTTGACAAGGCAAGTCCAAGGGCAGATAGAGGAGGAAGAGGCAGTAGCTATCTATTACACAACACAAATGGAAAGACCCAAAGTTTTCCAGGAACAAAAGCTACTGCGTTGGAAGATTGATTTTGGAGAGTGCTGGGAAGCATTTGAAGTTAAGGAAGCTTTTAACTCCAGTGTGACTGTGAAACAGGTGAATAACTATCTTCTGGATACATACTTTTTGGACTACAAAGATGAAGATTGGGAGTGGGACTGGGGGGAAGGGGACAATATAATGAAGGAAAATGGAAATTACCACTGGATGGAACCCTCCGGAGACCCACTCCCCCAGAAACCAACAATAGACAAAGAACTGCGTAAGCACAAACAAGAACAAAAAAATTTGCAGAAGGGACCTAGAAGAGATTTAAGGGCCTCGGACATCAGAAAACCAGATTGATGGACTATGTAACGGACAGAAAGGACTGATATGACCGAAACCAGGAAGATGGGATGTTGGATGAAAATCATAGAAATTTTTATGTTAATTTTGGAATTAGTTTAATATCAATGAAATTTGTCTAATATTAATGAAATTTGAGGGAATATGCTGGAAAGGAACCAAATTGGCTTTAGTAGAAATGATTTTAAGGAGTAATGTATGAATGTGATGTGATTTCGAAATTTTAAGATTTTTAAGACAAGATAAGGTTAAAGATTAAGGCAAATTGAATAACAGATTATATTAAAAGAGGGAAAGGTTACGTTGAATAACAAATAAGATAGATTGTGAAGATTAATTATTTAAATTAAAATTGAGAAATATGGGAAGAATTTGCTGAAATAACGAATTAAACTAGAATACGAAAAGGGAGGTGTGAGGAGGTTCAAGAATCAAGCAAATGAAAAGTCGAAATTTGAAATATGTATTTTCTTTTTTTCTTTTTTTCTTACTTTATTATTTTTTCTTTTTTCTCTTTGGGGTTAGGGTTGGGGATGTTTTTTATGTATTGATGAAATTTTGAATAAATATTTAAAAAAAAAAAAAAAGATTGTCCATTGCAAGAGTCTAACCCCTGGAGGAATGTGACGCACAGAAGTAGGACAGTCACAAACCACACTTGGTCTTAGAGTTGCAAAATCGCTTCCATGCTCTCACCTTGGACACTGATTCTGGGCCAGAAGAGCTAGGACAGCAGTTGTCAGAAGACACGAAGGTGGGTGTGAAAGCTACAGCGCACAGAACGATTATTGTCATCCCCCAGAGGAGAAAGAGACAGGAGGAGATGGATTCGGAGGAGTCTTTTTCCATTCTTAATCTAACCCCATCAGATCCAAGGCTACTGACCGTGGATGAGTATGCTAATGCCCTTGCTACCTTCTGTGGAGATGACAGTAGAGAAAGGGATTTGCAGCCTAGAGATGACAAGCTGGGAGGAAGGAGTAGGAAGTACTCAAACCATAAGATTCTGGCCTTGGTAACTTATCCCAGCAACTTCAAAATAAGCTCCAATAAACAAGAGGGAAAGACACAAGAACAACAGAAGCAGACCCCAGGACGCTCCAAGCAGCCTGCTACTCCCTACAGAAGGAGGAGACGAGTTATGTATGTTTACTCTGGAAAAGAGGAGATTGGGAGCAGATATGGTAGCCATCTTCAAATACCTAAAGCTTGTTTTCTGCTGCAGAGAGGAGGACCCAAATCAATAGATTAAAGTTACAAAAAAGGAGATTCCAATCAAACATTAGGAAAAACTATCTGTTGGTAAGAGCTTGTCAACTGTGGAACGGGCTCCATTGGGAGGTGTGGACTCCCCTTCTTTAGAGGCTTTTAAGCAGAGGTTGGGTGGCCATCTGTCATGGACGCTTTCGTTGTGATTCCTGCCTTGCAGAGTCCTAGGGTCCCATCCAATTCTTTTATTATTTGACCCCTTTTGGACTACTGTGTACAGTTCTTATCACCTCAAGTATGGTATGGTAGATTTGGAAAAGGTTCAGACAAAGGCGACGGAAACAATCAAAGGGATGGAGTGAAAAGTCCCTATGAAGAAAGGGACTTTTTAGTTTAGAAAAGGTGAGTAAGAGGCAACATAATAGAAGTTTGTACGAATCATGCATGGCATAAAGAAATTGGATAGAGGAAAGTTTTTCTCCACCTCTCTTAATACTTGAACCCGTGGACATCCAAAGAAGCTGAATGTTGGAAGATTTAGGACAGATAAATTTTGTTATTTTTTATTACACAGCACGGAGTTAAACTGTGGAACTCCCTCCCACAGGAGGCTGGTATGGCCACCAACTTGGATGGCTTTAAAAGAGGACAGGGCAAATTCATGAAGAAGAGGGTTATCAAAGGCTACTAGCCAAGATGGCTTGGCTCTGCCTCCACATACAGAAGCACTAACGCTTCTGAATCAAGGACACAAGTATGGGATGGAGGGTGGACCTGGCTTGGCAGCAGAACGTGTGAAAGGGATCTAGGTGTCTCATTGGTTTCTCACAAGCTAACTCTAAGCCAGCAATGTGAAGCAGCTGCGTAAAAAGCTAACACAATCAAAGACGACATAAACAGGCGCTCACAATATCATAACAAGTCCAGACCAGAAGAAGCAATAGATCCACTCTATTCTATGATTGTCAGGCTGTGTCTGGTTCTGGGTGCCACCTTTTAAGAAGGACAAAGTTGAAGGTGACCAGGATGGAAACAAAGACCATGGCTCAGTCGGTAGAGCATGAGACTCTTCATCTCAGGGTTATGGGTTCAAGCCCCACGTTGGGCAAAGGATTCCTGCATCGCAGGGGGTGGACTGGATGGCTCTCAGGATCCCTTCCAAACCTTAGAATTTATGATTCTACAGGGATTGACTGGAAGAACTGGTTAGGTTGGCCCCTGGCAAAGGGAAGGTGAAAGGGACTCATGGTGACAGCAGTCTCATAATGCTTACAGGGGTGCCATAGAAAAGATGGCGCAGACTCGTGTTTTCTGCCCTTCCAGAAGGACAGGACTAGTACCAGTGGGTGGAATTGGCAGGGAAATGGCAGATTCTGGTTGAACAAGAGCAGGAGCTTCCCAATGGCATGAGCTGCTTGGCAGGGGAATATTGAGTGCCTCAAGTGGTGATGGTGGGCTCCCAGTCACTGGAGGGATATCAAGCAAAGAAGGGGCTGCCCCCTTGTCAGGGAAAAAGCAACTGCTTCAGGACTCATGAATGGCAGGTCTCCCTCTGTAGGGTTTCACTAGATGACCTCTTCCAATCCTAAAATTCTGTTATTCCAATTGCCAAGCTAAAAGAAGCTATGAACACTTTACAGCTACTGTTTAAAGTGTGTGAGGGGGAAACTGAACACTCTGGTCACATATCCTGTGGAGACCAAATGTGGAAATCGATGGCCTTGTCTGCCTGTTTCTGAGAATGTGCCTCCAGACCCAAGCGCCTCCTGGAGCTCTCGCTCTGCTTGATCTCTGTCTCTTGCCACCCTGGCCTCTTTCCAGAGGAAGTGCCAGATACAAATCCAATAATTAAAGACCTCGTTAAGAACAAGCACAGGCCCCACTCCTTTCCCAGAGAAAACCCACTCTTTAGCTCTAAATCGGAACAGACAGCAATCCATGAAAAACCCGAATTCATACTGCACAACTGTCCCGTGTTAAGCGGGGCACCCCAGGCTGACAGGAGCCTCACTGGCTTCCAATTCCAATCCTGGATGTCTTGTTTTGGCTCCCGTGCTCTGGTCACACCAGAGAATGGGACCAAAAAACAGAAGGAAAACTTACTTGACCCGCACGTTGCCACTCGTGGCATATTTGTGGCACTGGTGGAGGAGGCTGTGCAGGCGGGCACAGCTTCTTCCAAGACAGAGGAGGAGGAGGAGGAGGCCCCAGATGAAGGTACAAGGGGGACAGGGAGGAGGGAGAGCGGGTGGGCAGCAGCGAGCAGGCGAGGGAGGGGTGGGCAGCAGCAAATTTCCATTTTATTATTGCCTTTACACCCTGTCTTTTCTCTAAGGAGCTCAAGGTGATGACCCCACACCTCCCTCCTCTCCTTTTGGCCTTACAGACACACTCTGACGCAGGTTAGGCTGTGAGGGAACGTGGCTGGCCCAAGATCGCCCAGTGGGCTACAAGGCTGAGTGGGAATTTGAATCCTGGTCTCTCCCAGGCCCTAGCCCAGCTTCCTGACCGCCTCCACCGCCACCGGCTGAGAGGTCCTGAGCCTTCAGCCTCCTGCAGCCATTCTTTCTGCCTCAATGTCAGATATGTGGAGAATAAAACTAGGTGTGACTTGTGACAACACCCAATCTGGGTCCTGCCAGTTGCCTATAAAGGCGGGGGGAGGGGGGCATGGACGCTGCAACGTGAGTCCCCTGCCGCCCGTGTCTTTTATCACCTGAAACCACCTTTAAATAAACAAATAAAGTTCTTATTCTTTCCTGTGGTTACTCCAGGACTTGAAGGCCCACCAGGTGGAAATTGGCATTTGCAGAACAGAAGGACAGTGGCTGTGGCTGGATGGACTCAGGTAGGGAGAACCTTAGTTTCCACCCACCCATTCTCACAGCACTGTCAGCCACCCCCACAAATTTGGCCCACAGGGACCTCCCCCCCCCCCCACACACATTCAGGCATAATTCAGGGCTTGCCCACACTTGCCCCATGCCTACAAAGCACGGGTCCGAGAGGTTCTCTGCTTCTTTCGTGTTTTCTAGGAACGAGTCTGAGCAGTTTTCCATTTCCTTCTCCTTACTGCTGAATCGGCGCAAACATCAATCTGAGGAAAACCCAATGGATGTTTGTTCCAACTGAGCAGTAAAGAGCAAGTTTTCCCTGGTGGGGGGGGGGAGTGGTGGGAAAAGCGGAAGTGCAGACGATCCCTCAGCTGTCCACCAGCAAGTCAAGTTTGCCTATTTACAGTTCATTGATAGCGCCTGTGCAGAAAACCTTATTCCCCAGCAGATGGGAATGTTTGCAGTAAGGAAAGTGGCAGGGAACAAATGTGACAAAACATTCTTTGAGGATTGGAAACCTTTTGTAGAATATCTAAAGAACTATTATAAATTGCATGGAAACATGGGCAGGATTTGAAATATGAGCAACAGTAGAAATACATTAAGGCTAATAATTTGGGATGTAAAAATGGAGTGGTTATAAGTTAAAATATGCAGCATTAAAGGATGAACATTGAACATCATGGAGGGGGGATGGGGCGTCAACTGATAAATTAAACATATTGTTGATGGTAAACTTTTGAAAACTAAATGAACAATTATTTATTCTTTTAGAAAAAGAAAGTGGCAGGAAAATGCCCTGGAAAGTCTGGGGTGATAACGCTTGTTTTATAATCCTTAGAAAGCCAACACCTTCTAATCTCCCTGCAAACAAATCAGGGGAAATGCTCCATAAACCCATCAACAGAAAGCTGCCTGGAACCCAACCGGGGCCATCAAATGAAGCTGAGGAGCGAGAGAAAGAAAAGCAAGTCCTTCTTCACACAGCACATGGTTAAACCATGGGACTCCTTCCCACAAGATGTAGTGACAGCCACGAAGGTGGGTGGCTTTGGAAGAGGGTTGGACAAAATCATGCCTTTCCGTAGCTAATAGCCATAATGGTCGTGTATGAGGATGAGAGGCAGTCTGCCACAGGACGCTCATCATCAGTGGGGAGAAAATCAGCAGGAGAGGGCTGCTGCTGTCCTGTCCTGGCTTGTAGGCTTCTCACTGGGGCGTCTAGTCAGCCACTGTGGGGAATGGGATGCTGGACTAGAGAGAACTTTGGTCTGACCCAAGAGCAATCTGGCTCCCCTGACGTTCCTTGTCTGACTGAGAGTAAGTTTCTCTGTGAGGAGGGAATGGGACTCTGCACATGCTCCAGGGAAGTCTCTTTAAAAAAAAAAATTGAGGTATTTCGTGGATGAGCGACAGCTTCTGGGCTTGGGCTGCCAGGAGCCTTGGCATGCGTTGAGCCCTGGCAAGGGGGCTGGCGACTCTCCTGTGACTCCACCCCTTCCCCAGATGCACCCACCACACAGCTGGTTGCCCAAGCGGCAGAGTTCCCACCCCGCCACACCCTCCGCATCCCGAAGGCTCCTGTGCTCCCAAATACTTACCCTCTGTGGAGGAGGCCATGATCAGCCCCGTCCAGAGGCAGAGAGCAAAGAGGCTCACCCCCATTCTCCAGTCATTGGGTCTCATGGGTTGAGGCACCAGGGGCCGCTGGCAAAGGGGAGGGCAGGTGCCAGAGGGTTTTCCAGGCAGAGGTCAAGGAGCGCACCTTCCTCCGATCAGCACCAAAGCTGGATTGAAGCTCAAAGCTCCAGAGAGAGATTTCTAGCGGGGAGGGGAGGAGGAGGAGGAGGAGGTGGCTGGCCACACCATCCCTCAAAATTCTTCTGATAAGAGCAGGGATGTGTCACCTTCAGGGAGAGGCGTCCAGCAGGAGTTGTCTCATGGAGGAAACACCCTGGGAAGTGGTGGGTCAGTTGGGCATGGGGGGGGATTTGACCCGCTGGCACGGAAAGGGCACTGGCAAGGAGGGAGGGCAGTCCTTCTTGGCAGGTATGTTCCAAGTGTGGTGCTCAGCCCGCCCAGTGTAAATAGCGACTTTGACAAAGGACCTTGGGCAAATATTTGCAGGGGGCAAGCTGTGAGCCAGGCCGGCCCCTCCCTAGAGCAGGTAAGGAAGGGATTGAATGAGGGAAAGGCAAAAAGGGCAATGGCGAGACTGCGGAGGAGAGAAAGGGGGAGAGAGAGGGGGGAGCTGATTTGGAAGGGACCCCAAGGGTCATCTAGTGCAACCCACAAATCTCAGCTGAAGCATCCCTGGTGAATGGCCAGCCAACCTCTGCTTTAAAACCTCCAGGGAAGGAGAGTCCACCATGTTCCAGGGGAGTCCGTTCCGCTGTCCAACAGCATGGAATCATAGACTGGAAGGAATCCCAAGGGAGTCATCTAGGCAACCCCCCTGCGATGCAAGAATCACAGTTAAACATCTAGGGTGGTATTACCACCCCACACCCCAATATGGTGTAATGTGGAATGCACGAAATACTTCATAATACCTCCCCAGTATTTTTTTATACTTTTGATCAATTTTGACAACTCTCCGTGCTTTTTTCAGGGGGTCCTCAAGGATACGCAGCGCTGGCACTTCTTCTTGTTGTTGTTAAAACGTGTGGCACTTACTGGAACAACTTCACGCTGAGTACCAGCACCCATTTTTGCAGGAAAAAAAGCACTGATAACCTTGATAATCTTTTTAACAAGTCTGATGAATTTTGAGAACTTTTAAACATCCTTTAACGTACTAAGACTGTACCAGGGCCAAAGGGGGAGGGGTAGTTTGGTGGGAGAGTTTTGAGATAACATTTAGATTTTGTGATAATCCTAACAACTGTAATTTTTACTTATAAAACAATAAAAATCATCATCATCATTATTTTGTAACACACTGCTTGGGAAAAGTGCTCCCCCCTCCACCCCGTGCAAGTTTACTTTGCAAGAAATATCTAACAATTTGCAAAAGGGCTGCTATGGGTTTAAAATTCAAACTGTCCAAGGTGGCAAATATTACAGCAAAAAGTGTGTGTGTGTGTGTGTGTGTGTGTGTGTGTGTGTGTGTGTGTGAAAAGGACATATTCTAGAAGCTAAATGAAAATGACAAAGGCAGTCCTGAGTTGTGCTGATGCAATGGACAGAAAAATCCAGCAATGAATTTTGGGTGACCCACTTTGGCCTCCCTGGCTTCAGGAGGTTGAGGACATCTGGCCTTCCATCTCAGACCAGTCTGGTCCTCACTGCAGCTCTGATGCTCCTCTGGTCTGCAAGACCTCCTGTGGCCTCCGTGTTCGCCTTCCACAATCACCGTGCAAGTGATGCTTCAGTATCTGCACATAACTGGACTTGTGAGCATGAGCAGCTTCCAGTGAGAGACCTTGCTGCTGAGTGCAGATCCAATGTTACTGCAGCTTGTCATTCTACAAGGCACCTAGGAAAGTTGCCCCATGGAAAGCTGGAGGAGAACAATCTGAGCCCCAGAACTCGCCGTTTGGCCCTTGAAGTGTGTTATTCTGTGCAAGAGAGAGACTGAAAGAGAGACTGCCTATCTCTGTACATGTTCTGTGAGAATGCTGTGGGTGGGTGAGACGTGGTTCCATGGGCTTACGTCTCTCTCCCTCTCTCTCCCCTCCTGAGGTTGTTCAAGGGTGTGAATGTAGTTGGGTGAAGCATGAAAATAATGGTGCCCGTTGCCTGCATCTCAGCAGCGTCACAACCCTATCTGATTACATTTCTGTAGTCCTGGGAAAAGAGAACGAAAGAAGGCTGTGTATGAGTCCAGACGTCGTTGTTGCAAATATATCTCTAGTGCCCTGTTAACGATGGAGGGAAAACAAGACTTGTGTGGGGTACAAAGCTCTGGGGCACGACCCCGGGTGTCGGTTTGCCTTTGCGCCAGGAGCAAGCATGTGTTTATCTCGGCTGTATCGCTTTCTGATAAATCCAGATTGACGTCAGGCAGTGCCCATTTGGGCTCATTTGCCTGCCTTGAAGTGGGACGTGCTACCTGCCCAGGTGAAAGGGCTCTGAGCACCAACCATACCCAAGAAGCTGTTTATCTAATAGGAGCAGCCACAGAACAAGGGCTATAAATAGCATCCCTTGGGTTTCTGCCTTGTCACTTAAATGCCTCTTAGTAATGCCCCAAATAGACACCTCCTGGCCATCTCTCCTCCTCCTCCTCCTCCTCCTCCATCAGAGCAGCTCCACAACCTTTGCCCAACTTGGAGTTGGGGAGGGGGGCTCCAAACCTGTAGTCTTGAAAGCACAGAAACCAAAAGGTGGGGGTCAGATCAGTGGTGCTGGCAGGATGCCAGGACTTGGGGGCTCCCGCAGCCCCCGCTCCCTAGGAGTGTGGTGGCATTTGGGGGACAAGCACCTCCTTCCTCTTCAAGTGCAATGGATCCTGTTGAATATTGCAGTAGCATTGTGATTTCACTAAGGCATCTTTGTGTCACTTACGATTTTTGTAATCGTTATTGTAACTTACAACGAAAAGTCTGCCCTGAGTCTCCTTTGCCATTCAGCTTCATAAGATGATCCCAGATGGGTTCTTGCGTTGTGAGAGAGGAAAGCTTCTCTCCGTCCCCTTTCTCGATGCCTTGCCTAATTTTGCATACCTCTGTCACATCTCCCCTTACTCATCTTTTCTCCCCCTAAGCAAAAGAAAGCCCCCAGTGGTGTATCCTGTCTTCTTAGGAGTGTTGCTCAAGCCCCTTCATCCTTCCGGATGCCTTTTCTGAACCTGTCCCTAAAACACTCCTTTCAGAGGCCTGGCAACCAGAACTGTACACAGTATTTCAAGTGCGGTTACACAATAGATTTGCATAAAGGCCTTACAATATTGACAGTTTCCCTTCCCTAGTGATCTTCCCGGCCATCCTCCACACACTGGTCTCATTTGCATGTAATGCTCAGGCAAACTATGAATTAGCAAGAATGAGCACGTGTGCTTGGGGGCACAGTGAGAAATACGTGGCTGCTTTATTATCAATTGATTAATCAGTTTATATCCTGCCTTTTCCCCTTACGGGACTCAAGGCGATTTTGCTCTGCCCCAGCTCTTGCTGTGCAACCGGGAGTTAAGACACAGTTTGGCTTAGTGTCACATCCAAACACCCAGCGCACTGAGTCGCAGAGAAGATCTAGCGGGTTACTCCTGATTTATGGGCTGGTGCTTCTGTGGAGCTTACCCCTTAAACTTCAATTCACCATTGAGGCCTCAAGTTCATGCCACACAGTCTCTCTCTGAAGATTGAGTCAAAGAAAGCTGCAGATGGATGACTGGCGTTTGCTTGTTTGTTTCTCCACCAAATACATAGAAAGGTTGAGATCCCTTTTTTACTATCACTGCCACTTAGGAGGATGCAGAGGGCAGTTAGAAATCTGAACACAGCACTATTGCGCAGTTCCTTCCTCCCCCAAGATAAGATTCTGAACAGGTTTTACTGGACTCCAAATTGTTTATTTAAGGCTATCTTGAGCAGTTATGGTCAGTTGCATGGAGTATGGTGAGGGGGGGACTCTTTGCAAGGCCCAACCATGGAAACACCAGCTGGGGGGGGCGCACTGGAGGCCTGAAATGGCTTTGCACCAGTCCAATCCAAGGACCTTTTCTGCCAGGTAGGAATGCCAGAATATCTGAGATTACAGGGAGACGGGAAAGCCCCTCCTCCCCACCTCCGCCTCCCTCTGCGCATGAGCAGAGACACCTCGCCCTGCCATGCTCACACTCTTCTGCTGGAGCCCCTTTTCTCCCAAAGGAAAACTCAGCTATGCCTCCTGTTCTTGCTATTATTACTGACAAGAGTTTAGCATCGGAATTTAGAAAGAGAGTTAATGTTTACAACAATCCCATATGGTAGGCTGGTGGAATTATCCCCACTCTGCAGACAGGGCGACTGAGGTTGGGAGGGGGCGTGGGGTGTCTCAGGACCCCTACTAAGTTTCTGGTGGGAGTGGGATTTGACCTGAAGGCTTCCAGACTCACCATGGCTCATGACCCAACAAGGCCCTTACATTTTGTGGGACAGGCAGCCTGCCAAGCACTGCAGAGGATCCTACCCAGCCAGAGGAGAAGGCTGGCATTTATTACTTCCCATCCTCGAGGTTGTGGGACCATAAACAATAAGCAATTGCGCTAATAAAGAAAGGAGGGTTGGGTGCCACAGCTGGGCAGGGAAAGGGTGGGGGCCACAAACTATCTGTATGCCAAACCCAAGTGGGGGTTATCCAGTCTCCTGAGGGGTCCTGAGCTCCCCATCTTCTTTTTGCCAGCCATGTGAAGGGGTTCTGTGACACCGCTGCCTTCTGTGTGTGCCAGTTGCTAGGTGCTCAGAGGGAAAGGGCCCGATCCGGAGGTCACAGGATGACTCAGCCGCACCGTTAGGAAGCCAAGGTGCTGACGCCACTCACTTCAGTGCCTCTCCCTGCCCAGGGAAGGACTGACTGCTGGCCTGGCCCTCCCTCTCTGTAAGCCACCCAGCCCCACCAAATTCCTTGAGAACCCAGGAGTCCTGGCAGGCACCCTGCCCTGTGAGGCCTGAGGCCCACTGCCAAGTAGACCCTGGCCACCCACATGACTAAATCACTTCACAGGAGGAGCCCTTCAGAAGCCCAGGAGTCCTGACTCCTTTTCCTGCTCCTCACTCCAAATGTGTTCTCCTATGGCGTCCAAAAAGGGATTTCAAGCTTCCTGTGATTGGTCTGGGCAGAAGCCTTCCCCTCTCTCTCTCCCCCTTTGTTATTAATAACCCCACCCCACTGAGTCTTTTATCAAATTTGCCCCATTGCATCCAAGCAATTTCCCCTGCACATAGCCTCCTGCTATGCACTGAGCCTTTCTTCTTGCCACACCCTGAGCTGTGCTCAGCTCACAAAGGGAAAGGTTCAGAAAACAGCAAGCAGCATCCTACCATGTCCAGTTCTGGGGACCCCAATTTAAGAAGGATGCTGGCAAGCCTGAAATGGTGCTGACAAAGAGGATCAAGGTTCTGGAAACCAAACCTAAAGAACTTTTAACTGAGTTAAGATTAAAAAAGGATGTGTACAAAAAATGGAAAAGGGGGGAAACCACCAAAGAGGAATTCAAACAAATAGCCAGCACGTGTAGACACAAAGTCAGAAAAGCTAAAGCACAGAATGAACTCAGGCTTGCTAGAGAGGTTAAAAGCAACAAAAAGGCTTTTATGGGTATGTTCAGTAGCAAAAGGAAGAACAAAGAAACAGTGGGGTCACTCAGAGGAGAAGATGGTGAAATGCAAACAGGGGACCCAGAAAGGGCTGAACTCCTCAATGCCTTCTTTGCCTCAGTCTTCTCCGATAAAGAAAACAATGCCCGACCTGAAGAATTTGGAGCAAATGATTCAGCAGAGGAAACACAGCCCAGAATAACTAAGGAGATAGTACAAGAATACTTGGCTAGTTTAGATGTATTCAAGTCTCCAGGGCCAGATGAACTGCATCCAAGAGTATTAAAAGAACTGGCAGATGTGATCTCAGAACCACTGGCAGTCATCTTTGAGAATTCCTGGAGAACAGGCGAAGTCCCGGCAGACTGGAGGAGGGCAAATGTTGTCCCTATTTTCAAAAAGGGAAAAGAGAGGACCCAAATAATTACCGCCCAGTCAGTCTGACATCAATACCAGGGAAGATTCTGGAGCAGATCATTAAGCAAACAGTCTGTGAGCACCTAGAAAGGAATGCTGTGATCACCAATAGTCAGCACGGATTTCTGAAAAATAAGTCATGTCAGACTAACCTGATCTCGTTTTTTGACAGAATTACAAGCCTGGTAGATGAAGGGAACGCAGTGGATGTAGCCTATCTTGATTTCAGCAAGGCATTTGACAAGGTGCCCCATGATATTCTTGTAAAGAAGCTGGTAAAATGCGGTCTTGACTATGCAACCACTCAGTGGATTTGTAACTGGCTGACTGACCGAACCCAAAGGGTGCTCATCAATGGTTCCTCTTCATCCTGGAGAAGAGTGACTAGTGGGGTGCCACAGGGTTCTGTCTTGGGCCCAGTCTTATTCAACATCTTTATCAACGACTTGGACGATGGACTCAAGGGCATCCTGATCAAATTTGCAGATGACACCAAACTGGGAGGGGTGGCTAACACCCCAGAGGACAGGATCACACTTCAAAACGACTTTGACAGATTAGAGAACTGGGCCAAAACAAACAAGATGAATTTTAACAGGGAGAAATGTAAAGTATTGCACTTGGGCAAAAAAATGAGAGGCACAAATACAAGATGGGTGACACCTGGCTTGAGAGCAGTACATGTGAAAAGGATCTCGGAGTCTTGGTTGACCACAAACTTGACATGAGCCAACAGTGTGACGCGGCAGCTAAAAAAGCCAATGCAATTCTGGGCTGCATCAATAGGAGTATAGCATCTAGATCAAGGGAAGTAATAGTGCCACTGTATTCTGCTCTGGTCAGACCTCACCTGGAGTACTGTGTCCAGTTCTGGGCACCACAGTTCAAGAAGGACACTGACAAACTGGAAGGTGTCCAGAGGAGGGCAACCAAAATGGTCAAAGGCCTGGAAACGATGCCTTATGAGGAACGGCTAAGGGAGCTGGGCATGTTTAGCCTGGAGAAGAGGAGGTTAAGGGGTGATATGATAGCCATGTTCAAATATATCAAAGGATGTCACATAGAGGAGGGAGAAAGGTTGTTTTCTGCTGCTCCAGAGAAGCGGACACGGAGCAATGGATCCAAACTACAAGAAAGAAGATTCCACCTAAACATTAGGAAGAACTTCCTGACAGTAAGAGCTGTTCAACAGTGGAATTTGCTGCCAAGGAGTGTGGTGGAGTCTCCTTCTTTGGAGGTCTTTAAGCAGAGGCTTGACAACCATATGTCAGGAGTGCTCTGATGGTGTTTCCTGCTTGGCAGGGGGTTGGACTCGATGGCCCTTGTGGTCTCTTCCAACTCTATGATTCTAAGAAGAAAAGATTGAGAGAGCACAAGATAGCCGTCTTCAAATATCTGAAGTGCCATCACAGGGAAGATGGGGTGAGCTTGCTTTCTGCGGCTCTGGAGGGGAGGACTCGGAGCAACGGATTCAAATGGCAAGAAAGGAGATTCTCACTAAACATTAGGAAGAACTTTCAGAGGAGCTGTTCAGCCGTGGAACTGACAGCCTCAGGCGGTAGACTCTCTTTCACTTTCGTTGTTGTGTTGTTGTTTAGTCATTTAGTCGTGTCCGACTCTTTGTGACCCCGTGGACCAGAGCAGGCCAGGCCCTCCTGTCTTCCACTGCCTCCCGCAGTTTGGTCAGACTCATGTTTGTAGCTTTGAGAACACTGCCCAACCATCTTGGCCTCTGTCGTCCCCTTCTCCTTGTGCCCTCCATCTTTCCCAGCATCAGGGTCTTTTCCAGGGAGTCTTCTCTTCTCATGAGAAGGCCAAAGTCTTGGAGCCACTCCATCAATGTTCCATCAGCTGAAAGTCCTTACGTTGAAAGAACAACTTAGGGCTTGGCTTTTACGAGCTGCATCAGGAAGCAAGTTCACCTGATGTTTGAAGGCTACATTCCTAGTGGATGAGATGCTCAACGCATCGCTCACACTGACGTGTAGAACACACTCCTTCCTGCTGTTGTGCTGTGTACTTGGAGGCATCCTCAGCAGGTGTTGTTTGCATTGGAACAGCAATTATGGATTGTGTTTGATTCCTGACTGATCATTTAATTTCACTCATTTCATTTGTATGCTGCTTTTCCATACACACAAAACCATGCTCAAAGTGGCTTACAGCAAAGAAACAGGGGTGCATTTCAAACAAACACTACAAAAGCCAGTTCATAATAACATAGGAAAACAATAGCAAATATAACAACATACCAAAAAAACCCCAACCATTCCAGTATTAGAAATATAACAAGATTACCTGAACGCTATGCAGCAACCAAGAGCAACAATAACAAGGGAGCTTCACAGTTTCACCTTATTCCTGGAAACACACCTTCCAGGATGTTGCTCACAGTCCCTCTCCTGCAACCACTTGCAAGGCTTCTGAGGGCAAAGGGTGGGGTAGCTGGAAACACCCCTCCCATGAGAATATTCACTGATCGCGGACGTACCGTCTTTGCTGCTTGTAGTCTTGCTTGTTCACTGAACAGGCACATCATAAAGCGTACCTTAAGTCTTCAGTGTGCGTTCGTCGTCAGCTTTCCTTGTTGCAGTTGAAGGATCCGTGGCGTTTTCCATCCACACGTGACAAAGAAATGTAAGGGCCTTGCACCGCAGTACTTGCCAAGCTGCACTGAGACAGGGCCTTCGGTCTGGCTCTTTCCCCTGACCACATATCTGGCACAATGTGGGCGGGGGGGGCGGGTAGAGCAGGGATTCTGCTGCAAGCTGCATGTCCTCCTCCTCCTCAACACCTGGAGGCAATTCTTGTGGCGAGGCCAGTTGCCATCAGTTTGCAGTACAGGAACGCCAACATCTTTATGGCAGTTTTCATAAAGGAAACATGGTTAAGCATGCATGGCACTTGTGTTTGTTAAAGGAGTCCTGGATCTTATAGGAAGCATACTGCAAGTTTCCTCCTCAATGTATGCGCAAGGATTGCAGAACATCACACCCAACAAACAAATGGATTTATGCTGCAGGCATGTCAATGCCCACCAAGGATAGGAAATGGATGCTATGCGTGAAGCTGTTCAGATCTAAAAATGAGTTCGAGAAGAGCAAGATTAGGAGTCTGGTACCAAAAAGCACTTCCCTAGCACTTCAAAACTCAATATGGTGGCTTATCTGGACTCCCCATGGTTGGGATTACACTTCCAACCCAAAGGCAGCAAATACATAGGACCCTGGTGGCAATGGCACAATGAGTGGCAAACATCGCACAGACCCTGGTACCCAGTGGGGGACTTTCAAATTTCAGCAGACCCCTGTGTGATGCCAAAATTTAATCACACCCCCCACCTGCCTCCCACCTCCCATTCTGCATTACTGTTGTGTCGCCCCCTCGGATTGGTGCCCAGTGCAGGTGAACCGGTCATGCTCCTCTAAATCTGCTTTCACTAGTAACCATATTGTGGTACAGAGTTACCATCTGGTGGATCAGTTCCAACTAGAAAGCAAACTCCACACCATTTGTGATTCTCTGGTGTTGCGAGGTGTCGTCTGAACCCACCCGCACACACACACACACACACACACACACCAGCCATGAGTGTCCCTCTGTGCGCTCTCCAGAGTTTCAGGTTCTTCTACTGGAGCTCAAAGCTGCATCTGTCATGGCTGTGTGTACCTACCCTTGGCTTTGTGCCCACAATAAGTTCCCAAACAAGAGCAATAAAGGAAGATTGGTTTACAACTTGAAATAAAAGTGATGGAGTACATGGCTGCCGGCTCAAACCGCAAAATTGCAATATAAGCTGGCAGCAAATCACAAAGTACATACACGTCTGAGCAGGATCCCTACGTAACCGCCTCCAAAGCCAGAAGAGCAGGCACAGACCCACTCGAAGGCATACCTTGCGCAGTTTCTGGTTGAAAGGACATGACCTCAGTGGGAAATGTTGTTGTTGGCATCCGTCTGTCTCAAGAGACAATGGAGTGTGCCTCTGGGGGTGAAGTCGAACCGCTGGGTTAGCAGCACCCAAGTTACCTCCCCGGGGGCCAGATGAGACCCTTCCCTTTTGGGGAAGAGGGATTAAGTTTGAGGAAAGTACCGTATTTTTCACTCCATAGGACGCACTTTTTCCCCTCCAAAAATGAAGGGGAAATATGTGTGCGTCCTATGGAGCGAATGCAGGCTTTCGCTGAAGCCTGGAGAGCGAGAGGCATCGGTGCGCACCGACCCCTCTCGCTCTCCAGGCTTCAGGAAGCTATCCGCAAGCCTTGCAAGCCCGGTGGGAGTTCCCGCGGGCTCACAAGGCTTGCAGGCAGCAGCCTGCAGCCCCGGCGAGTGTCCGCAGCCTTGCGCGCCCGGCAGGAGGTCCCGCCGAGCGCGCGAGGCTTGGGGCGGCAGCCTGTCGCCGAAGCACGGGAGCCCTCCGGAGGGCTCCCGTGCTCGGGCGAGTGTCTGCAAGCCTCGCGCGCCCGGTGGGAGGTCCCGCTGAGCGCGCGAGGCTTGGGGCGGTAGCCTGCAGCCCGAAGCACGCGGAGCCCTCCGGTGGGTGCCCCGTGCTTCTTGCAGGTGTGCACAAGGCTTGGGGCGGCAGCCGCGGCGGGGGGGGGGGGAATAATTTTTTTTATTCATTCCCCCCCCCCAAAAAACGAGGTGCGTCCTATGGGCCGGTGTGCCCTATAGAACGAAAAATACGGTACTTGCAAATGGGAACTTAAGTGCCCTTCCTCAGCCTTCCTCCAGATTGGTGCTGCTAATTAGCAAAACAATCTGCTTGGGGGCAGCTCATTGCAGAACTTCTCTGGCCTCCCCCTTAGCCAAGGCTTCATTTCCAGAAAAAAGAGCAGCTGGGACCCAATTCTGCTCACACAAAGCTATCTCCTCCGCAAGCTCTTCCCCTGCTCTGGTTCTTGCTGTGGCTTCTCAGGGGTGCTGAGAGAAGTGCACTCTGCACTTGCTCAGGGGCCCTTGAATCTTATCACTGCATTTTAAAAGGTAAATGAATTGGAAATGTGGGGGGTGAGGAACCATGGAGAAAGACCACAGTACAAAACAGGGAAAGTCAACAGGCATCTAAACAAACAGCACAAATCATTTTTATTTGATTTTACAAATATGAATTTATAACCATGCCAAATACACATCCATGTAGAGAGATCACTCTGAATCTCAGGTCTTCCCCCCCTCCCCCCCCATGCGTCCTCTTGTCAACATTTTCAAGTGCATATTATTTCGTAATCTCTATTTTATATCTATCCATAGTGTCCATAGTATTTGTTACATTACAAGTGAGATTAAAATCCTGCTAATGTTTTCATCTTCTTACAGTGGTCTCATAAATAAATTATAAACTTTCCCCATTCTTTCTTGAATTTCTTGTCTTCTTGGTCTCTGAGTTTTTGGGTCAATTTTGCCATTCCGGCGTAGTCTAACAGCTTGGTTTGCCATTCCTCTCTGGGACTCTTTCTTCTTTCCATCTCTGGGCTGGTAGCATCCGTGCTGCTATTGTCACATACATAAAGAGTCTTTTCTGTTCCTTTGGAATGTCAGTACCTATAATTCCTAATAGAAAGGCTTCTGGGGGTTTTTACAAAAGTTATTTTAAACATTTTTTTCAGTGCATTATATATCATTTCCCATAAAGCCTTTATTACCTTCCATGACCACCACAGGCATCTAAACAAACCAGCACCTCTAATTCTACAAATGGACACACACTCTGCAAGTGTCCCAATTTTCCAGGGACAGCCCCAGAATTACGAAACCCATCCCAGCTTCTGATGTGATTCCAGAATGTCCCTATTTCCCTGCAATAGTCTCCCAAACAGAGATAGTAATCTAAACTTCAGTTAAATACCCCTCCAAGAAGACAGACAACAGGTTAAGGACACTTTATTCCGATAGTTTTGGTTTCTCACTTGGTGAACTGAGAACAAATTTCATGACTTCCGGTTTGCCGCGGACCGCATCGTAGCATGGATATAGTCCTCCAGGAAAGACCCGATTTTCTGAAGGGTATGGGCCGGGGAAACGCAAGGGTGCTATGTACCCCTGTAAAAGGCTCAAAAGGATATTTTGAGCACCTGGATCTGGCTGCACTTGTCAGCAGACTCTCCCAGCCCGAACCGCGCTGCAAAGAGCAGAGGAGAGGTGGGATCGAGTTGCAAGCACTGGGATCTATTTGATTCCCTCGGAAGAGAAGCCTCAAGCTTCGAATGGATAAAGCAGCAAATTTTCCATAAAATATATAAAAAAGCCGAAGGAACTATCAGAAATTTGGATTACAAAGTGCTAAAAGTTCTTTTTTTTCTCTTTTGACTTTGCCACGCTGCCAAATAACTTATCCTATACAAATTACATGGTGAATTAAGGGGTGTGAACCCCTCACCTGTGCATTGGGGGGGGGCACCCCTTTGGAAATCAACCCACCAATTGCACTGTGCATCCAACCTGTGGTGCATCTCAGGATGCAACTCTGTGGGTACCGGTGTGTGGCATCGTGGGTCATCAGTGATGTTACAGGTGTATCTGGGGCTGGGATGGAAGGGGATGGGTAAGTTTGTACCAAGAGAAGGAAAAGCCAAGTGGGAGCAGGTTGGGGCTGGAGGGAGGAATCCAGAGCCAAACTGGAGAGAGGCGAAGGGGAAATAAATAGGTTGGTACAGAAAGGTACCAAAAGTGCTAGCCGTGGCCCCCGACCTGCAGAGACTATGTGAGACCCTTGCAAGGCGGCCTCCTCTTGCACCAGCTGGCCTTGGCATCCAGGCAGTCGTCAAAGGCCCCTTGCTGAGGGATGTGATTGTGCAAGTTCTGCCTCTGCGGGCAACGCGAGTCCTGGGGGGGCAGAAGCCCAAATACCCCCAATGGGGCCCTGTTCCTCCTCCACCTCCTCCTTCCAGCATCACCACGAAGAGGCGCCGGTATTCAAGGAGGCAGCAGCACCCCACTCCTGAAGTGCGAGAGGAAGCAGGAAGGCATCACCGGCATGTCCTGTGCAAATCCAGACCCAGCGTCCTTCCCGTGGCCCCGGGGCTTCTTCACAGCCGGGCCAAGTGGGGCCGAGCGATCCGTGTCTGCAGTGAGCAGGGAGAGAAGGAGAAAGCAGGCGGGTGAGGCAGGGTCAGCGGAAATGACAAGCACCTTTCAGAAAGTGCCCCACTACTCAGAGCTAAGTCCACCTGCAGCAGCGTCCGGATTCTGGCCAGATGCCCAGAAGAAAAGCCCACAAGCAGGAAATGGAGCCAACAGCCCTTCCTTGCTGCTGACACAGATCTCCTGCCATCTCCCTGAGCAACTGGCACCCAGTGGTAGACTGCTTCTGATCCTGGAGGCTCCATTTCACTATTCTAACTGGTAGCTTTTAATTGATGGACTTCAGGTCTGCCAGGAATTTGGCCCACCTCTCATGCCACACACAACCAACCACGCACCTTTAAAGCTCTCCAAGAGGTAGCAGCCTCTGCCACATCTTGTGGCAGGGCGTTCCATATGTCACTTATGGCACCAGTGTGAAGAAAGACTTTCCCCCCATTCTGAACCTCCTGCCCTTTGGCTTTGTGGAATGACCTCGTATCATGAGAGATAACCCTCCTCTTGTCCACTATCTGCTTACCACCCATAATGCTATAAACCGATCATGTACTTTTTTTCGTAATTCAAAAAGTCACTGTCCTTTTTGGGAAAGGGCTTGGATCTGCCCCCGGATTGTTCTGGCTGTGCTTTTCTGCGCCGCTTCTAATCCCTGCCTGCTGTCTCTCAGCTGTGACACACACACCGAACCCCAGATGCCCTCGTTTCTTGTACCGGCAAAGATGTGTCCACCGTTTCCAGGCGTGGTCGGAAGGAGCTGTCTCTGTCACCAGCGAAAGGGTCTTCTGTGCAAAGGGTGAAGTAGGAGGGGGCATGTCAGTCATTTTTTAGATTTGGGCTTCCCTTCTCCCCAGTCCAGCCTCTCCACTTGCCCACCCAGACGTCTTCCAAGAAGGGAGGGACCTACAGAGCCAGCTGGAACCTGCTTTATTTTTACAAAATGCACTTTCAAAGCTCTGGCAAGCAAAGTGGTCTTCCCTGGTGTGATAATGCAACCCGTAATCAGGGCTGAGGCTCGTCATCCCCCTCAGGTGCCTAGTGCTCCCTCCCAGAGCACAGAGTACATGAGAACCCTCACATCTCATTTATTTCTATTTCCCCCCTCCTTCTCCTGGATCAGAGCAGGGTGGGGTGGCAGGGCATGGAAAGCCCTTCCATCTGATTGCAGTTTGGGGACGTGGCTGTGTTTGACCTCCCCTGTTGCTCTCCCCTTTCTTATTTCCTTATTTCTGTATGTGGGGTGGAATGTTTCTGTGCAACTTCTGCAACCCCAGACCATCTATAATTCCACTGATGTATTTTTTTTCATGCATTAACCCGCAGGTCAAGGGAAGAAGCATACTTTGGGGGCCAGCAGTTGACATGGACACCAAGGCATGCCACCCCCACCATGGCCTCCCCTTCCTGGCCTAGACCTTGCCCCACATACCTCCTGTGGCAGTTGCAGGGTGTTCGGGATGGAACACCCACTCGGGCTCATTTTCATACCGCTTCTCTTCATCAGGAGGCAAATGTGTCAGCCTGGGAGTGGGAGACCAACAGAGGCCATCAGGGCAAAGATCTGTCCTTCAGCCCATTTCAAGGACAGCTTCCAGAGTCAGCGCCAGTTGAAAACAGCAGAGACTGACCTATGGCGGGTGAGGGGGTGACCGAACCATGCACCTGCAGCCCCACCACCAGCAGCTGGAAATAGGGCAGAGAATGAGACAGGAAGGAGCAGGGCCTCTGAAGGGCTCCATCCAGACACAAGCAGCTTGGATAGCCTTTCTACAATGTGGTTATTATTATTAGTAGTAGTAGTAGTTGTAGTTGTAGTAGTAGTATAATGCCCTTCATCCGTAGTTCCCAGGGCAATTCACAGAGAATGCCTTTCCAATCCCAGTGAACTTTCCCCCCAAGGTGGTCATTGAGAGAAGATGCAAAGCAGAGGCTGACCGGGACGCAGAGCAGACCGAGCTGACAAGAGTTTGAGTGCCCAGCCCTCCTCCTACCTGTGTCCCTTCTCCCTCGGGCAACAGCGCCTCCAGCAGAGAAGCACGACCAAGACCAGGATGATCAGCAGCAGCACCGCCAGGCCCAGGGCCACCCCCACGGCCACCCCCACCTTGCTGATGCCCTGCTCACAGCGCCGGCCCACGAACCAGTAGGAGTCCGACTGCTCACAGCTGTGGGAGGAAAGGCGGCGTCAAAAACCGGCAAGGAGGCAGGTAATGGGGCCCAGGATGCCTGGGTTATTTACGGGGTGGGGAGCAGGGGGTGTTTCTGATGCTGCAATTCGGGGGGGGGGCTGAGTGGCATCCAGGGCCTTAATCCAAGGCAGGAGCAGTGGTGACTGGTGCCCACGGGGAATTGCAGCAAAAGACAACATGCACACGAATGACACTGTTTTCTTAAAAATGACATTTATATGGTTCCTACTAGCATAGCTGCTTTTGAATTCTGGTGCTGGAGGAGACTCTTGAGAGTCCCATGGACTGCAAGGAGATCAAACCTCTCCTTTCTGAAAGAAATCAGCCCTGAGTGCTCACTGGAAGGACAGATCCTGAAGCCGAGGCTCCAAGACTTTGGCCACCTCATGAGAAGAGAAGACTCCCTGGAAAAGACCCTGATGTTGGGGAAGATGGAGGGCACAAGGAGAAGGGGAGGACAGAGGACGAGATGGTGGGACAGTGTTCTCGAAGCTACCAGCATGAGTTTGACCAAACTGCGGGAGGCAGTGGAAGACAGGAGGGCCTGGCGTGCTCTGGTCCAGGGGGTCACGAAGAGGCGGACACGGCTAAACAACTAAACAACAACAACTAGCACATCTGGTAGGAACAGCCTATGGGCATGATTTTGTCCCCCTGTGCCACAGGCCCAGATCCTTTGCCACCACCCACTTCACCCCCTGGCATGCTACTCACTAGCAACTGGGCCCCTCAGGGGTGATATAGCAGTTTCCGTTCACACATCTGAAGGGGTCGGGGTGCCAAACGCTGCAGTTAGAGACACACTGGAGGTTGCCACTGATGTTTCGTGCCACGTAAAATTGCTGGATGTTTTTTGCCACCACAGAGGTGTTCTTGCATTCTTTTGACAGATCTGGAAAGGGGAAGGAAGGAAGCACAGTCAGAAACGGGAGAATGCAAGTGCCTCTTAGAAAACCACCGCATGCTTGAGACCAGGAGATCAGAAGAGGAGCCTGCTGCAGGATTAGGTCCAAGGCCCCGAGGGTTCAGCATCCCAGAATGCTCAGCCACTTGTCTCCGGGAAAGGCACCAGCAGAAACACTGTCTGACTCTGCTTCTCCCAGCAACTTAGAGTTAGACTGACCCTGAATATGGAGGTAGTATACAGCCACAATGCCATAAAACCCTTTCCTCTCATCCTCCTTTGAAGCCATCCAGACTTGTGTCAGAGGATCCCACAGGTTAATTGCACTTGATGGGACAAGGATTAGCCTCTGTGCATCTCAGTTGTGACTGCACTTTGCAGAATCCTGGCAACATCTGCAGTGTCCACACCAGCAATGCATTTGTTTGCATGTGGTGGCCATGTTTTCTTCCTCATACGGCTCCACCGCCCCCATCCAGACAGCCCACTGCAACTCTTCAACATCAGGAGTGTGTTAAGCACACACTGACCCCCTCTCACACCCCAGTCCTCACCTTCAGGGCTCAGGGGCACTGGAGTCACACGAGATTTTCCTTCAGCAAAGCAGAGCTGATCTAAAGGAGAGGGGGAAAAGCAAAGGTGAGGCTTCTGAAAGGAAGAAATCACAGAGGGGGGGAGCATCCAAGGGGAGGGACCTCTTCCCCCACCCACTCCCCATGTCTCCCTGCCAGTTGAAGGAAACACACTTCCTCTGCCATCCCTCCTATGTTCAGCCAGCACCCTGACATCCGTCTCTGCTGGGGTTGTTGATGTGAAAGGGGTCTGTTACTGGGTATCCCCTCAGCTTGCATGGCCTCAGATCTGGCATAGATGAAGCTTGCTGCCTGTGAAATGGGCACACTAGGAAGACTACGTTTTCCCCCAATAAGCTTCCGTACTTCTGTTCCTAGAGAAACAGCATGATTGTTTGGATCAGGGGAGCGGGGGCTGGGCTTGGGCTCAGTGAAGCTGCTCAGATTCTGTAGAGAGGTGGGTCACGGGCTGTCTCACTGCTCCGATTGACAAGTAGAGAAGTGGACAAGCTCTTAAGTGCCACTGATGCCGGCAGGATTTATTGTATTTTTTGCTCTATAAGACGCACCAGACCACAAGACGCACCTAGTTTTTGGAGGAGGAAAACAAGGAAAAAAATATTCTGAATCCCAGAAGCCAGAACAGCAAGAGGGATCGCTTCAGCGAAAGCAACACAAAGCCTCTTCAGGGCAGCAGGAGGAGGGCTCCCCCTGCCCTGAAGAGGCTTTGCGTGGCTATCCCAGAAGCCCGAACAGCAAGAGGGATCGCTGCGCAGTGAAAGCAGCAATCCCTCTTGCTGTTCTGGCTTCTGGGATAGCTGCGCAGCCTGCATTCGCCCCATAAGACGCACACACATTTCCCCTTACTTTTTAGGAGGGAAAAAGTGAGTCTTATAGAGCAAAAAATACGGCACTCCCAAATAAAAAGGGGCAGGATTGCTGCCCTTGGATGGCCCCTGCTTCCTCGTGGCATCTGATCTGGAGACGTCTTATAAGGAACCTTTTCCTCGCACTCCACAAGCCAGATACGGGGCAGGAATGTAGCGGCAAGAGGTGCCCCGTGGCATGCAAGCAAAGGAAGCCTTTTCGTTCATGAAGCGGCCAGCCAGCCAGTGGCAGCTGCTGCCTCACCTGTTTGGTTGAAAGTGCAATTATTTTTCAGGACCTGGATGATGTCCTTGATGGATGCCTCATAAGAACCACTGAAGTTCGAGAACGGCTCACGCAGACGCACATCGTGGTCCACGATGACACTGCCTCGCCTGGAAGCAAGAAGCAGGAAGCAAGAAGGATAAATCATTTAGCCCCAGTTGTGAAGGTGCCCCCAGTTGGCCTGTTGTGAGGGGGGTCAACATGGCCTGTTCAGGCTTCCGTGTTCAAGGGAGTGTGGTGTTTTACGTTGGGCGCCAAGGAATTTGCTGGAACCCAAAACCACACTCTCTCCAATGCTTGGTCGCCAAACATATCTATCTGTGCCTCACCTCAGATTAATCACATGTAAGCCCTGGTACCCAAAAACGCCCGAATAGAAGATGTTCATCTGCACAGAGAGAGAGAGAAAATCTTAGCTCGGCTTCAGTGACAACGGAATGTGAGGAGCAGCAATCAAGAGCAGGTCTGGCCAGGAGCGGAGGAGTTACTGACACTTGGCAGCATCAACAGCTTAGAAGGTGTGCATGTCAGCAATCCTGCCGATGTTTACAATGTACCAAAAAGGCAACACCAAAAATCAGAAACAACAAAATACTCTACATGTACAAGATACTAGTTTGTGGATCTGAGAAATACTAAACCCCCCATCCCAGCAGATTCTGGGTCCCTCCTGTGTGCTGAGTAGGGCCTCTCTATCCTGCTGTGCTCCCTTAACTCCTCCACCCTTCCAACACACCTTTGGGGTATCTCCTGTGCTGGGCATGGCTAGTTGGTGGCCCTCCCCCAGCTGTTCTTGGACTCCAGTTCCCAGCAGACAGCCTGGCCAAAGGGATGGGATGATTATAAAGGCAGGAAGAGGACCTTTGTCACTTTAAGATTGGTCTTTCAAAAGTGACAATTAGGAAGACGGTTCCTGATGTGTGTATTAGGGTTTGAACCATCAGTTCTGAGTTACAAATTACAGAAACAGCTTTCTATACTCATCTGATAGCTACATTTCCACATCTGGATATCTAGGTGTTCCAAAGGATGGAAATCGGCCTGTGTTTCCAGATGTGCTAAGCGGACAAATCTCTGTTAATGAAGTTTACCACAAAGGAATGGCACGTTAACGGGACCCAGACTCAAAAGTAACAATAGGTCTGCCTGGAAGTGATCATTTTCCTGAGTGGGCATCCTCTATGAACTCCCAGCCACCCCTCACCTGTTGCTCAAAGACATTCACGAATCTCTTGAAGTCATGCGAGCCGTAAATCGCCATCTCTGGTCTAAAGTCCCAATTCCTCACTGTTACAGAGACATGGATTATGGCCACAACAGTCACTGTGATCAGAAAACACAGAAGTCATTAAACATGAAGGTACAGCCACAGTTTCAGATGTGAGGATGAGCACTTCCGGTGTCCATTGAGTCACCGTGATCATGGAAACAACATGAATCACTTCTGGATCCACACCAAGTGTGCAGAGAAAGGGCGCTGGTACAGGGTGTGAAATACATGGGAATGTGCGCGTATCAGCTCAGTGTAGTCTACTCTTGCTGACCGGAACTCTCCAGGTCCTGAGGCAGGTGACATTCTGGTCCAGCTGCTGCTGCTCCTGCTGGTATCAGAAGCTTTTTAAACTGCAGGTGTCAGGGTGATGCCGCAGAAGCAACACACCACTTTGAATCAAGCAAGTTGGCCGCAGGAGCACAAATATTGCCCACCTAGAAAATTACTACACATACCCGGACATTCCTGAGCTTTTGTTTTCAAAAGAAGAGCCAGAGGGCAGGAGCCTTGTACTAATAATTTGTACTAAGACTTACCCACTTGGATTTCATTCCTTGCCTCTTCACATCGCTGCCCAGTATAGGGAGATGGGCAGTGACAACGACCCCCAACAAGCACTCCTCCATTAAGACACCCGAGAGGGACAACTGTGGTGGAAGAAGCTGAGGAAGAGGAAGAGAACAGAACAGAACATTAATAATATTTAAGAACAAGCCGACAAAAGAGCCCTCATATATGATGATGATGATGACAATAATAATTTATATATTGTACAGCCTAATGCTATTATTTCTAAGTGTATAGTGAGGCTGAAAGAGCAATACATAAAATCAATTAGAATTAATCAGAACTTTAGCTGCTTGCTGAAATCAAGAAAGCCTAAGCCAAGGGCCTGGAGTTCAATAAAGAATGGTTCTCAGCCAGGAAAGAGTTACACGGTGGCTATACGTCGTGTGCCTTGACTCATGAGGGACCACGTAGATCAGCTCCCACAAAGAGAGCACTGATCAAACAGGGATATAACACATTAATAGGTATTGAAGATATTCTGGACTCAAGTATATTAAGGGCCTTGTAAACTGATGCAAGAACTTTGTAATGCGCCAAGAAGCATGATTGCAACAAGTGCAAACCATTAAGCCCTGCAGTCGTGTGCTAGGAAATAAACATCATTTCCATATGAAAATATAGGCCCTAACAGAGGAACTTTTCAGTTCAGAAGGAGTAAATGTGTGTGAACGGGTAATAGTGGAAGGGAAAGGGGCCCCAATGGTGGAGATTTTCATACCGGTAGACGTAGATGCCTTTGATGTGCTTGTTTCAGGACGCTCTTCTGTGGAACTGGAGGAGGTGGTAGATGGACCCAGCTTATCAGTCACACTAGTTGTACTTAGGATTGCTGTAGTACCCTCAAAGGAAGGGGCAGGCAACGTTGACAGAGAAGATGTCCCTGCAGTGGATGGTTCCTCCGAGGTGGAAGAAGCAGAGGTCACTGCCAGCGTAATAGTAGTGCCTCCTGCTGTACTCTGAGTTGAGGGTCCATATGCAGTGGTGGTGCTTGGGGAAAAGATAGATGTAACTGTTTCAGAACGCTGTTCGGTGGAACTGGAAGAGGTGGTAGGTGAACTGACCGTTTCAGTCACACTAGTTGCGCTTAGGATCGCTGTAGTACCATCACTGGAAGAGGCCGGAAACGTTGACAGAGAAGTTGTCCCTGGAGTGGATGGTTCCGATGATGTGGAAGAAATGGAGGTCACTTCCCGAGGAGAAGTAGTGCCTCCTGCAGTACTCTGAGTTGAGGGTTCAGTTGGAGTGGTCACACTGGAAGAGGCGGGCAACGTTGACAGAGAAAGTGTCCCTGCAGTGGATGGTTCCTCTGAGGAGGTGGAAGAAATGGAGGTCACTTCCTGCGGAGTAGTAGTATCTCCTGCTGTACTCAGAGTTGAGGGTTCAGTTGCAGTGGTCACACTGGGAGCGGCAGGCAATGTTGACAGAGAAGATGTGCCTGTGGTGGATGGTTGATCAGAGGTGGGAGAAGCAGAAGTCATTGCCTGCATACTACTAGTGTCTTCTGCTGTACTCTGAATTGAGGGTTCAGTTGCAGTGGTCACACTGGAAGAGGTCCCCAACGTTGACAGAGAAGATGTCCCTGTGGTGGATGGTTGCTCAGAGGTGGGAGAAGCGGAGGTCCCTGCCTGTGTAGTACCAGTGTCTTCTGCTGTACTCTGAATTGAGGGTTCAGTTGCAGTGGTCACACTGGAAGAGGTCCCCAACGTTGGCAGAGAAGATGTCCCTGTGGTGGATGGTTGCTCAGCGGTGGGAGAAGCAGAGGTCCCTTCCTGTGTAGTTCCAGTGTCTTCTGCTGTACTCTGAATTGAGGGTTCAGTTGCAGTGGTCACACTGGAAGAGGTCCCCAACGTTGGCAGAGAAGATGTCCCTGTGGTGGATGGTTGCTCAGAGGTGGGAGAAGCGGAGGTCCCTGCCTGTGTAGTACCAGTGTCTTCTGCTGTACTCTGAATTGAGGGTTCAGTTGCAGTGGTCACACTGGAAGAGGTCCCCAACGTTGACAGAGAAGATGTCCCTGTGGTGGATGGTTGCTCAGAGGTGGGAGAAGCGGAGGTCCCTGCCTGTGTAGTACCAGTGTCTTCTGCTGTACTCTGAATTGAGGGTTCAGTTGCAGTGGTCACACTGGAAGAGGTCCCCAATGTTGACAGAGAAGATGTCCCTGTGGTGGATGGTTGCTCAGTGGTGGGAGAAGCGGAGGTCACTACCTGTTTTGTACTAGTGTCTCCTGCTGTACTCTGAATTGAGGGTTCAGTTGCAGTGGTCACACTGGAAAAGGTCCCCAACGCTGGCAGAGATGTCCCTGTGGTGGATGGTTGCTCAGCGGTGGGAGAAGCGAAGGTCACTGCCTGTTTTGTACTAGTGTCTCCTTCTGTACTCTGAATTGAGGGTTCAGTTGCAGTGGTCACACTGGAAGAGGTCCCCAACGTTGACAGAGATGTCCCTGTGGTGGATGGTTGCTCAGAGGTGGGAGAAGCGGAGGTCGCTGCCGGTGTAGTACCAGTGTCTTCTGCTGTACTCTGAATTGAGGGTTCAGTTGCAGTGGTCACACTGGAAGAGGTCCCCAACGTTGACAGAGAAGATGTCCCTGTGGTGGATGGTTGCTCAGCGGTGGGAGAAGCGAAGGTCACTGCCTGTTTTGTACTAGTGTCTCCTTCTGTACTCTGAATTGAGGGTTCAGTTGCAGTGGTCACACTGGAAGAGGTCCCCAACGTTGGCAGAGAAGATGTCCCTGTGGTGGATGGTTGCTCAGAGGTGGGAGAAGCGGAGGTCCCTGCCTGTGTAGTACCAGTGTCTTCTGCTGTACTCTGAATTGAGGGTTCAGTTGCAGTGGTCACACTGGAAGAGGTCCCCAACGTTGACAGAGAAGATGTCCCTGTGGTGGATGGTTGCTCAGAGGTGGGAGAAGCGGAGGTCCCTGCCTGTGTAGTACCAGTGTCTTCTGCTGTACTCTGAATTGAGGGTTCAGTTGCAGTGGTCACACTGGAAGAGGTCCCCAACGTTGACAGAGAAGATGTCCCTGTGGTGGATGGTTGCTCAGCGGTGGGAGAAGCGAAGGTCACTGCCTGTGTTGCTACCAGTGTCTTCTGCTGTACTCTGAATTGAGGGTTCAGTTGCAGTGGTCACACTGGAAGAGGTCCCCAACGTTGACAGAGATGTCCCTGTGGTGGATGGTTGCTCAGAGGTGGGAGAAGCGGAGGTCCCTGCCTGTGTAGTACCAGTGTCTTCTGCTGTACTCTGAATTGAGGGTTCAGTTGCAGTGGTCACACTGGAAGAGGTCCCCAACGTTGACAGAGAAGATGTCCCTGTGGTGGATGGTTGCTCAGAGGTGGGAGAAGCGGAGGTCCCTGCCTGTGTAGTACCAGTGTCTTCTGCTGTACTCTGAATTGAGGGTTCAGTTGCAGTGGTCACACTGGAAGAGGTCCTCAACGTTGACAGAGAAGATGTCCCTGTGGTGGATGGTTGCTCAGAGGTGGGAGAAGCGGAGGTCCCTGCCTGTGTAGTACCAGTGTCTTCTGCTGTACTCTGAATTGAGGGTTCAGTTGCAGTGGTCACACTGGAAGAGGTCTCCAACGTTGACAGAGAAGATGTCCCTGTGGTGGATGGTTGCTCAGCGGTGGGAGAAGCGGAGGTCCCTGCCTGTGTAGTACCAGTGTCTTCTGCTGTACTCTGAATTGAGGGTTCAGTTGCAGTGGTCACACTGGAAGAGGTCTCCAACGTTGACAGAGAAGATGTCCCTGTGGTGGATGGTTGCTCAGCGGTGGGAGAAGCGAAGGTCACTGCCTGTGTTCTACCAGTGTCTTCTGCTGTACTCTGAATTGAGGGTTCAGTTGCAGTGGTCACACTGGAAGAGGTCCCCAATGTTGACAGAGAAGATGTCCCTGTGGTGGATGGTTGCTCAGAGGTGGGAGAAGCGAAGGTCGCTGCTGGTGTAGTACCAGTGTCTTCTGCTGTACTCTGAATTGAGGGTTCAGTTGCAGTGGTCACACTGGAAGAGGTCCCCAACGTTGACAGAGATGTCCCTGTGGTGGATGGTTGCTCAGAGGTGGGAGAAGGGGTGGTAGCTGCTGGTTTAGTACCAGTGTCTTCTGCTGTACTCTGAATTGAGGGTTCAGTTGCAGTGGTCACACTGGAAGAGGTACCCAACGTTGTCAGAAGATGTCCCTGTGGTGGATGGTTGCTCAGAGGTGGGAGAAGCGGAGGTCCCTGCCTGTGTAGTACCAGTGTCTTCTGCTGTACTCTGAATTGAGGGTTCAGTTGCAGTGGTCACACTGGAAGAGGTCCCCAACGTTGACAGAGATGTCCCTGTGGTGGATGGTTGCTCAGAGGTGGGAGAAGCGGAGGTCCCTGCCTGTGTAGTACCAGTGTCTTCTGCTGTACTCTGAATTGAGGGTTCAGTTGCAGTGGTCACACTGGAAGAGGTCCCCAACGTTGACAGAGAAGATGTCCCTGTGGTGGATGGTTGCTCAGAGGTGGGAGAAGCGGAGGTCCCTGCCGGTGTAGTACCAGTGTCTTCTGCTGTACTCTGAATTGAGGGTTCAGTTGCAGTGGTCACACTGGAAGAGGTCCCCAACGTTGACAGAGAAGATGTCCCTGTGGTGGATGGTTGCTCAGCGGTGGGAGAAGCGGAGGTCCCTGCCTGTGTAGTACCAGTGTCTTCTGCTGTACTCTGAATTGAGGGTTCAGTTGCAGTGGTCACACTGGAAGAGGTCCCCAACGTTGGCAGAGAAGATGTCCCTGTGGTGGATGGTTGCTCAGAGGTGGGAGAAGCGGAGGTCCCTGCCTGTGTAGTACCAGTGTCTTCTGCTGTACTCTGAATTGAGGGTTCAGTTGCAGTGGTCACACTGGAAGAGGTCCCCAACGTTGACAGAGAAGATGTCCCTGTGGTGGATGGTTGCTCAGAGGTGGGAGAAGCGGAGGTCCCTGCCTGTGTAGTACCAGTGTCTTCTGCTGTACTCTGAATTGAGGGTTCAGTTGCAGTGGTCACACTGGAAGAGGTCCCCAACGTTGACAGAGAAGATGTCCCTGTGGTGGATGGTTGCTCAGTGGTGGGAGAAGCGGAGGTCACTACCTGTTTTGTACTAGTGTCTCCTGCTGTACTCTGAATTGAGGGTTCAGTTGCAGTGGTCACACTGGAAGAGGTCCCCAATGTTGACAGAGAAGATGTCCCTGTGGTGGATGGTTGCTCAGTGGTGGGAGAAGCGGAGGTCACTACCTGTTTTGTACTAGTGTCTCCTGCTGTACTCTGAATTGAGGGTTCAGTTGCAGTGGTCACACTGGAAAAGGTCCCCAACGTTGGCAGAGATGTCCCTGTGGTGGATGGTTGCTCAGCGGTGGGAGAAGCGAAGGTCACTGCCTGTTTTGTACTAGTGTCTCCTGCTGTACTCTGAATTGAGGGTTCAGTTGCAGTGGTCACACTGGAAGAGGTCCCCAACGTTGACAGAGATGTCCCTGTGGTGGATGGTTGCTCAGAGGTGGGAGAAGCGGAGGTCCCTGCCTGTGTAGTACCAGTGTCTTCTGCTGTACTCTGAATTGAGGGTTCAGTTGCAGTGGTCACACTGGAAGAGGTCCTCAACGTTGACAGAGAAGATGTCCCTGTGGTGGATGGTTGCTCAGAGGTGGGAGAAGCGGAGGTCCCTGCCTGTGTAGTACCAGTGTCTTCTGCTGTACTCTGAATTGAGGGTTCAGTTGCAGTGGTCACACTGGAAGAGGTCTCCAACGTTGACAGAGAAGATGTCCCTGTGGTGGATGGTTGCTCAGCGGTGGGAGAAGCGGAGGTCCCTGCCTGTGTAGTACCAGTGTCTTCTGCTGTACTCTGAATTGAGGGTTCAGTTGCAGTGGTCACACTGGAAGAGGTCTCCAACGTTGACAGAGAAGATGTCCCTGTGGTGGATGGTTGCTCAGCGGTGGGAGAAGCGAAGGTCACTGCCTGTGTTCTACCAGTGTCTTCTGCTGTACTCTGAATTGAGGGTTCAGTTGCAGTGGTCACACTGGAAGAGGTCCCCAACGTTGACAGAGATGTCCCTGTGGTGGATGGTTGCTCAGAGGTGGGAGAAGCGGAGGTCGCTGCTGGTGTAGTACCAGTGTCTTCTGCTGTACTCTGAATTGAGGGTTGAGTTGCAGTCGTCACACTGGAAGAGGTCCCCAATGTTGACAGAGATGTCCCTGTGGTGGATGGTTGCTCAGAGGTGGGAGAAGCGGAGGTCCCTGCCTGTGTAGTACCAGTGTCTTCTGCTGTACTCTGAATTGAGGGTTCAGTTGCAGTGGTCACACTGGAAGAGGTCCCCAACGTTGACAGAGATGTCCCTGTGGTGGATGGTTGCTCAGAGGTGGGAGAAGCGGAGGTCCCTGCCTGTGTAGTACCAGTGTCTTCTGCTGTACGCTGAATTGAGGGTTCAGTTGCAGTGGTCACACTGGAAGAGGTCCCCAACGTTGACAGAGATGTCCCTGTGGTGGATGGTTGCTCAGCGGTGGGAGAAGCGGAGGTCCCTGCCTGTGTAGTACCAGTGTCTTCTGCTGTACTCTGAATTGAGGGTTCAGTTGCAGTGGTCACACTGGAAGAGGTCCCCAACGTTGACAGAGAAGATGTCCCTGTGGTGGATGGTTGCTCAGAGGTGGGAGAAGCGGAGGTCCCTGCCTGTGTAGTACCAGTGTCTTCTGCTGTACTCTGAATTGAGGGTTCAGTTGCAGTGGTCACACTGGAAGAGGTCTCCAACGTTGACAGAGAAGATGTCCCTGTGGTGGATGGTTGCTCAGCGGTGGGAGAAGCGAAGGTCACTGCCTGTGTTCTACCAGTGTCTTCTGCTGTACTCTGAATTGAGGGTTCAGTTGCAGTGGTCACACTGGAAGAGGTCCCCAACGTTGACAGAGATGTCCCTGTGGTGGATGGTTGCTCAGAGGTGGGAGAAGCGGAGGTCGCTGCTGGTGTAGTACCAGTGTCTTCTGCTGTACTCTGAATTGAGGGTTGAGTTGCAGTGGTCACACTGGAAGAGGTCCCCAACGTTGACATAGAAGATGTCCCTGTGGTGGATGGTTGCTCAGTGGTGGGAGAAGCGAAGGTCACTGCCTGTTTTGTACTAGTGTCTCCTTCTGTACTCTGAATTGAGGGTTCAGTTGCAGTGGTCACACTGGAAGAGGTCCCCAACGTTGACAGAGATGTCCCTGTGGTGGATGGTTGCTCAGAGGTGGGAGAAGCGGAGGTCCCTGCCTGTGTAGTACCAGTGTCTTCTGCTGTACTCTGAATTGAGGGTTCAGTTGCAGTGGTCACACTGGAAGAGGTCCCCAACGTTGACAGAGAAGATGTCCCTGTGGTGGATGGTTGCTCAGTGGTGGGAGAAGCGGAGGTCATTGCCTGTTTTGTACTAGTGTCTCCTGCTGTACTCTGAATTGAGGGTTCAGTTGCAGTGGTCACACTGGAAGAGGTCCCCAATGTTGACAGAGAAGATGTCCCTGTGGTGGATGGTTGCTCAGTGGTGGGAGAAGCGGAGGTCACTACCTGTTTTGTACTAGTGTCTCCTGCTGTACTCTGAATTGAGGGTTCAGTTGCAGTGGTCACACTGGAAAAGGTCCCCAACGTTGGCAGAGATGTCCCTGTGGTGGATGGTTGCTCAGCGGTGGGAGAAGCGAAGGTCACTGCCTGTTTTGTACTAGTGTCTCCTGCTGTACTCTGAATTGAGGGTTCAGTTGCAGTGGTCACACTGGAAGAGGTCCCCAACGTTGACAGAGATGTCCCTGTGGTGGATGGTTGCTCAGCGGTGGGAGAAGCGGAGGTCCCTGCCTGTGTAGTACCAGTGTCTTCTGCTGTACTCTGAATTGAGGGTTCAGTTGCAGTGGTCACACTGGAAGAGGTCCTCAACGTTGACAGAGAAGATGTCCCTGTGGTGGATGGTTGCTCAGAGGTGGGAGAAGCGGAGGTCCCTGCCTGTGTAGTACCAGTGTCTTCTGCTGTACTCTGAATTGAGGGTTCAGTTGCAGTGGTCACACTGGAAGAGGTCTCCGACGTTGACAGAGAAGATGTCCCTGTGGTGGATGGTTGCTCAGCGGTGGGAGAAGCGGAGGTCCCTGCCTGTGTAGTACCAGTGTCTTCTGCTGTACTCTGAATTGAGGGTTCAGTTGCAGTGGTCACACTGGAAGAGGTCTCCAACGTTGACAGAGAAGATGTCCCTGTGGTGGATGGTTGCTCAGCGGTGGGAGAAGCGAAGGTCACTGCCTGTGTTCTACCAGTGTCTTCTGCTGTACTCTGAATTGAGGGTTCAGTTGCAGTGGTCACACTGGAAGAGGTCCCCAACGTTGACAGAGATGTCCCTGTGGTGGATGGTTGCTCAGAGGTGGGAGAAGCGGAGGTCGCTGCTGGTGTAGTACCAGTGTCTTCTGCTGTACTCTGAATTGAGGGTTGAGTTGCAGTGGTCACACTGGAAGAGGTCCCCAACGTTGACATAGAAGATGTCCCTGTGGTGGATGGTTGCTCAGTGGTGGGAGAAGCGGAGGTCCGTGCCAGTCTTGTACACGTGTCCGCTGCTGTTCTCTGAATTGAGGGTTCAGTTGCAGTGGTCACACTGGAAGAGGTCCCCAACGTTGACAGAGATGTCCCTGTGGTGGATGGTTGCTCAGAGGTGGGAGAAGCGGAGGTCCCTGCCTGTGTAGTACCAGTGTCTTCTGCTGTACGCTGAATTGAGGGTTCAGTTGCAGTGGTCACACTGGAAGAGGTCCCCAACGTTGACAGAGATGTCCCTGTGGTGGATGGTTGCTCAGCGGTGGGAGAAGCGGAGGTCCCTGCCTGTGTAGTACCAGTGTCTTCTGCTGTACTCTGAATTGAGGGTTCAGTTGCAGTGGTCACACTGGAAGAGGTCCTCAACGTTGACAGAGAAGATGTCCCTGTGGTGGATGGTTGCTCAGAGGTGGGAGAAGCGGAGGTCCCTGCCTGTGTAGTACCAGTGTCTTCTGCTGTACTCTGAATTGAGGGTTCAGTTGCAGTGGTCACACTGGAAGAGGTCTCCAACGTTGACAGAGAAGATGTCCCTGTGGTGGATGGTTGCTCAGAGGTGGGAGAAGCGAAGGTCACTGCCTGTGTTGTACCAGTGTCTTCTGCTGTACTCTGAATTGAGGGTTCAGTTGCAGTGGTCACACTGGAAGAGGTCCCCAACGTTGACAGAGATGTCCCTGTGGTGGATGGTTGCTCAGAGGTGGGAGAAGCGGAGGTCCCTGCCTGTGTAGTACCAGTGTCTTCTGCTGTACTCTGAATTGAGGGTTCAGTTGCAGTGGTCACACTGGAAAAGGTCCCCAACGTTGACAGAGATGTCCCTGTGGTGGATGGTTGCTCAGAGGTGGGAGAAGCGGAGGTCCCTGCCGGTGTAGTACCAGTGTCTTCTGCTGTACTCTGAATTGAGGGTTCAGTTGCAGTGGTCACACTGGAAGAGGTCTCCAACGTTGACAGAGAAGATGTCCCTGTGGTGGATGGTTGCTCAGAGGTGGGAGAAGCGGAGGTCCCTGCCTGTGTAGTTCCAGTGTCTTCTGCTGTACTCTGAATTGAGGGTTCAGTTGCAGTGGAAGAACTAGTCATAGTAGTTGGGCTTGCTTCTGTTGATTTGACTGCAATTTCAAAACATTCAAATCGGTTACAGAAAGAACAAGCAATGAATCTATAAACAATATATTTTTTAATAAACACAATATCATCATAAGTTTTTATTTTTCAGAACATGCAGTTTTGTGCCCTTTTATTCCAGTTAGGGATTTAGAATCAGCAAGCATTTTATAAGTGCTTTAATGATAATATATATATAAAACACCCGTGAGCCATTTTTACTTTGCCAGCTTTCCCTTCCTGGCCATCTTTAACCTTTCTAGATCCAGGTGATTCTGATCAGGGCGGCTCCTCTTTGGGTCTCATACATCTTCAGATTCAGTTCTGAAGCTTCAGCTGCTGCTGCATCAACAACGCAAACTTTAAGGGGAAGCATTTTGATCATTCAACACATCACCTTTAGCATTTAAACAGGCCGCCTATTTTTCTTTGGCTTGTGCTTAATATTCTGGCATTAAAACAGTTGAGAGCACCTCAAGGAGTGACTATCGTCAAATGGACCTGAAGCTACAGCGCCTGGGCCTTGCTGATCAGAAGGTCGGCGGTTCGAATCCCCGTGACGGGGTGAGCTCCCGTTGCTCGGTCCCTGCTCCTGCCAACCTAGCAGTTTGAAAGCACGTCAAAGTGCAAGTAGATAAATAGGTACCGCTCTGGCGGGAAGGTGAACGGCGTTTCCGTGCGCTGCTCTGGTTCTCCAGAAGCGGCTTAGTCATGCTGGCCCCATGACCCGGAAGCTGTACGCCGGCTCCCTCGGCCAGTAAAGCGAGATGAGCGCCAAAACCCCAGAGTCGGCCACGACTGGACCTAACAGTCAGGGGTCCCTTTACCTTTACACCAGTGAAAGTGGTTGGGAAAGTGAGTCTCTCTTCTCTTATTATTTTCTCCTGTATCCATATACCACTGTTTTCTCCAAGGAGTTCAAGATGGTATACATGGTTCTCTCCCCCTTTCCACCTCACAACAACCCTGCGAGGTCTGTTTGTCTGAGAGGCAGTGCATGGTCACCCGGTGAGATTCATCGCTGAGCGTGGAATGGAACTCTTGTGACCCAGCTCCTTGCCCAAAACTCTGACCACTACACTGGCATGGATGAGACCTGAAAGTCATGGGACTTCCGGCGAGGCAGCATGGCGGCTGCAACAGCAGAAAAGAGCTCCTGAAGCCAGCCAGAGTAAAAGGCTCTGTCTGGCCGACTCCCGGACCCCCAGGACTGCTGCCGCCAGCACTGCCAGCGGAGAGGAATTGGGGGTGCCCGGGGCGCCTATCAAAGGAGCCAAAACACCCCCCCCACGACCTTGATTGAGCCGGAAAGGCACCCGACCACCCCCCCCAACAGCCGAGAGGAACTCCAAAACCAGGAGGACAGTGGAGCTAACGCAGAGAGGGAGAAAAAGAAAAGGGGGAAAGAAGAAGAAAAAGAAAGAAAAAGGAGCCCCAAATTTACCGCTGCTGCCCCCATCTCTGCCGACGGGAAAGAAGAGGGGAGGTAGGTGAGCACGGGAAGGCAAAAGAGGCTCCGAGAAAACACATGGCCTCCAGCGGCAAGGAAAATAGAGGAAAGCCGCATGACAAAGGAGATCTATCGCAGAAAGGAAGAAACTACCCCCTTCTTTTTTCCTTTTTTTTAAAAAAAAAATAAATCCTTTTTTTAACCCCTTCCTCCCCCTCTCCCTTTTTTTTTTTAAAAAAATCTTTTTTATTCCCCCCCCCCATATACCTACTTTTATCACTTTTCTTTTTAAAAGAGGGGCCACTGCTGCTGCAGCCACCCTTTATTTGAATCTTTATTTTTATTTCTATCTTTTCTACACACTATTTAAAGACACACTTTTCCACACACACACACCCTCAATTTAAACCTCATTTTATTTCCACCTCAAACTCCCCTCTTAAGAATTAAAATGGCAGTACCCAGAAAACAGCCCTGAACCATCACAGGCCATTTCCTGGGACTGCCACTTCGCCCCAGACTTTCCACTCTCTTTTACTTATCCTCTTTTACCTATACTTTACTCATCTTTTTTTTTTAAAAAAAAAGCTCTATCTATCTATCTATCTATCTAAAGACAACCCCCCCTTTTTTTTACCTTTAATTCTCATTTTTATCTTTTACCCGTACATTTTTAATTACTTTTTTACAAACAAAAAATAATAACAATAATTAGGGGGAAATATTATTATTTATTTTTTAAAAAAAACCCATACAATTTTTTTTTCTTCTTTTTCCCTCTTTCTCTTTTTAAAGCCCTTTCTTTTCTATTTGTTGGCTTGTTCTTGAGGGGGGAATCTTTCGCCCCCAGCTACGACCACCACTCTCTTTTAAAACAAAAACTTCCTCCATATCACTGCTATTGCTATTGATACTCTCCCCTCAACTTCCCCCCCTTTTTTATTTTTCTCTCCCTTTTTGCTCTCCCCCTCTCTCTTCACCCCTCCTCATTTTTTCCTTTTATCCCACCTTTCATTTTCCATCCCCAATTTTGTTTTCTATCCCTTTTATATTTTAAAATCAACCCCCCCTTTTTAGCCTGTTCGTCAGTTTGTTTTTGAGAGGGGAGCCCTTTCCCCCCCACCCCCTCTTTTAAAATAAGACTTTCCCCCATACCATTGCCACAGCTCACCCTCCCTCCCTCCCTCCCCCCTCCCCTCTCCCCCTCTCTTTTCTTCTCCTTCCTTTTCCCACCCTTCCCCCTCCTCCTCTCCTCTCCTTTTCTCTCCCTCCTCCCTCTCTCCATCCCCCACTTCCCCTAAAGGAAACACATACACACATTCATATCACCCTATCATAATTTGCCCCCCTCATACTATAGCTAAAACTACTGCTGCAATCTAATACCACTGATATTACTGTACTATCTCTCCTCTCTCTTTCAACTCTCTTTTATCTCTCTCTCTCTCTTCTCTTTTACTCCAATCTCCCTCTCCCCCGCCTCCCCCCTTCTTCTTCTTTCTTTCTTCTTCTTCTTCCCTTTTTTCTCCCTCCACCCTTTACATATAGCCTATTTGTCTGTCTCTGTTTCTGAGCGCACTCCCAACCCCAACTTCCACCTTAACTGGACCCCAATACCCCTTTTGGGCATATACAACCCCACCTAAACACATATTTCCCCTGGCCCCACCCCTCTAATCTCTTGCATCTCTACCTGCTAACCCCCCTCCCTTTATATGAACTGTCTGTCCGTTAGTCTACCCATCTCTGCTTACCTGCCCCCCCCCCCCGCCTCGGCGGCACCGCTGAGGCATCTACAGAAGCCCTAGAGAAGTTCTTAAAACACAGGCTAGAAGTGACACAAATGACCACCTAATCCAAACGCTCTGTAAAAGCCACCAGCCAACAAAGCCTGATCAGCTCAGCAACCCAACAATACCCAGGAATCACCACTGCCACAACTCCTAACCACCACATGCCCTACCCCAAGAGGACGCCAAGCCAACCTCAAACCAAAACCATCAGGGAGACCGAGATGACACCAACCAGGGAGATGGCAAACAATGCTAAGATGGTAACTCCCCTTCAAGATGATGACCACCCAATAACGAAACGAGATCTGAGGGAAATGGAAGCAAGATTAGAAGCACGATTAGAAGAAACACTGAAGGCCACAATGGCTCCCATGCAGGTACTAATCAACAATCTAACCTCCAAAGTGGAAGCTCTAGAGAACAAGAACCAAATGCAAGAAAGAATAATAGAGCAATACCGGGAGGAGAACGCACGTGTGAACAAGAAACTGGACGAACTGGTAAACCAAATGGAAGCAGAACACAGAGAGATGAAAATTAAGCAAGCCGACCTTGAAGACCGCAATAGACGTTGTAACATCCGCTTCCGCAACTTTCCTGAACAACAGAGGAGAAAAGCCCAGCAGACCTAATTATACGCTGGCTGAAAAACACAATCCCAAGCCTGAAACTTGAGGCAGATGACTTGGAGAGGGCTCACAGAGCCCTAAAACCTATGCCAAAACCCAGCGCCCCCCCAAGAGACATCATTGTATGCTTCACACGCTACAAAAAGAAGGAAGAGGTATGGAACCACCTCAAAAACTCAACCAACCTTCGATATGGAGAAACCCCCATTCTGGCCTTACAGGACCTATCTCAGGATACCCTAAACCGGAGGAAAAGCCTGCGCCCATGCACCCAGCGTCTCCAACAAGCAGGGATCAAATACCGATGGGGCTTCCCATTCCGCCTCATTGTAACAACCAATACAACACAACACATGGCTACCAACATACCTGAGGCCCTGCAACTACTAAAGAACCTTGAACTCGACCTCCCACCGGAATGGCAACCGACAAACCCACCAAGTGACAGCCCCAACCACGAGGAAACAACAGCAAACAACTGGACAACGGTACAGAAGAAAAGAAACAACAGAAGCGGCACAACAACGCAAACCAATACAGGCAAGCATCATGCTCAGAACCGTCCCGCCGGCCATACGACACAAGAAACCAGACCAAGATCAACCAAACCAATTCATCGCAGATGGACAACCCTACAACAACAACAACCCCAGCTGAATGAAGCAACCAGGAAAAACCACAAACTGAAGGACTGGTGATTCCCCCTTTCCCCTCTCTCCCCCAAAACATAGATTTAGTTAACACCATCAACATCCCCCAGCCCCGCACCCCACAGGAATCCCCACCCCAACACCAGTCCAGACGACCTCAACCACATTCCCCATCACCCACACCTTCAACACCCCCATACTCCATACTAGGGAAAAACAACTCCTCCAACCTTAATAACACAACCCACAATCAGGCTAAAATCTGATACCCAACCAGCACTATGGTGGCACCAGAGCGTACCAGCACCCACATCCCCACCCCAACACACCAACAATGTTGCTCATAACATTGGCAACATTGCTTATGAACCTTATACCTGACAGCGACGTTACAAAGTCACTTCACACTGTCTCACTGATCACCCCCTATCGCAAACAACAGGGGGGATGGCCT